TTTCCAATACTTTTAATTTCGTCATTTTTTGAAATTGTAATAAAATTGAAATGTTAAATTTTGTTTATTTAAGCAATCCAAAACAGTTTTCAAAAGATAAATTCTTTCTAATTGCGATAAAATTTGCGAAAATTTTCAAAAATTCAAGCTCAATTTTTCATGAAAAAATGTAGAATGACCAATGCTACTAATGCTAGTTTTACGCATTTTCACAATTGTTGGCTATATTTATTTTTGCAAGTTGGAAAAAATTTTGGAAATTTGTATAGTCAGCTCAGCTTTTAACATATTCAACAAAATAACTTTTCCATACCTCATTCGATATTTCAAGCTTTTTGGAAAACTAGTAAAAGTGTCATCGGGGACCCTACGGGGTCCCTCCACTATGGTACATATTTATGGCAATATATAGGACGTCCTATTGTGAAACAATTGTTCTAACAATTGTGAAAATGCGTAAAATAGACTAGCATTAGTAGCATTGGTCATTCTACATTTTTTCATGAAAAATTGAGCTTGAATTTTTGAAAATTTTCGCAAATTTTATCGCAATTAGAAAGAATTTATCTTTTGAAAACTGTTTTGGATTGCTTAAATAAACAAAATTTAACATTTCAATTTTATTACAATTTCAAAAAATGACGAAATTAAAAGTATTGGAAAAATTGCACGTTTTAGTGCAGTTTTCGCCAAATATTTCGCATAAACGTGATATTGTACCGTAGGGGCTATGACAAAGTTTTAGTTACACTAAATTATCCATCAATTAAAACCATCCGAAAGGAAATCGAGATGTGACAGTACCTAAGGTTCCCTTGTTAGTTTGACTTGGTGAAGTCCAATCATGTGAAGATGAACTTATGTAATTATAAGTTGTGAAGATGTACATACACGAGATTTTTATGAATGGTGTGCAGATGAATAACTTCTTTTTTAACTGCTTGGTCATTATTACGAGAACTCGGTTGGGCTTTACAGTTGATATTGCTATTAAGCATACATATTACAGAGTAGATAATCGGTACGAAAAAAAGTATGCCTGTATCTATTTCTGACAACAATACAGCAATTAAGTAGGTAAGATCCTGCTAAATAACAGAAATACCAATTTGAGACACAAAACAAACTCTGCTTCTTCTTAATACTTATATAACGAGCATCATTTGTCTCGCGTGCAAATTTTCGCTCATGCTTTTCTACTGGTTGGTTAGTATTTATTTTATGGTAATTGCACTAAAAAACTGGATCAAACTAAACTTAATTTGCTGTATTCTCACTCTTCACATACTAATATTGCTCAGCAAGGATGGTGAGATTTTGGCTTGAAATATATCCGTTTTCTCAGATTCACCAAGATATTTCACTGGATGCACAGGTGAATAAATCTCTGAATGAGGTAAACTGAGAAACAACGGTCTTCTCGATTTCGCAATTTGTGACATGAAATACGCACACAAATGTCTCGCAGACAAAGAATAATCAAGAAAAAAAATGATTTTTTTTTACTTTTCATAAATTGCAATCATTTCCTCCTGTCCATCATTTTTCGACATTTTTCGAAACGGAAATTGGACCGGATTCCCTAATGAATCTATAATACAAAAAGAAAACATCTGCATAAGAAAATTTCCCAATTTCGTCTAGAATATAAATCTATGCATAAATACGTTCTTGTCGTCTCCAGTTTAAAAAAAATGCCTTCATTATTCACGACACAACACGAGTTTGTGGTCGTTTCATTCACGATAAGCGCATATGTCATGTCCAGTTTAATCAATCAGCAAATTACAACTTCCTGTCGCGAATACAAATTATGTTTATTTTTAGCTTATCGCCTTGTTTTCGTCCGTGGTTCGTTGGTTGGTTGTGTACACATCTTCACAATGTTTAATTTCTTATTACTTAAATATAACCGAGAATAATACAATCTGACAGACAATTTACGACCAAACCGCACCTTTACTTATCAATAAATACAGAAAAGACCTTCAATGACGCAAATGAGGTTTCGTTCTTCCCTTCCAGTAAGTAAGTTCTGTGTAAAAAAGTTTAGGTACTACTGAACTTTGTGGCCGTATTGACAAACAATAAATAAATGACTGACTGGAATAAGTGGAATTCACTTTTAAAATCCGTGGTTTGTTGTTTTTCAAATGTTTGAGGAATTCAAACCAGCAAAAACTGGTGGGATTGACGTAGGACGAGGGGATATGCATTTCTCTATAATTTAAAAATAAAATATTTATGCAAATAAAATGGATGCGGGTTTCAAAAAGTTAGAAAACATGGTTGACGGGTCTATGAATTGTAGAACATGATTTTTCAGAAGAGAGTTGAGTAGGCGTCTAAAAATCATGACATTTCTCAGGATGCAAGGACATTTCTAGAAAAATTGATGCCTAGAATTAATTTATGATCAATTTACACAGAAATTTGCATGAACTTGACCATTCGACCAGCCGTGCAATCAGTGTTTGCATGCATGCTTTTTCGAGTTAATGACTTTCTATTTGTATGGACTTGCATGTGCGTGTAAACGAATAAGCTTATTGAGTTTGGAGTTTGAACCGGTGTTTGAAGAATTGATGGATTATTATTATTGATTTATGTTGAAAATCCCGGATCTGAATTGTAAATTAAGGTTGAAAAGGTGTCATTGGCTTGACTTCATTTTACTGATTTACGGTGGGTGCCACACGAATACAAAGCTCTATTTTTTAGTCGTAAATTCATATGAATGACAGTCGTAAATAATAATATTCTGGCCATACCTAGTTGTATAGGCTCAAGTGTCAGTAACTTAGAGGGCTACAACTTTTGTAATTTTAGTAATACAAATTTCTGATTTATTGCATTCAAAAGCCAGTTAAATTTCAAGTTGGAAACAATTTTTAGTCTTAAAAATTTCCTCCTCCTGCGTCAATGCCACGCTGAAGACGAGACGGCCACTCCTCGATGGAATTACGCACAGATTCCAGGGACATTTTGTAGCATTCCGGAGTCAGAAATTTTTTCCAAGCCTCCGCACTTCTACGAGGCTTAGAACGCACCTTTGCCCCTAACTTTGACCATTTTTTATATTCCGGTGATTCAAATCCAGCAAGGAGGATGACCATTTCTGATTGGAGATAAAGACCGGAATTTGTTTTTTTAGCTACACTGGGTCATTTTTTGCACTATAAGTTCGTTCTGAGTCCTGCTGAGAGGTCCCATCGATTCCATTGAATTGGATCTCACTTAGGGGATGTACCACGGACTCAAAAACATATTTTAAGAAATTTGATTCCCCCACCTCCCCCCAATTTTCAGCAAAATATAAAGAAATTACCATAATAAGCTCCCACCTGCCAAAATCATCAAAAAACCGGGATGATGTGACTTTCTGACCCTTTGTCTATATTGGGGGATGTCTCTGACCGATTTTGCGTAGATGAAGACAATTCGCTTGTTAAAAGATTTTTCCGATGTGAAAATCTCCTCATTTGTTAAAAGAATCCTGCTCACTTTTATTGAGCGTACCGCTTGAGGTGACTCCTGCATTTATTTAATCTGGTTTTCCTTTGGGGTACGATCAGGATGGGGCAAGTACCACATTTCAAAGCCTTAAGCCTAAGCTTCAATTTGAGCACTCGTTGGATAATCTGCTTCCACAGTGTAAGCTGTAAGGCTGGTTTCCGTTGGAATTTCGTGAATTTCTTCGGATTCCAGGCTTGAGAGGCTTCACGATGGGTGTGGTCCTTGGAAGTTTTCAAAAAATTCTTCTTCGACTGTTCTTAGTCGATTCGGTCCCCATGAATGTTTTTATAGTCCGTTGGGCTAAATTAAAGTACACCTTTGACTTTTTCAACACATGCCAAATTCACTATTTTTCTTCGATTTTTTTATGAAAAACTATCGCCGCCCGCTTCTCTTCAATTTCCTATGTATTTATCCAGATGTTCAAAAATTACAAAGCCCATAGTGAATCATAACGTAAATCGCATGGCGAATCTAATTCACTTATCAGATTTTAATTCTGCAGCGTAGTTTTTTAGCAATCAGCTAGTGACACTTGAGCCTTTACAACTAGGTATTGTACACCCCGTTGTTCGCTTGCTCTTGATTATTTATTATGCCATTTTAAGTTTAACCTGATGCTTATTCGGTATGTTTTATTTTTAACAAGTTTTTATTTTCATTAAGTTTGCAGCTTTTTTGTGACGCGTATGTATCAGTACTTTTGCGTGTCATTCTAACCGTCAAAAACTGGGGCAGTAACAATTTCGGATTAATGAGTAAAAGATAATTATACAAGAAAATTACCCAAAACAGTAAAAAAATGCACCAAAATTCATTAGATTAATGTACACACTTGTGTTTTAATATGATATTTATAGATGCGGCGGACTCATCATAATCATGTCATTCAAAGTTGAAATTGGACCAGGACAAAAGCAAGCCTCAGGAAACATTTAACACATCATTCAATACTTAATAGTTGCAATCCAATAATAATCACAAAATTCAACGAAATCAAGCAATACAACTTTTTTATATAAAAATGAATTTGAAATTCCAATTTATTTCATTCTAATAGTTCATAATATAATTGATTAAAGCAAACAAATTCAGAATAATAATTTTATTACACTTTGTTAAGCCGGAATAGCCGGATTATTGTAGTATAATTTCTTTCAAACAGAAAAATTAATAAAATTATGCATGCAGTGTGCAAAAACTAGAACTTATATCCTCCTACTTTATGTATTTTTATGTTATCGTAATTATTGTAATGTCTACAGCAGGTTAATTTCACAAAGAAAAATCTACGCCAGAATCAACAACCGAGTTAATTAAAGATATTAAAGTCGATCAAAAAACAATTCATCCAATTCACAAAAGGTATCTAATTTTGTGTAAAAATTAGTCGCACAGTACATGATCCAGTCCAGGCAGGAAGAAAAATATCACAAAATTCTGGTTGAATAAACTAGATTTCAGAATCAGAATTCCATAAAGTATACGGTTATACGTACATACGTGAAGCATCATCTTTAATTGCATATTTCGTTACGATAGCTAAGGTCTCATTTTACTTTCGACATTACATACGATTACATACTGACATAGTAAATCAGTAAATGTGTGTAAGGGATGATCCGGGATGAATGGTGAAGAAAAGAAATGCAAATTTTCATGGAAATTTTCCTTACGTTTGAACTACAGGTAAATGCATTTGAAAAGCTTTACTATTTATTCCAGACCATCCCTTAATAGGGCTTGTTGGTAGCATACACGAAAGAGGTTGAGCAGCGACACTCTAACTAAATTGTTGATAACCCGAGGGCTTATCGATAACGATCACTCCAGCATAACTTCTCCCCATAACCAGTGAAGAACTAAGCAGCTTCCAAGAATCAGTCTTTGGGTCATAAACTTCTACAGAACATTCAGAGGAGAGGTATTTAGTTAGAGGCAATGTTTAATACTCTGTGGTGGGACTACTTACCAACGGAAGATAAGTTGCAGGTACCATCATCACCGCCTACCACATACAAGTACCCCCCGAGTGCGACCACTCCTGCAAATGAACCAAATATATTTTGAATTGTGCAAATAATGAAAACGTATCATGTATTCAGTCATTAGTTACCCGCATTCCTTCGGCAGGTCGACATTTCCGCGACAGAAGTCCATTTATTAGATACTAGGTCAAATTTTTCGGCCGATTTCCTGACAATAGGCCCATCGTGTCCTAAAATCGTTTTAAAAGTTGTTTGTTGATACCTATTGATTAATTTCCTAACTAATTTGTGTCTACGAACCTCCAACCGCATACAATACATTTTCCAAGACCCCAACACCCGCTCCAGATCGTCTCGCCGACATTTCTGCCACTGTCGTCCAACTATCTAATTCAGCATCGTATCGTTCCACACTAGACAAGCATTGGCGACTTGCTCCGTCATACCTGTTAATAATATAATATAATATATTCCATACGATAAGTATATAAATGCATAAATAATCGTCATCCTCATGGACAATAAGTTTACCCTCCAACAGCATAGACCATCCCGTTCAGAACGCCTACGCCGACGGAACTTCGTCTGGTGGAGAGGGATGAGATGGTTTGCCAATCCCCTCGGACAGGGTCGAAGAGTTCAGCTGTATTCAATCCGGTCGTGCCATCAAACCCAGCAATCTGCATAAGTTAATAAAATCATAATTTGTACATAATATTTGCTTCCAAATCCAATTCACCAAACATAAAATACGAAACAAGGTATGTAACATGTAGCAGAATCATGTACTTTCTAACATGCTCAAGGTATGTAAATAAAGATTGAATGGGAGCAGATCAACATAGCCACAAATATAACTTTACAACTGGTTTGTACCATACAAATTGCATGGCAAATTGCAATCTCTGCGTTTGGGTATCTAAATCCTTGCAATAAATGCAAAAGAGAAAGACAAATAAGTAAATCTGCAGGTTTTATGTAGCGTTTGGGTCCATACCCCCTCAAATAAATGGCTCAATGGTCTAGGGGCATGATTCCCGCTTTGGGTGCGGGAGGTCCCGGGTTCAAATCCCGGTTGAGCCCAAACTTTTTGCACACTTTATCTTGAAATTTTTGATAACCCCAACCTTTTGCCACCTTCCCAGACCCTCAAAACAATCAAATCGCAGCAAAAAACTCAATTTTTCCCGACCACACCCACTGGCGGAGGGGGGGTGGTCCTGTTGCCCCCTAACATTGATAGGATCCTCCCCCTGGGGTCATATGTATGATGTCGCAAACCGATTTCGATTATCTCGATCCGTTCTCGCGTTATCGTGCTGAACGACGGACAAGGGACTGTGCAGAAAGCATGTAATCGATTTGAGGGGAGGGGGGTAGGGGTCAAGGTATCGTACCCTTCCCATGCTAATTATAACATGGGGAGTATAGGTTACACCGGGGGGTAGGGGTCAAAATTTCCCGAAAATCGATCAAATGCTTTATGTATGACCCCCACAATAAGTAGCTAAGCTACTTAATAAATGATACAAAAATATTTCCTACCGCATAAATTTTATGGTTTAACACTGCCACCCCCAGAGTAGATCTTCTAGCATTCATGGGAGGTCCGGTCGTCCATTTCCCTGTTTGAGGGTCAAAGATGTCCACTGTTTTCACTCGTAGAGACCCGTTAAAGCCTCCTAATTATGTAATTTATATTACGTTATGGGATGTATTTACAGGGTCAGGCACGTAAGATATAACGATTTTGGCCTTGAATAACCCCGGAACGGTTTGTCGTAGCGGGTCAAAATTTTAAACCGTGAGCATGTTTAAACCGTGAGATCCAATTGAGCATGTTATCCTCAAATAGCCGTGTGCAAAAATTCAACTCTCTACTTTCAAAAATGCCTCCCCCACAGTCCCCAGAAGGTGAGACAGTCATTTCAACTTGTTCCAAAAAAATTTCGCCGGTGTTTGCAAAAAAAATTATTTAAATTTTCTGTTGAGGAATTGGAGTGAGTTATTGGTGTCAATTGACGAAGAACTATTTTCCCTACAAGTTACTAATTGGGTTCGAAGAGCTTAGTACACGACAAATGCCGAAAAAAAATTCAAGAAATTTGGTGGTTTTCAGTGAGGAGAACTTTTTCAAACATTTTATGGTTGTGGGTGCAATGTCCGGTCGTGGTATCCTCCCACTTATCAAAGTCCCCCAAAAAGTGAACGTATCTGCAAAGTATGATGTGGACCGTGTTTTGAAACCACTTTTAGAATAACATTTTCCTAAATTGTACGGTGAAAAAATAAATAAGGTGATTTTTCATCATGACTCAGTGACATCGAAAACGACAACGTTGACTCAAGATACTGCAAACGACCTTGAACCTAGAATGGGGATAAAAATCATTTCGAATAGTGAAATACCTGTAAAATCCCCCGATATAAGTCAAATGGATTTATTTGGTTCGAATACTTGAAAAGAAAATCTTTTCTGCGGAGACCGAATTTTTTAGACGGAGTTTGGAACGAGTTGAAATGACTGTCTCACCTTCTGGGGCTGTGGGGGAGGCATTTTTGAAAGCAGAGAGTTGAATTTTTGCACACGGCTATTTGAGGATAACATGCTCGTCGGTTCAAAATTTTGACCCGCTGCGACAAACCGTTCCGGGGTTATTCAAGGCCAAAATCGTTATATTTTAAGCGCCTGACCCTACTGTAAATCAGTAATATTCAGACATGGAGTTGTGTACTTGTGTACTTACCCACGGCATAAACTTTGTTATGTACAACAGCCAAGCCAGCTCTACATCTTCGTGACGGCATATCTGGTAAAAGTCTCCAACGTTCATCCTAGTAATCAACAGCAAGCATCAACCATTAACAAAACACATTCTATGGAATAAGATAATAACACACATTCTTTAAATTAGAAATGAGTATTACTGTTTACATACCTTAAAATCATAGGATTCTACGCATCTGATTGCTTTCGGGGCTTGACCACCCACCACCAATAAAACTTTGGGCAATCCAATAGGCTGTCTCGGTTTAGTCCTAGGACTGGAAAACGTAGCTTTCTGTTCCCCTCGAAGTAAATGAAATTTGAGGGCCTCGATCAATAAATCCTTACAGGTTGGATTAAGGCGAAGGAGTGGTTCTTCATCGACGCGATGTAACAAATAATCCTGAGAGAGAAGAGGAAGGCGAACATTTTCCATGAGAGTTGGGACATGTTCCCGTCTCCCCTCGTGGTCATAGTTGATCCAATTTAGCACAGACTCAAAAACCGTTTCTTCGCTTGTAGTAAGCTTGTCGCTAGAAATTAGGGCGATTACCTGGATATACGAAGAAAATATTTTAACACGCAACTCTGTCAAAGAAGTTAAAAAAAGTCTACTAAATAAAGTTCGAACCTCTTGAACATTTAATGATAGAAACTCTTCCCCTTCAACCACATCCGCAAAATTAAATTCGATAAACGTTTCTGTAGCGGTTAAGAGATCAAGACATCCGTGCAAGTCGGCAAATGCTCTAATACCCAGACAATTAGAGGGATGAATTTGCGATTTTAAAAAATCCGAGCACGCCTCCTTCACATCATGAAGCTGTAGGAGATTTGCAGCAGGCAGTAAAGTTTGCACGTTATCTTCGGAAATGCTGATCTGTCCTGTATACACGTAAGTCACCAAGATTTGGAGAGAGGTAGGCTCAACACCAAGTATTTTGACCTTTTCCTTATCCTTTTCTTCGAAGGAGGTAAACATTGCGTAGAAATAAGGAGAACATGCTGCCAGAATCATGCGATGAGCTGGAATTTCCAACTCTTCAGCGATTAATGTTACGTCGCAAAGGGAAGAGTTTCTGGAAATCAATTGAATTATTTTTATGCAAGGTTCGGACAAAACTGGTAACAAAATATGTTGAAAAGTTACTTGCGCAAAGTGTCCAGCATGCCGAAAGCTTTACCAAAATGGGACTGATTCTCGTACAAGTGCCGATAATCATCTTCTTCAGGCAAATTAGACTGATTCCTTTGAGAACTCTCATCTAACGAATTTTGACTCGCGTGTCGCAGCAAAAGTCCAACTAAACGGCTGAGTAAAACAAGCAATTTTAACAAGATTTGTTAATTTAATTGTAACTTTATATTTCATATAAAAAATGTGGACCTTACTTGCTCGGAGACTCAGCCTCTGCATGCTCCGGTGCTTCTACGGCAGCGTCCATTTGTTATCTTATAAATTTCACTGTTTATACTAATAATTAATTGTACGTCTTTGGTTGTTTTTAGGAATATTATGCGTTTTGTTATTGAATTGGCTTTGTAGTTGAGTTAGCAAAGAATAGATTCCTCAAAGGACAGTTAGTTAAATAGATTTACAAGGAATTGTGTATATAAAAAATATATAAATTCTCTTCCGTGTCCGGCACTGACTGATTACAAGTTGTTAAAGATCATGAACTTTGAGATTACATTAAACTGTATACGACGACTCGTACGAAGAAATTTAAGACGACGGAATAGGAGGGTATTATGGTAAAGCACAAAATTACTTTGAATTTGACGAAATCACAGCAGAACGAATTCACGCTACTCTTGCATTATTAACGGTGAACGGTAACTGAAATGCTTTAAATATGTAGTGTCGCACTAATACATTAGGCTGCTAATAATAATTGCTTATGATGCGAGGTAGGTAATCTTTTGTAGTACAATTCTGCAATAGGAAAGTGGGTGCGGTTGGAAGCGTCAAATAATCCGCCCTACAGAAATAAATGAGCAATTTATGAGCAATTAGGCTTAAGGAATCTTACTTATAATGTGTAATAAATAACTGTGTTACAATAACCTTCATAAGTCACATGTTATCATATAAATATTTAATCTGAATGAGTCAAGGGTCCAGCAGTACGTCAATCCAACAGATTTTAAAACACTCCAGGTCTTCAATTTTCTGTAAGAGAAATACTTTTCTTTTTTACAAAATCCACAAACAGTAAACATCAACACTAAAAATTGCATAGTTAACCTAACTAAACGTAAAATTTAAGCAATTACTCACCTCTCAAACTTAGTCACTTGTTTTGGTTCTAATTATCTTCTTATCTCCTAATTATTATGATTTGATAACTTCTCTGCCAGCTGCTTATTTTTCGTTCCAGCTTATTATTTCCAGAACAAGGAACAACAACAAAGAAATTGTGTCTTTCTGAATGCTTGTTACGAGGATTTGAAACGTTTTTGAACATTGAATTTGACGGATCACACTAGTATTTATATGGAGGAAGAGGGAAAGGTGATAAGGTGAAGGTGAGGAGAAGATAAGCACAAAATCCAATTTATTTTATGAAAAAGATAAGAGATACGAATTGCGAGAAGAGAGATCAACTTAATTGAACACAAAGGAAGATATTTGAGCTGGTGGCGGAGAGACGCAGTTTCAATGCTTCATACATGATCAAGTTACCATTTATGACGTAAAATTGCAAGTATATTTGCAAAATAATTTCGCAAACACTAATAATTATTCGCATATCGTATCTATGATTTTATTTATTTTTATCCCATTTGCAAGTTGTTACATATTATCAAATCATGGGTTGAAAGCGTTAGTTTTTTTTACAAGTCAAGTTTATGATTGTTAATAAATTAACAAAGAATTATTTTGTTTTCTCGTTATTTAGCGAAACTGTAGGAAGTTTGTTGAAAAAAGATCAGGTCACCAGAATAATAGCAGCGTTGCATTCAGTCCTTCAATTTCAATTTCTTTGCACATCTCTATCACAGCTTTCTTTCTACTTTTCTATCCCTTCTTGTTTTACAAAAATGAAGGACAGACAATTTTTTTTACAAAAATCTGACAAGACGACCAATCCGACAAACCTGATCATTTTTATCTTATCGAAAGATAAGTCAGAACTAGACTAGAGTTAGAATTTGTTGCGTGTATATCATTCTAAAAATTAAGGCTACACAACACTGGCAATTATAATTATATTCTAGACAAATACATATTATGGAGGTATGAAAGTATCTATTTGACATTCTACAAGCGCTACTTATTACAGTGGTATGTACGTTTTTTGGCTAATTAAATTTCATGAAGACTTTTCGATACTATGCGTTTCTGGAAGGAACCTATAATATGTATTACGGATTTACTTATTCGAGTCTACAGAAATCTATGTACATATGTATGTAAATCGAGTAATCATTATTATCATTACTAAACATAACAACTATGTAAACTACTAAAACTAACTAAAATGACACGACATATATTACTGAATAATTAACAACTAATTTGTGTTATCATAATAACTTATTATGACTTTTATTGCTTGCGTTTGCCCGTTTACGCCAACAGTTTGGCGTTAGCGTTGAAATCCACGTTGATGAATCTGTCATACATGTATCGTTCCTCGGATCCAATTGACGGCGATGGTGACGATCTGACCGGAATAAATTTGAATTTCGGCATGTACTTCAAACTCTGTTTGAGATCTTTCATAAATCCGTAGACGTTGTAGAGCATGTACATTTTGAAGACGATTTCGAGCAGCGTGACCCCTACCAACGCCAGCACCCAGGGGACAGGAGCCACTTGGATGATGTAACTCACCCCGATGATGCATTTCACAATGGCAAATAGATAAGAAAACTGGGTAAAATCGTACCATGATTTGCTTGCTTCGAAACAGCTTGTGGGGTCACGGCCTTCATTCTAGTAGAATTGCAAGATTAAAATTTTTCAAATTTTGGTGAAACTGCATGAGCAAATTATGAACGTATAAATATGTATTCACCTTGCTCACAACAAAGGCTAACCAACCAGCTTGCGCCGTTTGAATGAGATTCGCCGCAATGAGAAATACAAGAGCCAGTGAATTATTGACTGAAATGTGAAAAAATTCTATGAAATTTTTATGAAATTTTTAAATTCATTTTTTACATGAACATTTTGGTCACATACTTCGATCCGCGGACGTAAGGCCAGCGAAGTCAGGTTCAAGATCGGGAAATGCCAACTTGACGATGTAAATTATGGCGACGAGGATGCCAAATATCTTCAAGACAGAAACTTGCTTGCTTTCACCTTTAAAATAAATAAATAATTTCTCATTTCCACTTACGGCGTCGATTATGGCCAACTTCTGAATGCGGACCCGCTTTCTCCACGGCTCACCTTAATTCGTTAGTCAGTATGCAAATTAATTATATGCTTTAACATTTATATTTCACTTAACTTATACCACTTAAATATATCCAATGACAAAAATTATTACCTTGCCATTCGACTTCAACCCGTAGTCTCATCTGCGTATCGTAAATTATATGCTTTCACTTAAAAACCGTGATTTCCTCAAGTATATGAAAATATGCAAGACACTAAAAACACTGCTCAATCAGTGTGGAAAACTGGATTTGTCAATTTCGAAATTATCTGGAGAGGTGGTGTCGTCGCAGGTTTTTTTGGAAGGTACGTGACATCAGTCGTGTCGACGTTGTGGAAGTCGATGGCTTTCTCCGCAGCACATTTCTCTCTCCCCGTGACTTTATGCGGAGTTGGTTCTGTTGTGCAGAATTTGGCTTGAAGGATCAGATCAACGACCCAACTCTACTTCGTATCTGTTTACTAACATCATAGTAAAGGCAAGAAACTGCGCAAAAATATTCGCACACTACTAAAGCTTACCTCCTTGCTGCATAATAATGGCGAGAAGATGTTACAACGTAGTATTTATTAAGTAAGATCTTGCCTTGGTTAAAATGAGAAGTGGCGAGATTTGTCCGTGATATTAAACTTGGGATGATAATTCGCAAGTGATGATTATACATATGTAACGTGCAGTAAGTATGCATAATGAGCGAATATGGAAAGAATGCTCAAGGGTAAAAATGTTACAGAGTAAAAAATATAAGCTCAAAAACATGTTTCGACTATGACCAGTTTGCTTTCTTGTGAGATGTTTATTAACCTGAGTTGCTTTCCTTTTATTTTTCAAATTAAGTAGTATGCAATTAAAAATTACTAATTTGCCTATGTATTTTTTAGTTTTACGGGCAGCTTAGGATTAGTCATTAGTTTTGTTGTAAACTAGACACTAATAAGTATCTTGTAAGAATTTGATATTTCTGCCAATTTTATCTCACTGATTTGATGCAAGAAAATATTTTACTTTTGCCATTTATCACTGTGATAATTACCTGATCGAGACCTCTTAATGTATGCTTTTTATGACTTTTATAAATAACTATAAATCAATACACATTATGCAAATCAATGAGTACATTACTGATTATAAGAAGTATAAGAATTTCATTTACTAATTTTCAAAATCAGTATAAATAATCAATCTCTAATAGCGTGGCCGAAGTATAAGTTTTGCATCGTGCGAGCGGAGTACCGCAGCTCGCATGGGGTCAAGACACGGCGCTCGTGAGGCAGGATCCAGCTCAAATTTGAAACGTTGCAGGAGACCACAAGTGAATAAAAATAATTCGTCTCTTGCTAGCGACTCTCCAGGACATACACGTTTCCCTATTTAAATATACATAAATATTCATCATCACGGTCGGAGTTCTTTACTAAATAATTTGCATATGTATATGTATGCAGCCTCACCAGTGGAGAAAACGTACACAGACGCATCAGGATTCTCAAGAAATCGTTCTGGGCGAAAGTTTTCTGGGTCACCCCAAAGACCTGGATCGTGATGGACCTCCCACAAATTGCCAAACACAATGCAATTCTTCGGAAGCGTGTAGCCATGAAAGTTGGAAATCTTCTCGGTCGTGGAATGGAATATTGACATTGCACCGATCGTTACCATTCTCAAGACCTCGTTTATCAACGCCTCAGTGTACCGCATTCTGTGGGGAAAGACAAAATTCATTCGAAATACTACATAATAAAAATTCGAACATTTTCATCGTCAATCTTCGTCAATAAAAATTTATGACATACTTTGGACGATCTGCAACTGATGGGAGACGGCTTTTTCCAACGACCCTGTCAATCTCTTCGTGTGCCTTGGCTTGCGCTTCGGGGTACGAGGCAAGGAATAGGAATCCCCAGGTCAAATTGCTGGATGCTGTCTCACCCCCAGCCACGAACAAGTCGAGCAATACGATGAGCAATGATTTCTCTGGAGAAGCATAAAAAAATTATTAACCGACATGTCAATTAGTTATGCATATTATAGAGGACATTATTTTCTTGTACCGCCAAGTTCGCCAAAAAAGCTGGAATCCTTGTCATCCGTATTCGCAATCTTTTGAAGGTAAATGTCAATAAGGTCGCGTGGACTGTTGGGATCAAAGGATTTCTTGTGCTCATCAATGAATCTTTGAAGGACTGGAAAAATTGCGACAAAGCTGGCAAGAAAGTTGTCCCAGCCCGACAACTTTGGAGCTAAACGGGTCAGCCAGGGCATGAAGAAGAGTATGTTGGGCATGAACGAGTCGGAATCAAGGGACCTGCATCATTAGAAATATGTACAAAGGTTGCATTTGAGAAACATGGACAATTATACATTTCACACGCACCTAAATCGTACCACGTGACCTGTCATCCTAATCAGCGTGTGCAAATCAGGGTCGTCATACTCAAACCGTGACCCTGCTACGATATGCCACAAAGTGTTGATAACTGCTACATGAAACTTTTGATTGACAGAAATGGGAACTCCGACATCCTTCCTGCAACAGCGAGAACAATAAAATAAGTCGCTGATTATAATATATTTAATAACGTTGTATGTTTACTCGAGAAGTTTGTTCAATTGAATGACCTCGTCCAATACTTCCTTTTCCGCACGACTCGTTCCAAATCCTAGCGATTTAAACGCACTGATGGCAAACTTGCGCTGTTCAGACCATTCAGTTCCGGATCCAAAAATAAGACCTTTCCTGTGACCCCAACTCCGTTCTGCACTCATGTAAATTAATATAGCAAAAAAAACGCAAGGCATGCAATGATTTGTAAAATTGTATCTACTTGCCAAGAAATGGGCGCAACGGAGGCCGAGCGGAAACATGATCGTCTCGAAATGCATCTTTTATCATTTGCAGATCACTCAGAATCACTGCCCTGCACATATTCAGCGTACACGGTGTTACATATGTAAATATAGCAATTGAAATTTTTTTGAAATCTTACGGGTAGTTTCCAACATGAATGCCGCATATCTTCCCGTAATTTTTAATAAGGCGGCGAAGACCTTGATGTGGAGGATTTCCCAAAGAAAGGAGCCCACCAACAAATGGTAACCTCCAGGGTCCTGTTCAACCAAACCGAAGAAAACAAAACTTTCAAAATAGGTCACAACCAGTTAAAAGTCAAAATGCTTCAATTTTATGTACATACCAGGAGGAAAATCCTTCGGTTTATTGGTCATAAAATGGTAAAGGGCGAACAGAACGACGAGAACGACCCCCAAAATCAAACCGACAGCCATGTTGACCAAGAAAAGTGTTAAACTATGCACGTGTCCGCAGATATCGATGCCCACCACAGAGTGCTGATTGATGAACCCAACTAAATTAGCAATTATAATAATGGATGCAATTTATAAATGGTTTGAACATGCTGAAAATGGATTGATTTAATCAACACTTAACTAAAGTGATTTATATTTCGTCACATTTATTGTGTCATTTTGTTATCTACTACACTTTACAGAGTACACTATTTATTAATGACATGTCTGAAACAAGATGCAATCATTCAACTAATTTCATGGTGATGTACAACTTTTCTTGACGTCATCCATTCTATTTCATATCTTTTGGAAATGCAGGGTGATCCTCGATCCTGCAACGAGTCACGTATGCAATATTTTTAAAGTTTTTACATCACATGCAGATGCAATTAATTTATTATGTAGGATATCTTACCCAGGGAGAAAGTCAAACTTGAGCGATCTCCCACTCGCACCCTTATCCAACCCTTCCAAATCTTTCATATCTTGGGAATCCAGCTCAAAATCCAGAATCTGTCAAGAAAATTATTGAAAAAGTAATCTTGAGAAATTAATCCAGATAAACGAATCTGGAGAAAGCGCTTTACAAATTTAACTCACTTGAAGATTTTCTTTGAGGCGTTGTGCATTCACACTTTTCGGTATGACTGCAATTCCCTGTTGAACTAAAAATCGGAGACACACTTGTGCCGGACTTTTCCCATGTTTTTTCGCAATTCGGACAACGGTGGAATCAGAGAGGAGACCGAGGGGCTTAAATGTTCTGAATAAAAAGCATGATTCACATTGTAACTTCATCATCACTGAAATATTTACATAATTCACTTTACCGTCCAAAATTCTGGTAAAAATCGCCCCGTCCAGGCGACCCCAATGGGGAATAGGCGCACACAGAAATCCCATGTCTGGCACAAGTGGCACGAAGCTCTTTCTGCTGAAAGTAGACGTGACCTTCGACCTGAAGACAGGCCGGAGGAACTTTCGCCACACGGACGATGCGCTCAATTTGGCTCGAGTCACAATTTGAGAGACCGATCGAAGCAGCTTTTCCATTTCGCACGACTGCCTCCATCGATGCCCAAACGGCTTCTAATTTAGTCCTCGAGTCGATCACGACCTTTCCGTTGCTGATCGGGATTGGGTCATTCTCGCCGGAAGAATCCAACCCGAAGGGAACATGGATTAGGTAGAGGTCCACGTAGTCAAGGCCTAAATTCTGAAGGGAGAGGTTCAAGAAGTGAGCAACTTTCTCTGGATGTATTCCTATACGGTGGTGGGAAGATTTTTAATTTTATAATTTGCATAGTTATATGTTTCAATAGTGCCATGTCGATTAGTTAGTTCCTCAAACTCACCGCAAATTGGAAGCTATTTAGAGAAAAAATAATAAAATTAGTTTCCAGTTAAAAATTTTGACTTTCACTTAAATTTTACCTTTGTCACGATAAAAAGTTCCTTTCTGGTTATTCGGCCAGAATCCAGCCACCGTTTCACTACACGCCCAACGACTTTCTCATTTTTGTAGATCCATGCAGTGTCGATATGTCGATAGCCCAGCTCCAGTGCCGTCTCCAAAGCTCGGTCCAACTCTTCCTCGTTGTCGGACAGCCAGGTCCCTGCGTGCATAAGGGATTGGGCGATGTGTGAAAAATAAATCAAAATTTCCTAACCTTATGAAAAACTTACCGAGACCAATAAGTGGCATTGTCTTAGGATTAGTGGATGCCATCACGTATTTATTTATATGTTTCTTAAATGAAATTCGTGGGTATTATATTTTAGAGATCACTAAAATAATTGAACCACTGCATGCAAGCGACTTAAATACTCTGGGCAAATAAATATCTGCAAATTAGAAATGTTGTCAACTGGACCGAGATAAGATAATAATGACGTTGCTGTTCAATGAAACACTCGCAAATTATTAAGTGATCTTGATATGCGAAATTATAAAGCATTATGCAAAAATATTCAATTAGCCGTGGTCTATTGCAATTTAAGTATTTATTTATTTCAGAGACAAATCACAAATGAGTCAATTTTTTTATAAAATATTATCCCACAATCCAGGAATTCGATTTTTCTTTATCCACTCGTCCAAAGCTGCATTCGCGCGAGGGGTGAGTTCCTCCTTCCACCCACCAACTTGACCTTTTCGGATAAAGTGCGTCTTCCTAGGGACGCCGTGAACTTGCGTGAGAAGCTGTGTGATCTCGTCCAAATTGATGTGCGGATTTTTCTTCATGCTCTCAAACGATAAGTGATCCAGCAAAGCGGCTCTTTCATTTGGGGAAATAGGTCGCCCTATAAATGCTGCCGTTCGGTCAATCACGTTCCCCAAGTCCTAAGATTAAAATAATTGAGTGAAGATTTTCCAATCTAAAATTTTTAATAATCGCAGATATTTATCCCCACCTTTTTCAACTCTTCAAAAGTAATGAACAGAATATTCGGCTCGTGTCGTCGTTCCCAAAAACTTTTTACATGGCTCCAAAACGGGGCGTAGAAAGCTATTAAAAAACAAGGTCATAATTACTTTCCTTGCCATTATCGGTAGAGCAACTAGGAAATCTCCGCACTTACAGAGATCCGACGTCCACTCATCCACCACGAAATCTTCCAGGGAGCCCGTGTACCCTTCGATGAGGACGCGGTGATGGAAAAAGCTGACACAAAGATCCTAAAAAAAGCGACGCTACATTCTTCATCTTATCATCCTCCCATAAGCGCTACTTACTTTAGGGTTTCTCGCCACGTAAATAATTTTGGGCGATTTCTCCCCGTCACGAATTTGACGTGGAAGCAGCGACCAAGGCAAATGGGACTGGATCGTTCGGGGTGAGTCCAAATCTTTGACCAACTCCATTGTCGACGGTTTTTCATCTTCTCCCTTCAACTTATTACTGATTTGGGCGACGGGCCACGTGGCGTCAAATCTGGGGGCAGAGATTTCATTGTGATTTAAGCATTATACAAATTATTGTCAACATGTTTGTAACGCTATTATTACTCGAGATACGGAACCCGAATGTACGATTGTACTGCAGCCGCTTCAAAGTTCAAGTCATGAAGTAGTAGCCAAGCCATCTCCTTCGTCCAAGTTGTCCCTGCCTTGATTTACATTAAAAACGAGGAAAATATGATCACTATGAATGTAAAAAACAAGACCATTCATATGTATCACCTTGATGAATGAACAAATCCACAAGTCATCTTCGCGAACTTGTAGATTCTCAATTAATTCTGCACTCTGAGCGAAAAATTTTGGGAGAAAGACGCGATCTGGACCAAAGTGGGCGAAGGCTTCGGGGTAGATGAGCGGGTTTTGTCGCGAAACGAGGAGGTCAGAGGTCACTTTATCTACATCGGTGTAGGCCGCCATCGTAAATTTTGTATTACAATTGAAATGATTATGAGAAGAACGTGGTTGTATTCGCACGGAATGTCTCGTTATCATATGTATGAAATGCGTGTCTATTTTCATCTTGTATTTATATCGGGTATGAACACTTTGGCAAAGGTTTGGAAATCACTTATCACCACTTCTTATCGGTAACAATACTTGACAATTATTTATTCATCACGACACAACTGAATTGTATGTCATTAATAGTGGACAAACTACCGTATGCACTCGCAGAATCATTTGAGAGGTCAAGTATACTTATGCATACACCTGCTTCCATTAGAAATAATGACGCAAATTGTTAGCAAATGAAACAATGATATGTACCGATTACTGTATGTACATCGGACCCTATTATTACATCAGATTTATGATACTTAAATTATTTGGGTACGTGACATTTTGCAGGAACATTTTTGTAACGTCATAAACGAGTCGCCATATTTCTTAAGAACGTGCACCTTGCGTATTTCCGGTGAAAGTAATTTGCATACTTTCTGGTGAAAATGACAAAATTATATAAATGTGCAACATAAACATTTCAATTCACATTTCGCATTTCACTCTGTCGTGGTCTGTACATATACATATGCTTCAATTCTAATTATACAAATAGTGGCTCAAGATGCAATTTGATAAAGCGAGACAAACCTACAAAAATGTTATGCAATCACTGTGTTACACATGTCATCGATAAGTATTCGGCCATCGATTTATGTCACTTATCATTCTGACAACTACAAACACACCATAAAATTCCAAAGTTTTGGTGATCAACACACCACTGACTCTCATATAAAAATATAAGTCTGTGGGTAGCTGGTATCATTTGTGATTCCTGTGCTTCAGACAATAATTTCCTTGTTTCCAATATCATCACATCATGTTAAAGGTGACTTTCACCTTGCTAAGCGTAATAGTAGCCGTTGCTTTAGGGCAACCAGGATGCGGGCCAGACGAGGTATCAATTTAGATAAATACTTCTCTTGCATTATAATTGTGTATAAAGTGAAAGTATTGTTTTTTGGACTGTAGTACATGTGCAGTGACGGAATCTGTATCCCTGCAAATTGGGAATGTGACCGATGGGATGATTGTGCAGACGGGTAATTTAATCCAGCAAATGTTTAACCTTCAGTAACTAAATGTCCTTGCTTAACTTGTGTGCAGGTCTGACGAAGTAAACTGCGCTTGTGAGGTGAGTTGAAGTAGAAGAGTTCATACTTTGAGAATAATGATGTGACGACTTTCACTTTTCCTAAACTTATGCAGCACCGATGCCCAGACGGGAAATGCATTGAGGAAAACTGGATCTGCGATGGATGGACAGATTGCAGTGATGGGTACATGTTTTTCTTAACTTACTCAAATATACACCCACCTTAAATATCTAAATATGCACCAAAAATGCTTTCTCCAGCTGGGACGAAGCCAATTGTACGTGTGACTTTCAATGTCCGGATGGTCGTTGCATCCCATCGCATTGGGTTTGCGATGGTTGGAACGATTGTTCAGACTCGTGGGACACTGTTGACGAGCAGGTCAGTAAATAGGATAAGGTGCGACGACATGACACAACAATGATGTCACCTATTTAATTACTTCACTTTGTGCAATTATGCAGGACTGCCCATGTCCCGGTGAAACCGTCAAGTGTCCCAATGTGAATAAGTGCATCCCAATTTGGCAGTGGTGTGATGCGGACGGAAGTGAGGGACGACATAATCCTTTCAAATCATATCGATTTATGTAATTGAGATTTTATTTTTTTATTAAAGTTTGGGACTGTCCTGAAGGCACCGACCAAGCGAACTGCACTATGCCCTCGCATAGCATGAAAAAAAGTAATACATTCACTCATCATGATGATGAATCGCTCAACAAACTGACAAAAGAAGATCAAGCTCAACGTAAACGATTGAACCAAATGTATCGCAGATTCAATTCACAATAAAAAATAATGTTTCTAAAAAGGTAAACTGTCTAGGATTAAAATTATTAAAAATTAGGGTTCATTAATTGAAGATCTCATGCATCATTGGACGCTATTGGACACTTGTATCCAAATTTCAACTACTCAACTATCGCTTTCTCTGCTAGTACTACTTAAGTCTTCGCTGAAAACGAAAGCAGGATTAACAGCACCACCCCCGTGTTCTCCTCCGCCATGACCAGGATAATTTCCGTTCATGGCTTGATCAAACGTGGGCGGTGGAGCTTCCTTCACAGGAATGACGCTGACGGACACCATTGACGGAGGTTGGGACCGGAGAAAGTCCTCGTACGAGGGGGGCTGATCCTCGTCTGCATTGTACGTCGCAGACACGATCTGCACATGATAGCGATTTTATTACACATTCTAGTTATCAAAGTTATTGATAACTAGCGTATAAGCCCGTCTCCCGCCGGGCGAGAGCGTATTTGATTTTCGTAAAAATTAAGTCGGATTTTCCATAATTCCAAAGAATTATTATTTTTTTTATACCTATTTATATAATTAGCTGGAAATGCCTGTTGGACAGGAAGTGAAACTTTTTCCAGTTTTACTTCCGTCACGGAAAATTACTTTCACTTCCGTTGCAGACAAACACTTCCAGCTTATAATATAGATCATCAATTGCTAATTAATTGGTTTTACCTGACGTCTTGAATCATGCTCGGAACGACGTGGAATTGTACTATTCCTCGCACTGCTTTCACTCGCTGACCCATTTCTTGCCCTAGTCGTCCTCCTCCGACAGTGCCTGGAAATTCTCACATTTAGCGCGGCACACCACTTCCGAGCTGATTGAAATCGACACGCCAGCAGAATGAGTGTGGGAGGAAGTAGAAAACAGAACACGACCAAAATAGCGATCCGCAGGGCAACTTCGGCCAAATCTATGGGTAACAAATTTGTACATATACGCATGCATATAAAATGGTTTTATTGTAATAATTCATACGACAATCCGAGCCGACACAGCCTCCACGAGGGGAACATGTAGCGTCACTCTCGTCTAGATTAGAATGCATTCCACAATTCGGGTGCCCGTTACAAAATCCCATTTCCGGAATGCATCTAGCTTTTTTCTCGTCTTTCTTTGGTGTGATTCCACAGCAGAATTCGTCCTTGTTGCAGTTGCTGCACCCACCATCGACCTCTACATATTCAGCACTAATACATTATTCTGGATAAACCATGAAACTCGTGCACAATTTTATACCATAATAAATGTTGACCACAAGCTGAGCGTATAACCCGGACCAATCCCCCTCAGCTTTCACTTCCGCCACTATTACGTCGTCCAGCACGTTGTTGACCGACTGCCAGTTATTTTCTCTATTGTCCTCTGTCAAGCAAATCTTTAAGGAACGTGTCACGTGCCCACCAACTCCCTGCATTTACATATTTATTATGGTGACACAATTTAAGAAACTTGTCTTATAAATTGCCATACCTGGCCCTCCAACACGAGGTGATTGTCGCTTCCATGACACACAATCTTTTCCACCACGACGCTCAAGCGATATCCGGAGTCATACTTTGATGCTGTTCTCCCAATGATGCCACCACTGCCTCCCATATTTATGTCAAAGGCGAACAATGAATTGTTAGAATGCACCGTGAAAATGTACTGCGGTCGATCATACGGACTTATCGGGATGTTTGATAAGTGTGGTGGTGGAAATAATTTCGTTATTTCTTGGTCGTTATTATTATCTTCCTTGGATCCCGTCACGCCAAAAACAATGCGCAAAACGATAATGGCGAGGACTTTGTAATTTGCCATTTCAGATATTTTTCCATGTGCAGGCTGCAGGCGTTGTGCACCCGCAATCTGTCTCTGGTTAGCAGAATTTGTGGTTTTTAGCTATCAAGTTTTATGTAATTCAGCCGTTTACGATTTGCAGATGAATTGAAGTAGTGTGATGATAAATGCGTTTGTTATTTAAATGCAGTTGTAGCATGTGTGTATTGTCGGTTTGAGCTTTTGTGGAAACAGACCATTGCAGAAAAAATGAGTCCATCCATCGCCACTATTTGTTCGTGATGATGATAAGAGGTCCGATTACTGGGTTTTCACTCTCATGAATGTATGTAATTCCATCCATGTTTAAACAGGATTTCAATCAGATCGGAACAGAATGCATATTATTTAGGCAACTACATGAATGTCGCACATTTTATTTGACACAAGTACACAATGCTCGTGTTACATAAACCGAAAATTCTATCGAGTCGATTCGATTTATCCTTTTTTCAGCATTTTTATTTTTTGTGCAATTACGACACTTCAAATTATGCATTGGTTTTTCACTAATACTTTCACTAATCAAGAGGACAACCCTTCACCGACAGAATCACCGATCTTGATGCCCTTTGGATATGTTGTAGTCCTAGGTGAGTCTAGCAAAAGTGAAGAAGGATTTCATTCAATGGCCCCATTTGCGCCCGCCACGAAGAGGAATCCCATGACAAAATGCTCGCATTAAAAAATTCGCCAAAAATCCATTTTTTATGATATTTTGACAATTGCGACCAGAGTAGCAGAGGCTAGGGGGACAAAGGTCACGATAAAGGAGGGGGTGTGGCCACGTCCTGTACTGAAAGTTTTTAATTGAGCAGCAATGTACAGGAAGAGGAACCCGAACCCGCAAAAGCTCACTGGAAAAATTAGTTATGCACAAGATTAATGTAATTTATAACTTAAGATTTATCGTGATAAAAAGGTCAAGATAATTTACGACTATCTGGGATCAAAAAAGTGCAAAAATTGTAAAAATATCATAAAAACCTATCAGTACAGCTTTGCTTAGCCCGAACCAGGATTGATTAGTAAACTCATGTTTGTCAGAATGTTGTACGATTTTTCACTAATTCTTGCATTAACTAGCGTAACTTGGTAGTATTGCTTGGCACCAAATACCACGAGCAGTGTGTTCGTATAAAAATTTCGAAATTCAACCGTCCTAAATTCTAATCTAAGTTATTTTTTGACTCCTCACTAAATTTTAGCTGAATATATAAACTCCTAGAAATCGGTATGGGCACCCTTAGTGCCCCTCTGGTTACTTTTTTTGTTCATCTTTGACTTCATATAATTTCATGAGAAGCCATTAAGTATCACCGTTCCGAATTTCAACTTTTTACGACAAGTTATGAAAATCGGTATGGGTCACCCCAACTGGTCCCGGCATGTGAAAATTTTACCAATTTCACTTCATATTCTTCCATTAGGGGCCATTAGCAGCCTCTATACCAAATTTCAGCTCGATTGGACGATTTTGAAAAATCGGTATTATGGGTCACCCCCTCGGCCAACTCAAGTTGAATAATTTTCCAATTTCAATTCATATTATTTCATTTGGAGCCATTAGCAACCTCTGTACCAAATTTCAGCTTTATACGACCATTCTGAAATTTTGGTGCATCAAACCCCACCCACTCCGATGACCCCCACCGGTCAACCACTTGACCGATTTGGCCCATCTTCGAACTCGTTTCCTAACTTTGTCCAATACACATGTGGTAAAAATTTCAAGTCAATCGGTCAACTCGTTCGAGAGCTATCGAAAGACAGACGGACAGACAGACAGACAGACAGACAGACAGACGGACATGACAATTACATACTTCTTCACGTTTGCTTGACTCACCTAATAGTACAACATATCCAAAGGGCATCGAAATCGGTGATTCTGTCGGTGAAGGGTTGACCTCCTAAGTATATCATGCTGATGTGTTCTTATTGAACCACACCCACCCATAATAATAATAATAATAGTTTATTCACATCACAATATGTAGTAATACATTTTAAAGAAGATCATTCATACCCTGTAGTTCAGGAAATACATGAATGTCTTAATTATAGTCATAAAATCATATCAAAAAATCAATTACATAAAAATTCATAAAACAAGTTTGTAGGAATACGCCTCCCCTCAGCCCATCCAAATTGAATGCTTTGTCACGAGGTTCGGTTTTCATGAGAAAAATATCGTCATAAGAATAGCCAGGGATGGGCAATCCCAGGATTACTTTAATCAGATTAAGTAATCAGATTACATTGAATGTAATCCGTAATCCAGTAATCCACGAAAAATTCACATTTTAAAGTAATCCGTAGTCCGTAATCCTAACTAGGTCTGGAAATGATGTGTAATCCGTAATCTCCAATTTTCGAGATTGGAAAATGTAATCAGATTACGGATTACTTTGTTGGATTACTTTGCACCTGTAAACGGGGTGACAGCTCCATCTTGCAACTTCTCCAGAGTTTGAGTCACTTGCTGAACTTGAGTGCTTAAACTACCGTCTGGATTAAGTGCAAAGTTTAGAGAATTTTGGAACAATGAGTAGGGGTTGATTTACTTCAACACATCTCTGTCAGCATCGTCACCTGCACAAGGTCTTGTTAGTTCTGCCATAAGATAATTTTGTCTGTTCTAAGAAACCAACTGTCGGATGAATCATTCAACGTTCGTTTTTTACACTAATCATCATCATGAAATATAAGTGTGACTCTATTCAGAATGAACTGTTCCAAATGAAATGTAGCAAAGGGGTGGAGCGAGACGGTCACACGGTCATGGCATGCCAAAACTATGTCTAGATTTTATTTTTAAAATCCCCGCCCAGAACTACGTATAAAACTATTAAAACATAAATACGACATTTTCGACGTTGGCGTCGTCGACACGGTCACGCGGTAATGCCACGTCAAAACTATGAAAATTTTTGTAATCCCTGTCCAAAACTATATCTAAAACGGCCAAAACAAAAAATTCGACACCTTTGATTCGTGGCATCATCACCTTGGGGCCATGACCTTATGACCTACAATTCCCATTTTCAAACTCATCCGTACTTCAAAAAATTAGAAACCCATTGGCGAAAACCGCATGATGAAATTCGAAATCGTTATAAAGTTATCGTGGTTAATTACAGACCGGCGGACAAAACATTTCCATTAAGGGATTTCGCTTCGCTTCACCTCTTAATACATAAATGTAGATTTTTGTAATCCACATAATAATCCGTAATCTGATTACTGTAATCCGTAATCCGTAATCCACATCATCAATTTATCCCAGTAATCCAACAAGTAATCCACATTATTTCAGAAATGACGTAATCCCAATCCAGTAATCCCATGATAATTTTGAAATTAATTAATCTGTAATCCGTAATCCATCGAAAGTGTTGGGATTGCCCATCCCTGAGAATAGGAATAGGAATGATTCATTCTCGAGTCTCATGTCTCACATTTTCCGGACGAACTGGAAGTGAAAACTGAAGGTTGAAGGTTGATAAATGTCATCCATCCGTACACACAATACAAACCAGATTAAACAGACAACAGAAAGGATTATAAACAATTATAATCTCTTGATCTGTATTATTTTTTGGTAAAAATTATTAATTCAAAACCGTACCGTCATTTACGATTAGAAAACTAGCCGGTTGCTCCGTATTTTTGGTAAGATTTGCAGTTCTTGTGTTAATAAATGTAAACCTCGATCACCGATCTACTTCTCCATATGATTGATTGTGACAATAGTGAATTGACGTCTTGCCTAATTTACAGACTGGTAGCGTTGATGGGGAATTTCATATCAGGGGGACGGACATCTCAAGACACAGTTGGTGGTGACGACCACCGCATTCCGAGGGAACATTGGCCTAACGTGGATGTCACTTGGGTAGATTTTCAAAAACGTAGAAAATCGCCCTATTACGTCGAAAACGATCAGGACGACGGTGACGACATGGGCCTCAATGGATTCCTCTTTCCTGGCGGATTTGTCATTCCTGACAGTGTGATTGAGCTTATCCTTGCTCTCGTAAGACCGGAAGATATCCTCCGTTGCAATTTGGTAAGGAATACACAAAATTGTTTATGGGAATATTATTGCTAAATTGTTTTTGTGTATTTTATTCAAAGGTTTGCAAAAACTGGAAGGATATCATCACACGCAAATCATACTGGAAGATTTGGTTTGATCGTAACAAATGGGATTGGAACATGATTCCACAACACATTAAAGATATGCCGCAAGCATGGATCGTGTTTCATGCTCAAGTTCGACATCACATTTTTACCAAAAATTATGTCGTCAATCATAGCGGAGTTGGAGATAGTACGTATAAGCGTAAATTTAGTATATTGTCGTAATTTAGACAGAACTAACAGTATGATTTCATTTTCTTCTAGACAGAAACGATTTCCGCAATTGGACAATCGATCGTAATGGAGGAGATCGCTGGAAATTGGAGACAAATCCGAAAGGATGTAACCCATTGTCACCGGATCCGTTTTTCGACAACAGTACTAGTGCGTGGGTCACATCATTTTCTCCTTGCTCGAAATGGACCTCGATTGATTTGTGGGAAATGGGATTAACGCCTCCAGTGATGATGACGTGTCTCCCATTCAGCCTCGTCTGTAGTCAAATGTACGACAACTGTCATCAGGATCTTGTAAAATGACCTGTTCTTTTAATTTTTGACTAATACATTCCAACAATTAACAGGTACACCGCTCGATTCGACTCTGGGGGAGTTTTTACCTGGACTCTTCGAACTCTGGACCGACAGGAAGAAATCATTCACGAATTTACCGAAGTTTACGAACTAAAACCGGAAATGGAATGGCAAACAGCGACTCATCCTTTTCCCTTTAAAGAAGAACACATTGACAACATAAGTGAATTGCGATCCCTCGTATTTGTCCATCAAGGAAAGGACGATCGATTTTGGAAGGGACATTATGGTATTAAATTTTCACGCTCGTGTGTAAAACTTCAATTGGATACTCCTTCTGCTCGAGATGGTGATGGAGTCGTTGAAGTGGTGGACAAATCAGAAAATTGAACACATACATTACATACATTTAACGCGTATGTATGTAGAAAAAGCTACCCCATTCATCTCGTCAGTATCACACTTATTTTTCCACGAAAAAGCTATAATTTTTTCGAGAGTAACTTATATTTTATGGCGCATAAATCCTTGTCTGAAAATTAACCGGTGTATGTATTTATACTACTATAAAATATTATATAATAATGTTACACATTTACATTTAAATTATACTGGTGCCATTATTGTAATTTAATTACTTACAATAATAAGATATTCAATAAATCATCGTTGAACATGTTCGTTATAAAAACTATCACTTAATTAAGCTATCATAATTAAAATCACACGACCAGAGATGTACCTTCTAACAAAGTAGCATGGCTCATCGTGTGAATGAAAATTATCATTTGCAAAAAATTTTTGCACGCAAAAAAGTATGCATGCATTTTCCAAATTCATGCGACGAATGCAAAGGCGGGTGAGCTACACGTCAATCTCGATTGAAAAAAGCTGCAGCTGCTGATTGGAACTTTGTGTACAATTGCTGAATTTTTAAAATTTCACTTCTGAGACTGGTTAGTAATATAATATTTATTCCTTTGTAATATTAATTAATTTTGCAATCTTGGCATTGTTTAATCGTTTCTTTTTCAACATTTAGGTAACTCGCGAGACAAGAGTGAAGAAAATTAAGAAAAAAAGAACAAAGTACAATTCATTTGCTCACCGCAGCTTTATTTTAAGTCGACACCCACACCCACCCTTCACCCTTTAACATGTCTTTCCTAAGTATCCACTTCCCACGGTGGGTGTGGTCGGAGGTCTGTTTCAGAATTTTTATATTCGTCATTTTTCTGTAAGTGAAATTCATTATGCTCGAACTTTATGGTTGTAGTGCAACATTTACACGTTTTGAATTTAAATTTATTATATTTTTTCAGAATTACCGAAGAATTATCACCTTATCATCGTGTTATACAACCGGAAGAGGCTTGGTTGTACAGATTTCCAAATAAAGTGTCTATTGTTCCTTCTCAATTGCTTTGGGTAAAAAATATGGTTTAACAATATATGCAAAATAACCACCTAGGTCATACACTTTCCATTTATCGTTTTTAAACCTCGTGGTTGGAAAAACTTGAAAGTATAAAAAGTTATGCTGTTATTATAATATTGTTTCGTTTTGTTACAGTTAATTCTTGTCATTGCCACCTTAACTGTGATAGCTGTAGTTTTTGCGTATAACAATGATCTCAATCTTGCCATTTGTGCTATTGGAGTTCCTACACTTGCACTTCCGTTAAATGGAATCATTACCAATATAATTAAAGTAACCGTCGGTAAGTTAAAGAAAGATGTCCGTTTGAATTTCTGTTATTAATCCATGTAAATTAAACCTGCATTTTAAATTTAAATTTATTTTGAAGGAAGACCACGACCTGATTATTTGGAAAGGTGCTATGGGCCTGAGTACTTAACTATAACAGAGTATACAAGACCCTGTATCGGAGCCGCAACCTTAGTTCTTGATGGAAGAAAAAGTTTTCCTAGCGGGCATTCGTCAAGTAATAAGAATAATTGTAATTTCGTGAATTTGAAGTTATAAATTACATTAATCTTGTGCATAACTAATTTTTCTAGTGAGCTTTTGCGGATTCGGGTTCCTCTTCCTGTACATTGCTGCTCAATTAAAAACTTTCAGTACAGGACGTGGCCACACCCCCTCTTTTATCTTAACGCTTATCACATTGCTAGCACCAACTCTGGTTGCAATCAGCCGTTTTGATGATTACCACCACCACTATCAAGACATTATTGTTGGTTCTCTCCTCGGTTTCTGCGTAGTTTACGCTATATATCGCCAATATTTCCCAAGCTTGGGTGACCCCACTTGCGACAAACCAGACGTTCCTTTTTCGGGGTATGAACAAGGTGCTGGAGAAGCTAGACTTTACGGACGGAGGACTTTGTCTTCACTAGAGAATCCGAATTGTATTAAAACCGTGTAACAGAAAAACATTTCAACTCTACAATAACACATGTCTCAGGATCAGGATAATTTTCAACTTTTAATGCAGGAAACCAAAGACTTTTGAAACTATAATGTCCGATTATTTTAATAATCCCAGAAACTAAAACAATGCAATTACACACAAGACTACACCCTACATATATTTACATGAATATTTTTAGTCATTGCCTAAGTTATAAACAAAATTAGTATTTTCATACTTCTGTATTTTATTATGTACACATCGATTTTACACTTCATTCCATAATAATCATTTCCAAAGTTTTAATAACCAATTTATTATTCTAATTTTATCGTATTATGCATTGTGATCCATGAAAAGAATGCAACACGAATTACAATCTCAATTACAAATTTACCCTGATTTATCTTATCATGCACGCACGCACAGTAATATTCAATTAATTTACTGTTACTAATTTTATCCTATTTAGAGCAGAATGCAGATCTGGATCGTGTAAATGTATGTATATGCATAGTAAAAAATAATAAAAATATTCACAAATGCACGGTGCATAATAAACACATACATAGAGAATGGTATGAACCGTGTCATTTTTATGATTATCATTTCACTGCATACCCTGCCTGCAGCAATTACCCCATTAATTTTCATTAAATTAAAGTGTTATAATGCAAAGTGTAACAAAGAGTAAAGTAAACTAATAGCCCATAAAACCAAACTCATGGCACGATGGCATCATTTTGTTGCACTGCATTCATTTATTTATGTAGAGCAAATTTGTATAGTTAACAACGCTGTTAAAAGTTAAATAATAACAATAAGAGCAAACCAATCCACTCCACCCCCAAGCTCGCCTTAGCCACACATTAAATCCTCCTCTTAACTTTAGCATTAAAAATATACACACATTTGCCAAAACCAAACCACCACCACCAACTTTTTGCATGCATATGCATACCGTTAGTTATAGGATTTTCGCTGTTATTCCTCACGAATAATACCCCGTGGCACGGATTGGATAAAATAAACCCATCCTGTCTTTATTTCATTTAGTAAATGCACCACAAATGGTTAAAGGATGGCCGTACTTACAGAAATGCATAGCGTTTAGCGACATAAGAAGAATGGTAAAATCAGGTTTGCATTTCGTGAGACTTTTGTCACCATTGCGTTCACGAAGCTCGTCGTCACTTCGTGCAGGGGAAGTTCTAAAGTTTCGAATTGTGAAGGAAAAGGACGGAAAATCTTCACATAAGAATTGGACGTGTTTTAAGAGCAAGTTTTTTAAGGGGAATCGTCATCTCTCGTGTTGTTTTGAGACGTGGTTATGCATTGTGTTCTGTTTAGTATATGTATTTTGTGTAATAAAGGGCGATACACTCCGTGCTTAAAGTTTGCTTTATAACAGCACCACGTTGTTGTTATAATGTGTAAAATAAGTACGGTGGTAGTTTTGTAGTCGAGAAGATCCTTTCTCGACTCTTCGTACTTATGCTTCTTCTGATCGTATAATATGGACGACGGGTTTGATTTTGGTTGCTTAGAATTGTCAGTAGCCTTCGGGCTATGGATAGAAAAGTTGTGGATTTTTTATCCTAAAAACAAATAAATGCTCAAAAAATTGGGAAAATAAAACGTCAAAATTTGTTTAGTTCAAGATTCACTGTGAATTTGGTTAGAACTGCTCTTTATCTTTATCTCAAGTAAAATAGAGTATACACAAAAGTACACATTTCTGTTTGGTGGCGTGGAAGTTTAACAATAAATTGTAAGTTTTCTGTTGATTTAAACTAACTCATTTTTATGAATTGCAATGCAGTTATTGAATTATATAATTGATTTTTGTTATCGATTTCTGACATTTTCAGAATCCTGGTTATGAACGAGCCATACTAATTCTTAATTTTTGCGATCGATAATTATCATATGGGAGAAGTCACAACTTGTGAATAGAAATTCGACTGGATACGTAAAGAAATTAATGTAACTGTTCTTCACGTATTGTTCGTTTCATCGTGTCGTGATGTGAAAACTTATAATGTAGTGTTTCATTATTTAATTATCATTACTGGCAATTAATTAATGAGGACGGAAATTCTGGAGCTGGACTGAGGACAATTATCCCATCAATTCCCATCTCATCATCTCTGCACTCTGTGGTATGTTTGTAAAGGTTTTTGACGTGAAATCCCCTCATTAATTAGTCATATTTGACGAGTAAATACGTAATTTCATTATTTGTCAAACTTGTCGTAACTGGCCACGTCGATCTACATAAATGGTGAATGGTGTGATATTTTGATGATGCCATAAATGTATCATCATCTAGTTCAAACAAAGTACCAATTGTCAGCCATTTGTTTTGTGCATTTGTGCATTTATATGTGTGTTGAACGGGGCTGGACATTATTGGCAGATCAGGTTTTGGTTCATATTAAAATGATTAATATGTAGGATCATTTAATGGCACTTATCATGCAAATGTTTTAATTGTCTAAATATTCAGTCATTTTTCTATATCATAAATGTTGAATTAACAGAATTTCACCCTTTTAACAAATTTTCTCTTAATTGATTATCTTATTTCGTTATTTAGAAAATTTTGACAAAAAGATTTCGCAATTCTTTTTTTTACACATTTTTGCACTTCCTTTTACCAGAATCGAAAACATGTACATACATTCAATTCAAACCTTATTAAATAATTACAAAACTAATCACGCAAAAGCATCACGACAACAATGGTGACATCATAAAATAACACTATTATTACACATTCGCCACTTCCACATTGTTATAATAATAATATTATAAAATTGTAATATCGTCATTTCATTGCATTATTATTATGCATGCACCACTCGCATCAGAAAATAAGCTTCTTCGACAATAAAGTGAAACCAAAATTCCCTTTCATTTCAAGTCACTCAAGAGAAGTCGTACTTATTATTGTATTCGAGGCACGTTATCTTTTTCGAAAAAACCAAAGCTAAAAGCTCTTCTTCATTCATGTATACTTTTATTTACTTGGCTTACTACCACATTGTTTCGTGAACACTGCGAATTGCGAGATGGTTTTGTTTATCACACTTCTCCCAAACTCGTACAAATACCACAAATTAAACTTCAACTTATGTATTTACCTTTCTTCTGAGGGGGTTTTCAGTTCTTTATTTTTCAAGTCAAGTCCCTAAAAAAGGACGATTCCTTCATCCATCCTATTGTGCAAGAATTTCTTGCCAAGAAATACGACTCAACGCTTCGTTGATCTCTGTCATTTGTAGTAGTTACATATTTGGCTATGGTTTAAAGATGGTGAGAAACTTTTAGTTTAATAGCACATCCGTGGTTAGTAATGTCTTGGATTTACATACATTTACAATCGTTTAATGATTTTATAATTTGCATAAAATCAGAAATACTTGAAAGTTACAGTAGCTTTTGAACGCAGTAGACCAAAAAGATGAAAAACTTTTGCTGCTTTTGAATAATTATTACTATTTACATATTAAAATACAACGTATGCACTTGAATCTAACCTTAACTTAAATGTGACTCTTTCCAAGTAAAAGTTCTTATAATTATGGTTTTATTTGTCGATGAATGACTAACAATACCTCTGAAATATTTATATTGAGCTTAATTTTGGAAAAATCTCTGCAAAAAATTCTCATTCTATTCTGGTCCTCGTAAATTTGCATTTGATATTTATTACCCCATTGTCATTATTAAATAAATAGTCACAACTTCGTCATCATCCACTATATTCATAAATCTAACCACAACAGGAAGTCAAGAACTTTGATTTGGTTCGCTGGTCTGATTCGTGGTCTTGTTTTGTTGATGGTGCATCTCCTTTTGTTTGATAATGCAAAAGACGCTGAGCTGCTTTCAAATGATTCGATGACAATCTACATAAGCACAATCTACACAGGGCTGGGCTGAAAAGGGATCAAGAAGACTGAATTAAAACTGAACTTTTTTTTTACAATTTGCACAGCAGTTTCTTGATTATATTTCATTTCATATAATTTCATCGACACAAAAAAGTTCCGTGTTCCGGAAATAGTTAAAAAATGAACCAACAATCTGTCACCGTTATGTTATCACCATTTTTTAATATCATTACTCTAGAAAGAATGGTTTGCATAATCTCTTTTTAGATCTGGGTTTGGTTCGTTGTCGAGACTCATTAAATAATAATTATGTCCAATTTTTTATTACAGCAGGAGGACCACGATATTATTGCCATATTGGATTGAAAACTGTCACAATCGCATCAAGTACTCATCTCTATTTACAATGTCGGTTTACAAGTACGACGAACAACACGGAATGAAAAGTGAAGCAGCTCTCTCAAAAAAAATCGACTCTTCATTAAACAAATATAAGTATTTTTAAAGAGTGGAGGACAATGAATGAATCACAAGAAAAAACAAGTTAATGCTCATACATACGTTATTTATTACAAAGGAAAGGAAAAAGAGAAGGGTTGTGATTTGAGTATTAGACGAATTCTTGGAGGAGGAGAGCTTTTGTCATTGTCATCTCTTCTGGCTGGACGGGATTGGACACCACGCAGCAACGGCACGGCACGGCACGCCAGAACAGATTTGGATGGAATGACTGACACATCAATTAATTAAAGAGGGGCCGACTAATGAGACTCTGACGCATATATGGAAAGAGGAAGCAAAAACTGAATAAAAGTTGACCAAGTTTAGCCCCACTCTGCTGTCCTGTGATAACAAAATCACTTTCAATTAAGGCCAAAAAGGAAGAGACGAGACCAAATCAAACAGAACCAGTTTACCAAAGAAGACGATTCTTCTTCTTGCCGAGGATAGTTTGTAATCCTGACAGATTTTGTATGGATATTAAAAATTTAATTCAGTTTGGAAACTTTTGCTCCTGGACTGGACAGAAAAAAAAGTGGCATAAGTTTTAAGCAGCTCATCTGATATTTGGTAAGTCGAAAATCTTTTGGTCAAGAAATGCAAAGTTTTTTCTTCAGTACAGCACAGATTGTAAAACTAGTCTCGATCATTGTCTCCTAAAATCTCAGCGCAACACCTTTAACTTAATTGCCTCCACCTCGTTAAAGCATATACTTAGGTACTTATCATAAAATCTTCGTGCCGTGTAACACAGCACATTTAGCTTGCTCATACTTAACAAAATCTGCTTATACACCCACATCTGGAAATTGTGTTAATGTCTTATTCTTTGTACCATGAAACGATCAAACCTGTGCACTTATCATTCATTTTATGCATTTTTTACTACTACTAACAAGCCAATCATCAAAGCATAAGAAGTTTAGTTGGTCAGTCAGTCAGTGACAGACATTTGTACAACAATTATGCTAAGCCCAGGTCAAGATTATTGAGATCAAATCAAAAGGAGAGAGATTAGAACACCCGGTGGCATGCATTTGCAAGTTGCAACAAAACAAGAAATTAATCACAATATCAAAGAACAAAACAATTGAACACAAGTTTAAGTATGCAGGAAAGAATCTTGCTTCACTGACTGATCCTCAGTCAATTGTCCACTCATACGAAGGAACGAACGAAAACGAACCATTATATTCATCATCATCGTTCAGTAATTTCACAAAACTTGAACTTGAAGCTAATTATCATTTCATTTTCTTTCGACTCGTTCATGAATTCCGTTCGTTAGTCAACCCATGTATTTGTAGTTAGTTGGCTACTAATGTTACAAGTTATTCGCACAGAGAAAGTGACCCTCGTCGTCTATTAATGGGCATTTTATTCCTGATTGGCAAAACTACATTTGTTGTTGTTGTCGTATATGTATTACGTTGGCATTGAATTTGCATCATGTATGTATACTAATCATAAATAATTTTTGACCATAGGCGATTTGGCTTCGATTGGATTAATAAAATGAATAACGACACATGTATGTGCATGTCTTTATTATTACGATAAGCAACTACTGGTTCCTTCCTGCCCAGTAGAGGTTATAGAAATACAGGAAAAGATGAGGGTCATGTACCGTGGTTTAACAATTGAGTCATGACCAATTTAGGAACTAATTTTTCAATGCGCAGTCCAATTTATCAGGAAAATTAACCACCATTTCTTTTTTTACTTACAGATAAAAATCTAACCGACGATGCCGCCGCAGCTTATTTCCAAATCGTAATGATATTACAACCGTCCTTGATTTAAAGGAAAATTCCAGAAAAATTCTCACCAATATTATTACAAATTCTTATTTTTTTCGTGATATAATAACTAACCAAGCAAAACAATTATTATCAAAACAAATATGTCGTCCAATAACTCGAGTCATCATCACCTCCTTGGGGACGGATGTTCCACTCCGACACCGACGCCTACTCCTCTCGGCGGCAGCGTGTCCTGTCCTTGCACCCCACTTTCTGGAGGAGGTGCCACGACGACGAATTCGCCTTCCACCAGTTCAATCGGTTCTCAAGCCTTCTGCTCTTGCAATTGTTCTCAGTGCTGTGTCAAGTCACAATCTCAATCCTGCTCAAATATAAACAATATTATGTCCTCCTCCAACTCGTCTTGTTCATGTTGCGGGGGAATGGGAGGACCTTCGAATAGCTGCAGTTGTATGTTACACGATTTCAATTCGTCTGGCCGAGGACTATCTTCGACTTCCACACTGACCACGTCCGCTTCCACGTCCTGTAGTAATCTGTCCTGCTTGAATTCCCTCATTCTCAACTCGCCGAACGGGTGTTCCCCTCATTTGCGTGAAGTGAGGGAAAGTTCCCCCGGAAGTGTGAGAAGTATGTGTAGCGTCGTGAGCAATTATGGTGGCGGTGGTGGCGTTGGTGGTAACTCGGGACCCGTGGGAGGAGGAGGAGGCACGTTAACAACGAAGGATCAACTCAGGCAATTATTCGAGGCATGCAAGGGCGGTGATGCTGCAAAAGTGCAGCAGTTAGCGAATCGAAGTAACGTCTCGGCCAGAGATACGAACGGAAGGAAAAGCACAGCGTTACATTTTGCTGCTGGTAATAGGAAAAACATGTTGAATAATTTGCGGGGATTTTTTTTAAAGGATGCCATAATAATTGAGGTAATAATGTTGTGGTTTCTTTGGTTTACAGGCTACGGTAGAAAAGACATTGTGGAGTATCTTTTGAATTTGGGGGCTCAAATTAATAGCCAAGACGAGGGTGGGCTGCAGGTGTGTATTATTGTATTTTTACTATTTCGCAAATTTATGTATCACGTAGCTTTAAAGTGTTTTTCCTTTTTGAAAGTGTTAACTCATTGTTCATTTGTGTGCAAATTTTGTATTTTAACAGCCGCTGCATAACGCGTGTTCTTTCGGACATACTGAAGTCGTGCGTCTACTTTTATCAAGAGGTGCGGACCCGAATGCGAAAGATCATTGGTCTTATACTGGACTGCATGTAAGAACACGGAATAAAAATATGCAGAATATATACAAACATGTACATTTTATAATTTCTATGATAATTAGGAAGCTGCAGCTAAAGGAAAAATTGACGTGTGCATCGCCTTGCTACAAAACGGTGGCGATCCGTCGATTAGAAATTCTGAGGGTAAAACGGCATATGACGTCGCGGATCCTGGTTCTACGCAAGCCGTCTTCACAGGAGAGTACATGAAACATCAGCTTCTTGAAGCAGCCCGGTCTGGAAATGAAGAACGTTTAATGCAGTACTTGACACCCTTGAATTGCAATATTGCTGCATCTGATGGGCGCAAATCTACGTGCTTGCATCTCGCGGCTGGTTACAACCGTTTAAAAATAGTCCAAATCTTAATCTCGATGGGGGCAGATGCTCACTCACGGGACAAAGGAGGGCTCACTCCGCTTCACAACTCATCCAGCTACGGTCACTTTGAAGTCTGTGAATTGCTTATAAGTCATGGTGCAAATGTCAACGCGGTTGATCTGTGGCAATTTTCTGCTGTGAGTGACTCAAAAATCTATTTTTTAAATGATGCGTTTAGCAGTTTTAACGTTTCTCTCTTTTCAGTTACACGAAGCTGCTCAAAAATCTCGCGTCGACGTGTGTTCACTTCTCCTTTGTCACGGAGCTGACCCCACACTTCTCAATTGCCACGGAAAATCAGCCATCGATTTAGCCGGGTCACGCCAACTGCAAGAGAAATTGACCTTTGAGTATCGAGGTCATTCGCTACTGCAGTGTTCCAGACTAGGAGACGTCTCCCGCATAAAGAAACATTCCGATCAACTCGTGCAACAATTTCAAGTAGGAATATATTAATTTATAATAATTATTTATGATAATTCAGTTATTATAATGTATTTAAATTGACCAAATTTCAGCATCCATTTACGTTAGAGAATGGACTTCATGTCGCACTCACTAGTTGGCCGCAAACCCAGTTAAAAAAGACGGTGGACATACTGATCAAGAAGGGTGTTGAAATTAACGGGAAAACAAAGGACGGATCAAACTGTCTGCATTTGGTGGCGGACCGTCCAGACATGTGCGATACGATGGAGACTCTTTTGAAATCCGGAGCCCTGGTCAACGCAACGGACGGAAACGGTGAAACTCGTAAGTATTCATTTTTCATGATAAATATGTAGCATGTCACTTTGCATGTGTACATTTTAATTCATTTAATCCTGTATAATTGATTCTCATTCAATTCAATTCACTGATTTGGGTCATATCTATCACGCTAATATAATTTATCGTCTCTTTATCTCATTCCAGCACTGCATCGCTGTGCCAGATCAGAGAACACGCAAGGATGTAAGCTCCTTTTGAGTTTCGGTGCTGATATTAACATTGTATCGCATCAAGGATACACTGCTGCCCAGTTATCGTCTTCAAATCTGGTTAAAATTATTCAAGGTAATACAAACCAAACCAAACCACATACAGAATCTTGACATGTTTGCAAGTCAATTCTGCACAAGAAGATAAATAGAATTCCATCCATGTACGTAGAGCTGAGCAGTTTAGGGTATGATGGATGAAATTGCAACATTCTATATTTGCATTCTGTGAACAGAGAGGTGGGTGACATATTGTCGCCATATCTGCAGCGCAAATTCTTTAGATTTTCTTCAATACATTCTAAACTTTTGAACGAGATAGATTTGTTAAATCTTGTGTAATTTTGAAATTCAAAATGCAAACTGCTCGAGGAGGAACGCTTCAGTGTGGGTGTTTCTGTTTCTTCCCAAATTTTAGTACGATACGAATATGTATCTCATCCACACTTGTGTAACACATTAAATAGTTTTACATATCTTCTAAATCGATACAAATTTAATTACTAATCATCATCATAAACTGTTGCAGACACATAGATATGAATATTTACCAATTTTAATATCTCTTATTTCCACAGAACCTCCCGTGGTCGACCTTGAGCGTCAATTATTGGAAGCTTCACGCACTGGTGATCTCGATACAGGTAATGTTGGAAGCGTTTATCGGGTGCAAAATATTAATAGTTGTCAGACTCAAGTTAATATGTTCTGGATATTAAAGTATTTATTTATCGATAAAAAATACACTAGTTCATAAAATATGCGTTTTAAATTTAAACGTATGTATGGTACATCTTAAAATACAATTTTCTCATGGCAACCTCTGCAGAGCCCGACCCAAGATTTATTGTATTTATTTATTTTTGCAGTCATTAAAATACTCACTCAACGTCCAGACATTGTAAATTGCCGTGATGTTGTAGGTTAGAAAATCTATTTATAAGCAATAATTTGTGGCGTGGTGGTCTGATTTGTATTCAGTGTAAACATAACAGACAAACAATAGTTAATAATTGAATTATTGTTCTCTTGAATAGGAAGGAACTCTACACCACTACATTTTGCCAGTGGTACGTTTAATAATCATGCTAAACTGTAGAGGAATAGTGATGATGTGGCTCTAATTTATATTTTGCACCTCTGTTTTTGTACATAGGTTACAATCGGGTTGCTGTTGTTGAATATTGTAAGTACTAAAGACTTCTGCATATATTATTGAATACATTATTTATTAATAGTTCACATAATTAATTTATCACAGTGCTCCAAAGAGGTGCAGATTTTTCGAGCAAAGATAAGGGATATCTAGTTCCGCTCCATAATGCAGCTAGCTACGGGCATTTCGAAGTCACGGAACTGCTCGTGTCTGCGGGGGCCAATGTTAACGCCGTTGATTTGTGGAAATTTTCACCAGTGAGTTGTTCAAACCAGTCAAACTTTAGTTGTTTTTGTGGAATTTGTCGTTATTATTTTCTTGAAATGTTATCCCAGTTGCATGAAGCCGTTGCGAAAGGAAAGTACGAAATAGTCAAATTTTTATTGAAGCATGGTGCTGATCCGACCAAGAAAAATCGAGATTCCATGCTGCCGATTGATCTTTGTAAAGATGAAGACATTGCTGACCTACTCGTGGGAAATTCTGCGCTGTTAGAGGCCGCAAAGAAAGGAAATTTGGCAAAAGTAAAGAAATTGCTGACTCCGGAGAATGTGGTAAGTATTTTATTGGCATGAAAAATGCTGAGCAAGATTATCGCACGTACATAAAATAACGATTTTTATAATTTCAATTTTATTTTCAGACATGTCGAGACACACATGGCAGAAATTCTACGTGTTTGCATCTAGCCTCAGGTAATTAATAATAAAGATCTAGTTTTGGACCTCGAATAAGCTTAACTAATCAATTAATTGCTGGTTTCTTGTGTTACGTAAAGGATACAACAATCTAGAAGTTGCCGAGTATCTCTTGGAGAAAGCTGCCCAATGGAATATTGAAATTGTAAACAGAACTGATAGAGGTGGGATTAAAATTGATATTTAAACGTTAAGACGCGATCCCCGATGGCACGCTGATCCCGTTTAATTCAATACTGGATTCAGTGACTAATTTAGCTAGGGGAATATAAAGTTATGGGGATATCGAGCAGGTGCTGTACAAATATTCAATTTGTGGCACCTTTTATTTTTATTTCCACATTTTAATTGAAAAATAATCAAACCATTTATTTAATCGTTTTATGCTCTCATAATTACAGGAGGACTGATTAGTTTACATAATGCGTAAGTTCATCAATTACTAATTTATATTAAAATATCCTGGATAAAGTCTATAATCTTTTACTATTTTTAACAGATCCTCCTACGGTCACTTGGACATTGCGGCACTATTAATAAAGTACAACGGGCATGTTAATGGTATGCAAATGATACTATTCTAAATACATAATTTTGTAAATATATATAATTTGTGGAAACTTACTTTCTGACAGCAACCGATAAATGGTTATTTACCCCGCTGCATGAATCCGCCCAGAAATCTCGTAAGATTTTCAGAATTGTTTCGTACCATAAAGAGCTCCATTAATCAACATCTCATAAATTTTTAGGAACCCATCTTTGTGCTTTACTTCTTGCTCACGGTGCTGACCCATTTTCAAAAAATCAAGAAGGTCATACTCCAATCGATCTCGCTGTCGCCGAAGATGTCCGTTCCCTCTTAAACGACGCTATGACCACATCCAAGGAGCTCCCCGTCACTCTGAAAATTCCTGGAGGCGGAGGTGTCAAGTCGCCATCCATCATTCACTATCCCGTCGCCAATAACTCTACCGCTTCAATAGCGACAGCCACCAGTCCCAATGGAAGCACGTCCTCCTCCTCAAACATTGCCGAGACTGAAATCCCAGTCGCTAATGAAACTGTGATAATGGTAATGGCTGAATTTATTAGAGATTTTAAAAGAGTAAATGAAGTTTAACTAACTCTAAAATTCTGCAGCCCTCTGGAAATCCATTCTTAATTCCAATCCGATCTCTCCTCTCGTCCGGTGGGGGTGACGGGGAAGCAGAACCAGGGGGTTCGTCAGCATCATCATCATCCTTCATTTCCGCAGCAGTAATTGCGGCAGAAGCAGAACTGAAGAAGGAAAAGATGAAAGCTGTCGTCAACCTTTTAGCATCTCTAACACTGGATCATCTCAAGGACACATTTGAAAGGGAACAAATCAGTTTGGAAATACTGGCTGAAATGACGCACGAAGATTTGAAGGGAATCGGTGTCGTTGCTTACGGACATCGCCACCTTCTGCTAAAAGGCGTGGACAAGATCCGGGCTAGCATGGGAGGAGGCACGATGCTGATCGAATTGCCGAGAGATGATCGCGAATACTTGGCCGTGGAGGATGAAATGCAAGGAACGATCCGATCACACCGAGATAACGGGCAGGCTGGAGGAATTTTTACAAAGTACAACATTATCAAGGTGCGTATTATAACTTATAAATACTACATCATTCTCAATCCCCGATGGCACGCTGGTCTATTCGGTTTTCTATGCCAGATTCAGTGACTAATTTAGCTAGGGGAATATTAAATGTAATACTAGTGACACGAGCAGGAGCTTCAGTATGCATACTGAAAAACCTTAAGATGTTCACGACACGAGTTTGGATATTTTTATGTACAGATTTTATAAATTTCTTTCATTCCATTCCAGATTCAAAAAGTAAGAAACCCAAGATTGTGGGAACGCTACATTCACCGAAGGAATGAAATTGCAGAGGACAACGGAAGAGAGGGTTCCAATGAACGAATGTTATTCCACGGGAGCCCCTTCATCCCGGCAATTGTACACAAAGGATTCGATGAACGACATGCGTATATTGGAGGTGCGTTATTATTATGAACCTGTTGCGTTAAATTTCGAGTCTTTTTCTGACCATTGTTTCAATGTCATTTATGTAAAGGCATGTTCGGAGCTGGGATCTATTTTGCGGAGCACTCCTCCAAAAGCAATCAATATGTCCACGGGATCGGGGGTGGCACCGGCTGTCCGGCCCACAAAGATAGATCGTGCTACACTTGTCATCGCCAACTCCTCCTGTGTCGTGTGGTGCTAGGAAAATCATTCCTGCAATTCTCCGCCATGAAAATGGCCCATGCTCCTCCTGGACACCATTCCGTCGTTGGGCGTCCGTTAGAGACAGGTAAGAAATATTTGTGAATTGTTTATTATACATCATGTGCATTTATTAACGGATATAAAAAAACACCATTAGTTAAATAAAAAACTTTATTTATTATTATTCTTCTCCTTCACCGGGTCTCAACGTCACCCATGACCTTCCTCTTCGTCGAAGCTACCACACCCGCCCCTTTCTTACTCTCCCTCAATTTGGTCACGAAGGGACGGAATTCCTTGACGGGGAAGGTGATGAGAAATCCGTCGTGGTACTCCTTCCTTTCACCGACAATGTTCCGACGCATCCACCCCAACCTTAACCCGTCGTTGATTTGACCTTCCTCGAGGCCACTCTTGACCCCCTGCGTTACTTCGGTCTTCACGTTGAGATAGGTCCAGTTCATTCTGGTGGTGGATAGCACTGTTCCGTTGTTTGCTTTTGCCAAGTACTAAAACACCCAGTTTAGTTAGTTTGAATTGCATAATAATAACAGCAGGGTTCTTACTGTGAAAACCGACTCCCATCGGAGAACTTTTGATTCTCCAGTCCCACCTGGACCTTTCTTCATCAGAAATTCCTGTATGACATTAATCACAATTGATTATTTGTGAAACATGGTTAGAAACAAGTATAAAACTTACAAAGAGAAACCCACACTAGACGGGATTTCCTTCCTTATCCGATTCCATTAACATTTTGCCTGGGGAGGAGATGCTGTTCCCGTCATGGTTAGTCTCTTGGTGACTATTACAACCCCCAGGATTACGACAGCTCCCCACATAGATAAATCCCATCATCCCCGGCGTTTTCTCATATTTCTTCAAAAATCGTCCCAGTCCGATCGTTTTGGCTTCATGGGGGAGGACGAGGATGACATTTCCCCAATAATCAGTGTTGACTGCTTCTCGTTCTGTCCTTATCACACCCCTCATATTCTCCTCAACGCTGTTGACAAACCCGGGCTGGTTCAGAGGTCCTTCAAATATAGGGACGACTTTGGAAACTTTGATCAAACCAGAGAACTCTTTTTTCGACCTACGTAGTCTTCTGCTTTCCCTTTCCTTCTCGGCCCTTGATATCCGTCTGTTTAAAAAGATCAGATTAATTACTAATATTTATAGTGCCGTGTGCATAGATGACGAGGGTTTGCTTATTGCAGAATAGTGAAAGCAAGTTTATTGCAGGTATACAAATTAGCCAAACTCACTTTTTCTCAGTCCCATTGTGATTTCTGCTATTGTGATTATAGAAAGCATCCACATTAGCACATAGTGCACCACAAGTAGGACAAGTCACATTTTTCACAATTCTTGACCTGTGTCCAATAGGTCTTGGGGTTATCGGAAGAAAGGGTGTGGTGACAGGTTTACTTTGGACGGGAGCCATATTTAATATTTAATTAGGTTGACTTGAATTGACTATTACAATTTACTATTTACTGTTTGCAATGACTGAGAAAGTGGACTGCTGGGAGCACACACCGGCTTGAAATGTTTTATTGATTCTAGGTTTGGGGCACACCAAACCTTCCGCTGGTGGTTTGACGTATCCTGAATATGTCGTTTATCGAGGGGAACAGGTGAGTTCTTTTTTCTATCAGCATTTTTTCTGTCATCCCCGATGGCACGCTGATCCAGTTTAATTCGATACTGGATTCAGTGACTAATTTAGCTAGGGGAATATTAATTAAGTTTTGGGAATGTCGAGCAGGTGCTGTACAATTTTTAATTTGTGGCACCTTTTATTTTAATTTCCACATTTTAGTTGTAAAATACATAAAATAATATTTATCCTGCTTTTCATTTCCGAAAGAAATATTTTTATTACAATTTTTTTTTCTTCTTTCAGGCGTATCCCGAGTATCTGGTCAGCTACCAAATCGTCAAACCCGAAGCTGGCGAAGAAGCTTCTCCGCTACTCAAAGTTGTATAGTTCAACATTTTGATGTCATTCTATGAATCGTGACACCGTGATTGTTTTTTTTAGATAATCCGTATTACCCATTGTTCTAATAATATATAATTGTGTGACTGATATTTGCATATATTGCACTCGAATCGTTTAACTATTGAACTAATTATTATGTTATTAATAATATTTTAGGTTGTGAAAAGTCTGTAACAAAAGTGATATCTTGATAATCACTTATCACTAATTTATTTTTTGAACAATCAATTATTATTATCAAGTTTTGCAAATAATTCGTCCCGAATTTTTTGCACTTCTTTCAATCGAACTTACACAATCATGAAAAATTCTCAATTTTGATTTTATATTTTTGTATGTATACGAAATTTATTGTCAATCAATCCGACAACGGCGACGCGTCTTCCCTCCATGCAAAAGGAAGCCAAATTTTTTGATTCTAAATCAAATCGTCTGTTTCTCTGACTCACATCAAGATTTTTGCACAAATTATCATGATAATTATTATTACTCGATGTTATTAGCAAAAATGATATCAACTTTGTCATTTATATGCGTGTCTATTTAAAAAAATCAACAAAAACTCTGTACAATTTTATCTATGTATACTATGCTATTTACTTGTGTATACTCGTCTTCTTATATTTAGACTAGATTCCATGCAGTTGCACATTCGTCGTTTGTACCTAGTTCGAAAAAAGCTCTTGATGCTTGCCAAAAATAAAGAAAGTTACGAAAAGTATTTCAAGTCCTTGTCTAAACGGCGCCATAACTTGGTCCAACGTTATCATTGTAAGTTCCATTGTGTCTTCTTTGAGCGGATTTGCTAGTTCCTGGAACAGGCGAATTGTTACCAGGTCTCCCACTAGATAAGGATGCAACCAATTTTGACGTTGATTGTTGACGATTATACTGTTGAGAGGACAAAAGCGGAGAATTTTCGTCTTCGTCTTCATTCCACTCGTTGATGGAGCATGTCGAAAGGAAGACTAGGATGGCCTGCAAAGAATTAAATGAGAGCCACAATTTTTCTCGCTTATTTTCTATTAAATAGATTAAAGAATTACCACGAATAATTGCAACCCCAAAATAGAAAACGTTCCCATTCTGAAGCCAACAATGTCATACAGCAGTCCAGAACACGTCGCACCGGTAAATGCGCCCAACGCAAACATTGAAGTCCACACACCAGAGACTAAACTGTACGTTTGTATATCGTCGGGAAGACCAGTCTTGCTATTATTTTTATAAATCAAACTTCAACGTTCATTTTTTAAGAAAATTCACAGAATAAACATTACATGGCTTCTTGCAACGACTGAATAAACGCTGAGACAAGGACTGCCCCAAGTCCGACGCCCTGAATGGCTTGACCCACAATTACGCCCCACAGGGACCTAGAAAATGACTCCACATGTCAATTAATCTTAAACAACTTATCTACAATTTCACACTCACGGTTGAAGTGGAACATATGGAATCGGTCCAATTAATCCGAATCCAACAAACATTAAGAGGCATCCTAAAATGCTCACGAGTTTTAAACGATTCGGGGCACGGTCACAAATCCACCCCCAAATTGGCGATGATATGGCGTACACGCCACCGTTTACGATGAAAATTGCACCCGTCGCAAGCGGTGATGGTGATAAGTTGTTCTGAAATGTGGACATATTAACAACCAAGTTTTAACTACATTTCTCATAAATTAACAACATACTATTCGGATGAAGGGTTCCAGCGTGGCGTTCAGATAACTTATGCTCGCTGATGCGGAAAATATGCTGAACGCGGCCAGAGCGATGGCAGGGACCGTGAAAAGAGAAAACATTTGGAAACCTCCGGAAGAAACGGAGGCCATTCGCTCCCTATTTTCCAAGCGGGGTGTTGACGACCGCGATGACGATGTCGACGACAATTCCCTCTGGTTCTTGGTGCCGGGGAGGGCGAAAGTCGTGAACAATGCGGCAAGCAGTAGGAGTCCCCCCACCGAAACGAAAGGAAGCGTGTAACCCCCAATCTACAAAAAAACATGAAATCGTTCACCAGTGTTGACGTGAAGTAATTGGATTTAGTTATCCACCTGGTATAAAAACCCTCCGGCTAGTGGACCAATTATTAATCCAAGACCGTAAAATGACTCCATCGCTGCCTGTTAAATTTAAAATAATTGTTATCATCTCAATTAACTTAACATTTAACTTGAGCAAAGTTCGTATCCTTACAAAAGTCGTGGCTACACCCAAATTGCCCCCACATTCGCGCAGTATGATAATGAACGACGCCGTAATAAAGGCAGCTTCCCCCAACGCTTCTATTACCCGGATGCCTATTGACAACCCAACAAATAGCGTTCGATCGTCGACTTTGTCCAAAAATCTGATGAAGTAGTTGACAAAATTGAAAATGAAATTACTCGGTTTCTTCATGGTAAATGTGGTATTAAAACGTACCCAAATCCAATTGCGGAGAGTGATGTCACAAATATACCCAAATTGAAGACAAGTTTTGGTCCTATTGCATTAATCTAGACACACACGACACAGTTTAAGTTTTGAAATCATTCAGCAAATATATTTACATACCTTTGATCCATAAATTGGAGATATTATAAAAACGACAAGTTCAAATATGCCAAAAACGAGACCGAATTCTGTTGCGGTAGCTCCTTTCTTTTCTGCCTGAAAAGAATGAAATCCAGAAGCATATAAAATGTGTACATAGATAAATCATGCGAGTATCTACATAATTAACAACCTCCAACGGATAGAACGGAGCTTGGAGTGAGATAACCATTGCAGAAAAAATTTCGACAAATCCGAACACTGCGAACGTGACCCATTGTCGCTTTGTAAGTGGGACGGAATGCTCATCATCCGTGGCGAAGAGTCGAATCTCTGTATAACTGGCGGCCGGACTGTGATTGAAATGGTTGCTCTTATCGCTTAGTCTACTTTCCAGTTCCAGGGACGGACTTCGGTCCAGCTGTGACCTTAAAATTGGCATAAAACTATTAATTGCTTCCGTACTTATCCAATACTAAAGTAGAAAACCAACCTCGAGCCCGAGGAGCCCCCCATGTAGCCAGGTTTTCCTTGTGGCAAACATTCTCGTCCCCCATTTTTACTATTGGTTCCATTCGTATTATTCAAATTTTCATTTGATGCACTCGGTATCGTTGGAAGGTCCGTGTTTTGAGGATTTCCACGTTTCCAACGCTCTACATCCACCGAAGTTACGGACGTCGAGTCGCTGTCCGAACCCCCAAGAACGAATGAAGGATGCTGCCTCTGCTGATCTTGGGATTCGAGATATCTTTTTGCTACCGCTTTGTCCTCCGAATCACTCACAATCGTGTCGTTGTCACTCGCGTCTTTTTCGCCCTGCTCACGATGTGAGGAATTTGAAGTCGTCTCAACTGTTTTTGCTGCTGGTGAAGTCTCATCCGCCCCACTTTTTGGTAACGAGTTTGTCGAAGAATCTTTAGAAAGTGGAATGTCTGTGAAGGATTCGGGATGATCAGAGTCCATGGTTCACACTGATTTTATTCAAACTGCATAAACCTCAGCTCAGAATTATTAGACCACCAATTCCGTGATATCTTTAACTCACATGCCACTTTTAAATACGTTGTGGAAACTAACTTCTTAATCACGTGTATAATACTAAATTATGACACACATATTGGTAAATATTTACGCATTCTGTCCGGTTATCTTTATCAGGTGAGGATTGATAATTGCTTATCGCAGACAGAGTGAGTGAAATGTAGTAGCAACACCGGTACCACTGCACCATATGAAAACTGATCGCATGACTCTTTAATTTATTTATTAACTTGTGGTTCCATTCTAATGTAATGTAATTATATAACAGCCCCAAGTTTATTGGTCTGGCGCTTGATGGGGATTTAAACCGTGTTTTAGTTGTGACGAATTGTTGTGCACGGTTTGTACATTACAGAGCTAAAAAGTAGGAATGAGAGAAATGATATACTTCCACCGGAAATTAGCTGACACCTCAAACTGGTTGTCCAACTACAACTTTTCCCATGGATGATTTGGAGTGTAGACATTATGTTAGTCCGGACAATGAACTTCATAATTATGTATATTTATTAAATTATATTTTAGCAACATGCCCTCCCAAGTCAAGTTTAATAACTTTAGAAAATGGTGCGCAAAATTAATCAGACTTGAAGGTACATATTTGTAAATCATTGCTTTTTATTTGCTTCACAAATTTGTGTATGATAAGCACTGAATTATTTTTAAAGATGTTCTAATTCCGACTTTCTGACCCTGAACTGGACACCATTTCGAGGCTGTCATACTGGACTTGGTTTTCCAAAAATGAGTACGGAGTTTGGCAATTGATGCTATTCAGTGGGGGAAAGTACTGCTGGAAGACGGCGTACATTATCGAAAATCCCAAAATGGCTCCGACAGCAACGTCTGCATAATAATGGATCAGTTCATTCGTATGTTTTACATATGGTTTTGACATTTTGTACCCTGCCAATGGTGTCGATAGTCACATAATCGAGAAACTGCGACAAGTGTCGCAGCCAACAATGGAATCAGCGTGATTATCAATCTCCAACTTGCACCTTTCCCCTTAGTCGCGAAAGTTCGGAGCTGTGACGCCAAAAAGACCGAGATGAATCCCAGGGCGCAGAAACTTACTGGACACAAAATGTTGTCAACATGTAAACCAAATATTGCTACGCATTTACATATTGATGCAAATAAGTGTTAAATAATGGGTATTTTACGAGAAGAATGTCCACTAGGAAAGCTTTTTCTGCCATCCCGTATTTTCCCCACGTCTCCAGTGCACGCCTTCTTAACGTCTTTCACCATCATGTACCCATCCCCGTAGCATCGGTTGAAATAATCTGGGCGTGGTCTTCCTACAGAGATCACATACATATGCAAATTATGTCATAAACATCATATTCTTGACTTTACAATAATTTGCCTACGTACCCACTGTTATTTTCAAGACGTTTGTAATAACTCCCGTCAACGGAATTGCAAGGGTTGGCACTAACAAAGCGATGAGCCCCGATCTTAAATTCCTATTTATTCCGTACGCTATAAATATCACAGCGATACATGAGCAGACCATGAGCCACTAAAAAGTAGAAAATATTTCCATAAATTAGCTACATATTAGATGGTTTAGTAATTTGCAAAAAGTACAATGCGGTAATCAAGCGGAATTATCTATGTGTGCAAAATTATGCATACAAAAACATGTACACATTTTTCGCACAAAACCAGAAGCAAACAAAGAAACACTTATGATTACTGGAGGAAGGATTTGGTTGACAATTTGGCTCACGCTTAACGCTTCGGACGTAACGAGGGCGGAGGATGACATTGGAAATTTGTACAGCCACGCCTCTTCCGGCTGAATCACGCGGACAAAGGGAGGAACACTTAGCAGCTCCAGTGCTCTAAATGTGTAAATATTTCAGGAAGTTAAATGACATGAATTTATTTATTTAATTAAGTTCGCTTACAAAAATATTCCCAGCAGAATTACTCTGATTAAAATTTCTGCCCATGCTGGTCCAGGAACGGAGATGAGTAGATCCTTTATTTTAATGAAGATGTCCATTTTTCTATATTTTTAGTGGCGTTCCATTTTAACAGGACATTTTAAACATGATTACTTTTAAAACTACTTATGAAAATATTTGCATGACTGGAGTTTGAAACGGATTTGTTTTTACGTCCTATTTTACGTCTTTAGAGCAACTATGGAGAAAAAGAAAGCAATCTGAGATAATTTCCGCAAATTCGCAATGTTATGTTGACAGAATGTGCACATTAGATTGTCCATCCATATGTTAATTTTCATGACCCCGAGTTCATTCACAAGCTAAATTACTATCTAGTTAAAACTCATTTTCAGAGATGTGCTGACTCCAGCTCGTGATGTTGCCTCCCGTGAAAGATGATCCTGCATAAACGGTTTGATGTCATTTCGTCTTTGCGTCGTAACGCTCGGGACCACCAAAGATGATGACGACACCAATGGCTATCGAAATCGTCCCACAGCTACATACGGCACAAATTGACAACAACATGGGGAATAGTTGCAATAGCAGCCACAATTTAAACCCCCAAAGTTAGTCATCCCGTTGACACTTAATAAAATATTGAAATCTGGCTCAAGTTATGAACTTTTGTGATTTCAACGAAATACTTCAAAGCCGTAATGTAAAAAAATAAATAATTTTTTGAGTATAAAATATTGAAATATCTGCCAGTCGTACGGTTGACGGTAAATTATTGACATAAGAGCATAACACATTACATTTCAAAGTATTGAGTCCTTGTCAATTTTATGCCAATTCAGCTTGTTAAAATTTTATGCAAATTCCAATTTTTCATTCATATTCGTATCCCCTTTCTAATCAATAACTACACAAGTAATGCTCACCATGAAATCGTTGCACCGATAACTCAAGCCTTATTCATCTCATTCCTTCATGTTCAATTAAGCCTGCGTTATATTTTTTCTCGTCACTCTATTGAGCGAGAAGAGCTCTCGCTCTGCATTTCCTCTCCATGTTACGCATGGGTCCAGAAATCTGATCTGATTTTTCACTTTGCGAGTTTCAAAGTGCACGCAAAAGTTTGAAATTTTCACAATATAATTATCAATAGTTTTGCAACAAACTACCTTGGACCGATTAGCAATTTTGATGATAGTTTTATTTATATTAATCAATAATCCCAATATCACAGAAATATTGATTAATATAAATAAAACTATCATCAAAATTGCTAATCGGTCCAAGGTAGTTTGTTGCAAAACTATTGATAATTATATTGTGAAAATTTCAAACTTTTGCGTGCACTTTGAAACTCGCAAAGTGAAAATAACATCAAAATTTAACCACTTTTTGTGACTCGTCTCAACTGGTCATAGAGTATGTGTGGCGGAAAGCCACCACCACACATACTCTTCCCACTGGAAACCACTAAAAATGTAAACAACTCCAGATGATATTTGCAGTTTTTTGCAAAAAATTCAAAATTCCCACCGAAACTTGTGAACTTTATACCCCACCAGTTTCGCCACTATGTGATTTATGAGGATTGGTTTAACATCAAATATAGCTAACTCTTAAGACGGACAAGCTCATGTTCTTCGCATTTATCATACTCGATGAATCTCAAGTTACGGAAAGGTACCGAAACGAAAAGGAAAGTATAACACGTGCAGTACAACAGTATTTCTCATCCTTCGTGTGCTACACATTCATAAATTGATGTTTGCCACGATAAGACAATATCCAATCCACATTTCATTTCAAATTTATTATTTTCACACTGAATGAATTGTCTCGAATACGTTTTTATGTTTAAGGATGCACCTGAAAATGAGTATACATAAAACTGTAAATGAACCACTGACCGAGATTTTTTGCGTTTTCTTGAAACATCCTCTGACAGGATTGCTCTCTTCATCGCAGGATAAAAATCCGCAGTCATCACTGCACATTGCTAACAAAAATGTAGATAAAGTGCGAGTAAGTAAAGTAAATCCAATTAGTATAGCATATCATCTCACGTTAATTCTTGTATATTTTACTGCTTAAACTTTGCTTTAATTATTCTCAATCTGAATAATCTCTTGCTCCGTATCACTTCCTCCACTAATTAATTACCATACCACAACCTTTATCTAATTTGTATGGAGCAAAATATCTAAAAATTTTAAACTCACATACCTATCGAAACCTTGAATCTTGAAAAAAACTGTTCGCATTTCTGTCTGTACCACCAAGATTACCATCCATTTTTGGGTTTTACTAATCTATTATTTAGTATTTTGTAGAGTGAGAATGAATGGAATTTAATTTTTGGCAAATAAAAAGATGCACTCACACACGTTATAAATATTTTTCCATATCAAAAATAAATGATCCAATCCTTTATTAACAATTTCACACTTGCATATCACCACCTCATTTAATTGATGCTCACATTTTTTTACCAAAAAATGAACACATCCACTACTTAATCAACTAACAGGGGGAATGATGAAGTAAATAATCGAGTACATACTTAATAAGTAACACGCTATCAATCACACACAATTACCTGCGTGTACTACCTAAAACGTGAGCATTATAAAAATGTAACAGTATCAAAAACATTCGCACAACATACTTGTTATCAGTCATAAATTCCACATAAACAAAAATTCATAAAATTAGGCAACAATAAAAATAAATTATCAACATGTAAAAAAACAATAATTTAGCTCGTAAGTTCAAAATGTCAACAAAATTGTCGAGGTCGCGTCACTCATAAAAAAATTCTTTCTGGTCCAATTCGGTTATTTAGTTGGGTCATTTTTCTATCCTACTAAAAAAAATTTTGTACCCAAGATTTAATCTAATCTCGTTTTGAATCATGGTGTAAAATACGAGAGGAAATAATAAAACAAGTCTTGTCTTTTAGCTAGGTGAGAATTGCAGTTGTACAAGAATTTAAGACATACATAAAAATAAATGATTTGTGATTTATGAGCAATTCAGAATTTTGAGGTAAAAAGCGTCATTTGTTCTCATCCTACGAATTTGGTAGCAGGTCACAGGTCAATTCCATCTCTCACGCAACATTCACCCCTCTGATTTCTCGCCGTATGTAATTTATGTAGGTTACGATAGTGTAAGTCGTCTCTTCCCAATAAGCACTAATTTTTTGTCCATATTATTTACGTATTATTGGGAAAATCTACGAGATGTCTCTCACGCGGGTTTGGTCATGGTTGTCGCATAAATTAGCAATGTCTCTTCCGTCCGTGTAGCGTCCCTTCACCTGTGAATATGCAAATTGTAGCGTGTGCATTGGTCAATAATTACTCTTAAAACATATCAAATGACTAGTAAAATTTTCTCAGTGCTTTACTTGATGACTGACTAGAGAGTGAAAGTTTCCAAGAAAAGGTGACCATCTTACTTTATTTTTTAATCCTTAAGTTTTGGCAAGATTTTCTCCGTGAGTTCGTCCATCTTCTTGTCCTTGGCTTCCTTCACGGTGGGAGCCTTCCCATCCCCGGACCGTTTCCAGCCGGGTGCAGCGTAAACGACGGGGTGGTGATGGTGCTGGGCGGCGTAGATGAAGTATGGCCAACAGAGAAGGAGTGGGATCAAGATGAGTGGGATGAGAAGGGCCAGCTTGTCAAGTTCCCCACCATGCCCCCCGCCCCACCCGTGACCTCGCTTGATTGGGTAGTGGTGGTGATGACCCGAACTTTGGGGGACGGGTTCGTAGTACCCCCCAGATAGTGGGGCGGCTTGGTGGTGACGGGCGTAGACGGGACTTCCGACGGAGGGGGCTGAATAAATTAAAGCGAGGAGGCAAAGTGAGACGGGGTGAAAGTTACGGTCTTAAATGTTCCCGTTCCTAATAATTCAACTTCAACTTATGACCTACCATATCCTGGCGATGCAGCGACGTAAGGTTGATCCATCGGCTGGTAATAATCCGCCTGCGTGGAGGCAGCCATCATCGGCTGACCGTAGTAATCATGCCTCCCTGGCGACACGACTTGCGCCGGGACCGCATAACTCGGCACGATTGGTTGGCTATATCCGGACGATGCGGAGGCCGGAATTTGTCCCGCACTTGCCGATGAGGACGACGCCTTTGACCCCTTCGCCCCCAAACAGGACACCACACCCAAACCGAAGAGCAGAGTGGAAACGAGAAACGCCTTCATTTCGACCCTTGGTATTAATTTGTCACGACTGAATTATTACGAAGATTATTCAAATTATACACGTTCCCTCTCGTCGTCGCGTTGGTGTAGAGTGTTTACCACCAAGGTCAGAATCAGACTGGAATCGTCCCCTCGCCTACACGAACCTTATGAGCTCTCGACTAAACAATGACTACACGTTGGTGCAGCAAATATGACCCATTTTGAGGTTAAAAAATTTTGCCTTTTTCTTTCTCTTTCTTTTCAAGACATCCTTACTTACATACGTATCAAATCTATCGCCACATCCTCCCTCCCACAACGACGCACATATGTACATGCACACGGCTACTAGGTACTCATCGCAGGAGATAGCATCCATCAGGGCATCGTTGCCTTGCTACACAGTCAACTACATAATAACAATGGATTAAGAAAATAAGAGCAGTAGCAGCATTATTATCATGTTTACGTGTATGTAGGCATAGGTATTCCTCTTTTTGCGAATTTACTGTACCGTACTTTGTCTTGTTTTAACGGGGTGCCAAAGTGGATACGAGTTGCATTGCATCGCGTTATTATTATTATTGCATTGTTCACCTTGAGCTTGAACTTGGTTTCATTCTTCTTTTGCACTTTTGCCGTAAAAAGAAATACGCCAAAGCCGACCGTGTACACATTCTGTTGTTGTTTACGGACGGGGGAGTGGATAGATGCAATTACGGGGTGCACCGTACTTTATAGAGTTCTCCTCTACTACCTCACTTAATCCTGCACACTAGCCATTAGTTGGATGAGCAGCTAATGAGCAGGAATGAAGTAAAAGTGTTTTCACTTTATAAAATAAAATGTCTCATTTATTTTTGAAACCATTTCCTCTCATTATTTTATCCCTTACTTACTTCCACTTTCGTCCATCCGTCTTAATTAGTTTTTTTATGGCTTGATTAGGGCGGAATTCAGTGTGGGAAAAAGGTGCGCAAGAATAGAACGATTTTAATTTTATGGGGCGTTTTTATCGATCAATGTCATTGTCGTCGATACTGCTGCTGCCACTGCTAAGTACTTCCGGTGAGAGTGGAGAATATAGAAATTCAAAACATATAAATTCACAAGGAAGGATCTGAATGATGATATATTTATAAACAATTTTTGGAAATTTTCCTAAATGGCGTTGAGCACAGTCAAATAGTTCAGACATGGAAATAAATTCTTAAATTAATCGTGTATCCAACTCATGACCAAAACCATCATCATTGTTTGCATGTAAATTGAAATGTACCCAGTCACAGACAGTACAAAAAATCGTCGCTACTATTTTCTCATCATTTAACCTTCACTAAATATTTTCGTAATAAATATGCATATTCAAATCAAACTATTCACTTTAGTGTAAATTAATTTGAAGCATTTTCTACGTTTTTGTTGTGAATTTGCAGAAAAAGTAAATGACCTTTTTAACACGGAGGAGGGAACCGTCTCTACTGCAACGTTACCAAATCACTTTCACCACTTCAGTAACATTTGGATAATAATAGTGTAATAAGTCTCATCATTAAAATCATCATCATTAAAAATAGAATGGTACATGGTGCAGTGGTCAAATAAATCAAACTTATCGAGCGCATCTCTCCACCATAGAAGCAAATCGTGTCTTATCCTACTCACTAGATCATCACAGGAGCACAATGATGATCAAATGAGTCTAATTATCGTTAATTCACCATTATCCTTACTCTTATCTGATACGCATCTGATTTTATGTACAAATATCTACCAAATTACAAAACGCTCTTATGAAAATGGCGATAAAATTTTATAACATTTTTTACAATTTCCAATTTTAAAGGATCCATCTTTTTTAAAAAAGGGAGAGTATTTCGTTTAATTGAAACAAAACAAGTGCTTTGTTTTATCTCAAAAAACCTCCAAATTCTTCATCTGTCTGTCACAAATTTTACGGTAAAATTGCATATGTACATACATTCGCAAATGTCTGTCGTATGTCCCCTATCAGTGCATACCTTTCTTTTTGCATGCAATTTCCTCACCTTACCGGATGCAACTCGTCACTTGCGTTATAAATGACGAGCCACATACATACATCATCATCACTTTATGCACTTGAGACATTAACCCAGCAAAAGTTTAATACATACATATTTTTATTCACCACTTTTACAAAAAGGAGACGACTGGGAGGGAAGGAAGTTCTCACACTCTTCGACAAAATAATTAATATTTATTGTCTTGCTTGCATTTAATGTGGGTTTAATTTTCTCGGCAGGCGACAAAGCAGCACAACACGATTACTTATGAATGATGATGCCACCAAAAGATATCTGCATTACATTTTATTGTCAGCGTATTAATTAATTCATTCAGGATTTGCGCATTCCATTTCTTGCTTTATTCGCAAGTTTTAGTAGTGTTTGAAACAGAATGATCCGATTATTTTATTTTATGAAATGTTGTAAAATTAAAATTAAAATCGACTTAATAAATACCATCAAAGTAAATACCTCTTGTTTAATTGGACTGCATGGGATTCGTATCTCGTCATTTTTTTTGCACGAAAATTCTCACAAAATAAAACAACGAATGAAAATGAAAATGAGATTTGTTCCACGAGATAAAATTAAAGGAGGAAAAAATAGTGAAACTGATAATTCATCCCAATTTTAATAATAAAATGCTTTCAATTCAGCAAAATTTGTTGCAATTACATGATGCAGCTATGCAGATATATACATGCTTTCATCTTTAGTGTAACGAGACCACACCCCAACAAATTTCTTCAGATGTACTCACTCACTCACACACGCATTTGACCAAAGTAGGAAAGAATCTTCAAGAGTGACCTTAATACGCACGTACCTACGAACGAACGGATTGGAATTTGCATGAATCCATCCACGCGCACCGAGAGCAACCATGTCCAACTCAATCATTTGAACTCAGCTAACGATGGAGGTCTCACAGCGTATGCTCTGCGATTTTGACCAAATTAGGGTCAATCGATCGCAAATTTAATTAGTATCAAATTTGAAGAAAGATACGATCTCCCAGTGGGCACGTTTGGCAGAGATATTTGCATCCGAAGAGGAGAAAACGCGCAGTAAATTTGGAAAGTGCAAAACTTGTCGACTTTAAGGTGATGCGTTTTCTCCTTTTCGGATGCAAATTTCTCCGCCAAAACTGAGAATTGGCAGATCGTGTCTTTTGCAAATTACATATTAATTAAATTGGTGGTCGATTGCCCCTAATTTGCTCAAAATCTGAGAGCATACTCTGGGAGACCTCCATTGTAAATAAGTAACTGCATGCGCGTCTTATTCTTATTCATCTCTGCTGGCTAATTAATTACAGACATTTAACAACATGACTCACATTGTAAGCTGTGAAGGATTTTTTTGCCTGGTTTGTGCCAAAAAACTAGAGCAGCTTGATATGGTCACGTTGGACGACGACGGCAACGACGACGACGGCAACGACGACGACGACGTTTTGCACGTCAGTTTAGTTCATGCATTTGATGGTCGTAATTATTATTAAGCTGTCAATTTGTAGGGAAGCGAGTGGATGAGATGAGAATGCATGCGTGTGTGGCACATTGCGAGTAATAAATTCATCCTCATTACAACTTTCACTCAAATGCTGGCATGTAATGAAAACTTAAAAGTATGATTTTCGGAAAAATTTTGATACATTTTATTTTCCATTTTGAATTGTTTTTAAACTCATACAAATTCAAGACTTTCTGACTGATTAGAAATATCAATTTTTCTGCGTTTGCAAGATGGAATTTTACTCTGTGAAAGACTGTCCATCAAAAAAGAAAGGTCGATTTATTTCTCATCTAGACAAACAATCTCAAGTTGGGAAACGATTTTCAGAAATTAATTTTCGAGAAAACGTGCATATTTTTTGGTCAATATTTCTGTCATATTTCAAAATGCTGGCAAATTTCATACTGAAATTCATTTCTCATGTATTTCCCGTCTCTGTCGGAATGTCTTCACGCTGTCGACATCTCGTTGCAAATTCTTCAATTGCTTGCCTGACTTTAATCCAAATTAGCTAAAGCAAGCATAAAAATCGTGTGCACAAGATAAGATTATGTACAAACTTTACCTGTAAGATAAGCCGTACGTACGTATTTACCCACGCCATGCATGCACCCACGTAATTTCCTCCTTGGTCCATCTCTTCCATCTTTGCGCCTCCCCTCTCGTCACACCTCAAGTGACTTTTCTTCTAAAAAGTTTCTCATTTATTAAAACATCTCAATAAAAAAGTAAGTGAGCCTTTTGAAACCCTTAAACTTCTCACCCTGGTCTGCACTACCGTCACCTGTAGAAAATTACCTTCACAATTGTGGCATCCAACAACCCAAAACGACCACACCAGCTCCTTCTAGATATGTGTGATGATAGCCAGGCAATTTTTGCTCATTTGTGTGCCATGTCATCATTAAAAATTTCATAAAATTATTATAATTGTGGTAACTAGCGATTCAGGCTTTTTATTAGTACCTATTTATGTATCGCTACTCATATTACAAGTGTGACCTTATCCACGCTCTGAATAGCTTTGCCAACCACAGTTTTTACCAAAAAAAAAACAAACAGAAATTACATTCAAAAATCGGTAGGAATTGTGATTTACATATTTACAAATTCCCGATTAAACTTGGCAATTGAAAACTTTGCAGAAAAGTTTCTACATATTTAGTTTTCACAAAATTGTATTTTCATGAAACAATCTTTTTATTATCATCTTCCCGTAACACATAGATAATACTGATATTTCTCTTTTCTTTATGAGTCTCTGGGTCAAGGTGTTTTAAGTATTTATTTCTAAATTTCGTATTAAACTTGGCACTTGAAAATTTTGCAAAAAATTCGTAAAATTCATTTTTCAAAAATTGTATTTGGACCTTTTTGTTAATCATCTTCCCGTAACACATAATGCCGAGTCTCTAGGTCAAGTCGACCTGTAGCATGAATTTCATTCCACCAACCAACCAACGAACCACGATACACACGCTGCACAACCCAATAATTAAGACAATTAAATACATTTATACTTATTCCTTTACATACTTTGGCCCTACTCCGCAGCACCCATTTGTCATCTCTTGTGTGAAGAAGTTACGGATTTCATGCCAATTAAACCGTGATTTTCTCCCAAATCTGCACTCATCTTCTTCCCACCCAACTAAAAAATATGCTCATATGCGAATCCTTAAAAGCACTTTACGCACAAAACAGAAAACTCATCTCACGAAGAAGAAATGATAAATCGTTATCCATCACAACCCTACTCCACTTCTCTACTTTTCCTGTATCGTATTCGTATGCAACAAAATTCAACATTTTTCATTTTATTTTTTTTTATATAGAAAAATATATTATTGTCTCAAATAAATGAGCAGTTATAAAAAATAGACAACAATTTTAGTAAATAAAATATAACAACAATTTGTTCAAATAAATTAATTTTTTTCTTCAGAGTTGAGTGAGAACTCGCAAAAATAAATATTATACCAAATTCGTCCAGAGAAAAAGTCAGGGGTCCGAATTGTTTAACAGGGAAATATATAAGGTCGTCATTTTCTTGATAGATTTAAAATGGCAGGGTTTTGTAGGTAGGACTTGACTAAAAAAACAGTTTGCATGCATTGTAAAAGTACTTATGGAGAATTTCAAAAAATAGGTGGTCGTCAAGTCCTCGGTTCGTTGTAGAGCAAGTCCGGATTTGTTTAGTTCAAATTGAGAGAAAAGAACAGGATAAAGAGGAACAGTAACCGTCAAGTAGGGGCAAATTTGAGAGGGAATAAATAATTGTCACGTCTTTTCGGGAGGAGGTAGGTAGCGTTACATATCTAGTTTAGAGAGACTCATCAATCTTTTTTGGTGTGGAAGCTTCTGCAAACAAAATCAAAACTTATGAATAACTTTCCATCAAAATCTATAAAAATTGATTACTCACCATAAAACAATCTTCTTCTTTGCTAAAAAGAGAGCATCATGTTCTTAAGAGGACAACTTTGGCAAAATTTGCTGCGTAAGTTGATCCGTCTTTCGCTGGACGTCGGACGACCGTCCCCATCCGCCCCAACCGCCCCCTCCATGACCACCACCGCCGCCACCACCCCCACCACCGCCGGCACCACCACCCCCCCAACCTCCATGACCGCCACCACCACCTCCTCCATGGAGCAAGTATGGGAGGCAGAAGAGAAGAGGGATCAACAAGAGGAGGGGAAGGCCGACGAAAATGAGGCCGCTAGAGACATCCTGACCCCACCCACCACCACCACCTCCGCCGCCCCATCCGGATCTGGGCGCCCATTGTCCGGAGGGATCAATTTCGTTCTTTGTACCCGCAGCCACGACACCGACGAGGGCCAAAGCGGCCACGGAGTAGATCACTGACTTCATTCTGTTGATAAATCAAATTTTATGCAAAACTGGTCAAAAATTCGAGTCACTTTTCACCCAGAGTAAAATAATTTCCTTTTGTTTGTTTACCTGTCTGTCTGTTTTTAAAAGTTTATGAACAAAGTTTTGAGAGAGCAAGCAATGGTCTTGGCCAAGTCGCTCAGCAGACTGGTCTCTAAACCGTGGGGCTCGCTCCCTTTAAACGATGCCACGATTTGAATTTGGACCAAAAACTGGTTTCCCTTCTTGCGTCCTTCTGGTGGGTGAGAGAAAACGTACGGAAGGAGAGAGCTAACGTCGCCTCCTACCGTTGCAACGCTAGGACGCGCGTTACCTTTTTTCTTAGCCTGGTCGATATAATGTTGCCTCTTCTTCTTCTTCCCCCACTTGCCCAACTAGGGTTGACTCTCAGGTGCATATTTGGTTGGTCTGCTTTGGATGGGTTATCATAGTTGTGCATACCGTTTAATAAGTTAATTTCATCTGTGTCGATTCATATCTGGGCGAGAGAAGAGGTAAAATTATAAAAATATGAATGAAAATTGAGCCTATTTCATTCTGGATGGTTTGCTAAGTAGAGATGAGATGGATGTATGTATGTACATAAGTGGAGTAAAAGTGGTGTAAAATTACGTGCCAGCTTTTTCCTATAATACTTACTTATTGCTCTTCACTATATACTTTTTACACATATTTTTACTACTACTTATCTTCTCTAGACTCTCTTATCTATCACTCACTTCATGAGAAGTAGAGCTTCAATTTTGACATTGACTTTTGATTTTTCATGATACCACCACCACCACCAATAAAAACGGAAGAAAGAGTGGTTGGTCGCGAGTAAGGAAAAATGAGTGATGAGCTTTTAACTACGCCACCACCTTTTTCAAATTGGGAGGAGGAGGATCTATAGTGTAACAAAATCAAAATTTGTACACATTTTTTTTCAAAAATGCATGCACACACTTTTTTCTCTCTCTCACCCCAAGCAGCAGAAGACGCGATAATGTCAGTAGCAGACGCATAAATAAAATAATTCAGGTACACAGAACGGACAACTTCTTTTTTATCGTCATGAATTAAAACGTCAATTAAAAAATTTTATGGGCAACAACCACCAAAAGAGATGAAGAAGTTAAGATTTAAACATATCGTCGGCATGTGTCTGATACTGATACCAAACAACCAACTGCAATACTGCCCTTTTCGCCAGTAACATACCAAATAATAAATTTGTCGAAATAAATGCATCGTAAAATCATTACAAGAAAAATTTCAATTTTGTTTTATAATTGTTGTATTTTGTTTTCTCCTTTTGATAAGAGTGATACAATTTATTTCATTTTATTGCTAGTACCAAAAATTAAAAGAAAGTTTTTACAGCAATTTTTATTGTCAAATCTGATCTTTTACACTAATTATCATTTTAGTCACGTTTTATCCCACATGTTACAAATGTAATTATGCGTTATCATATAAGACTTGCAAATTTTGTGGCATTTCTCATTTCACAAGCCAGCCACTGATCGAGCATGACACTTTGTGACACCGACACGATCCAATCCATAAAGTCAAATGTCAAAATGTCATTGTGCATATTAAAGTGTGAAAGATTCTCTCTAATTGTCTCAATTTCTTTTAACGACGACGACATGTGTACTGTGCAAACGGGTGGAAAATATGTAAAAACCTGTTTTTGAAATGTAAATAAACCATTTTTCTGAACGATAAATATATAACAAAACCGAAGCCCTTTCTTTTTTAAGGCGATTCACTTGTCATAAAGGGCAAACATTTTGCATAAAATTCGGACCAATCTTACATATTTTCACCTTCCATCAATCAAACTAATTCTTATTGACAACTTATATTTCAAATTTTGTTATTCTTGATATTTTAATAAGCATGGCGAAAATGAAGGATTTTTCCTGATTTCTTTTCCTGCCTTCCGAAACCTTTGCCCATAACTCTCCCCTGACTGAATTATAAAATGTCAATGTGTATAATTAACAATTATCATAATTATTGAGCATCAGACTAACAAACGATTAAATGTTTAAAAAAATAAGAGTAAAAATTCAAAAAGAAGAAAGTGGTTGGTTGGTTGGTTATTGCTGATTTGTAATCATTTCTTTAAGCCGACAAGTTCATGTTGACCAGGTTGTTAGTTATCTTTGCATGTGCACCTTTGTGAAATGATGTTTAGACAAATATTACGATTACACGAACGAACATAATTCTGACGTGATCGAACGAAAGTCACCAACCAAACTACTGAAAGAAATGTAACAAGTATCAAAAGTATAATGAACCGTATTTATTACATGAAAAACCAGTTGAGAAATACTCAAGTATTTGTTTAATGCGTGTCGTATGCACTTTTATTATAGCTTCCGGTCACTCGTGGTCAAGTTCAAGTTGTACACACACATACATAATTAATGTAAATTAGAATAACAAACAAGAAAAATTGCATTGCATTTATGAACCATAATATAATTTTTTTATTGCAAAAATTCGAAAAATTTCATTTCAAAAGTTCAATTAGCTCATATTTAATTTGTTTAAAAATGATTCTGCTACATACATTTTTTGCGGGTACTTGTCGTGTTGATTTAGTTGAACGTATTTAAAAATGTGTAATTTTCGTATTCTTTCGCCTTAATTGTGGTTGTGGTTCTGTAACCGTAACTTAATTATGGTTGCTATTTAATGACAGCAGGAGCAAGTGTCAGTGTTAGATGGATGGCTGATGATATATGATTAGGGTGAAGATGAGGTGAATAAGCAGTAGGCATCGTAAAGGTGCATAAAGTGTGCAATTTTTTTTAAATCCTGGTTTATATTTTTACTGGGGCGTGATATAATTATAATCGCATCATCATTTTGTGCAGTGCACTGGGGATGCAGTTTTTATATCGCGATATGTGTGCACAAACTTTCTTTTTGTCCATAACATAACTTGGTCCATAGAACAAATTAAAGCAACATAGAATTTGATTATCTATAAAAATAATGCAATTCCCAATTGCAGAAAGAATTGAACTTGACCAATCAACTAGAATTTTGCACCACAATTTGTCAAAAAATATGTAAAACTTTCATTCTCAATCTTCTCAGAAATTACATATGAAAAATATTCTTCCGCAGGTTTTTTTTACACTTTTTGTCTTCTTTTTCGAAAATATTCACACCAATTTTCATGTTCTTTCTCATGTAAATTATTCATGCAGAATGAAATGGAAAGTCGGCAAGTGAAATATGAATTTATTTCATTCCCACCACAAACATAGCTAACCTTCACCTTGAATTTTCACAAAATCATTAGCAATAATTTCAAAATATTCAAATTTGTACGGTGACATTTCCGTTGAGTTAATTCCTGTCGTCATTCCATCCAAACGCGAATCTGTGTTACAGTGTGATTTATGGTACCATGAAATTTTAATTAATAGCACAATGTCCTCAGTATTGTTAGCAATCCGCATATTTTTTCTGCTCGTCTTCATCCCATAAAAAACGTTTAGTATTTTTTTGCGTATTATCATTATAAAACCAAGAAAATGAAAATATAGTGGTGCAAAATTAACCCAATTTCACTGCTCTGCTTATCACTCACTCACTCTATGGCATTTTTGAACGTTGTTTTTTTTGCACAAAGTTGGTGGGCAAGTGTAAAATATTTAATAATCCATTAAAACACAACCTCTATCACCCACCCGCCCACACACGTCTTCAATGGCAAAGGTTCGTGTAAACGCTATGATTAACTGTGACGAGCTTAATAAATAAAATCGCGTGCAAAACCAACACACCAAAAACTGCATATTAAATTAACACTTGCAGAACAAAGTGTGCGTTTTGTGGCAGTAAAAAAAATTAAATGCAACTAAAAACCATTTACTTATCTGATGATATGTGCAAAATGCAGTGCACATAAGTTCATTATCTCGAGCGTAAATTTTCGCTCGAATTATTACCGATTAATTATCGACACAAAGAGTACGGAAATTACGAATTTTTGACATTTCATTTGTCTCAAATTTCCCACAAAACGGATCTATTTTTTAATCTAAATATCATGCACCACGTATTTACATACAATTCACCTCCGGCAACAATTGACATTCCGCTTTGCCCTTTACTTTCCATTATTCGCCCGTGCTCATCGTTTACTAATTCGTCTGAGCATCATCAAGCCCGAGATGACTGTACTTTTACCTATGTGATGGCAATCATGTACCAAAGTCAAGAAAACAAAATAAAAAAAAAACATCAAACCCATTACGCACACCGACACTGCATTGTTCTTGCTTGCCCACGACGACGAAATTATTTCAACAATGGCAACAAAAACAAAGCCGATTATTACATGAGGACGACACACATTGTACATCGCATTGTTTTTTGTGATGAAAGAGGATGATTCACTTTTATGAATCCTAGGTACATCGTACGTAGTTCTTCCTTCCTTTTGGGATTGCCTGTCGCATCTCGCCTCGAAGAAGAAGAATAGTGAAATGAGAGACTTTTACTCTTATTTTTGTGGTGTACATAAGGAAGATGTAGTCGTGGGTGGGTGGAGGAGGAGGGGGATGAAATATGAGCTGAACTGATTAGAACGAGGACAACGAGCGAGACTTGATGATAAATAACAGAGTTGACATTTCGGAAGAAGGAACTTTCCTTTGTTGTTCCGATTCAAAGAAGAGAGCAAATTGTGGTGTGTGCTGCCCAGCTAGGGAGATAATCTGGGTCAGTTTTGACATGTGAATCTCATCTCGAGAGACATTTGACTTGAAGAAATAACAAAAAATTAAGTTTAGGGAAGACTTTTTTCGTAGATTTTTCACTTTTGCTAATTGTGAGAGATTGTGAGGACGGAATGTCAAGGTGGGCATGATCACTGCCTGATTTGATGACAGGAAGAAGGAAGAGTTTTTTGCGAGGAATGTCTGACCATGACTTTAGTTTAATATGTTCCGGGGATTTCGAATTTTTTGCGAATTTTATAAAATTTTAATGTAGCATTTTGCGAAAACTTGTCTACTAACTTAGAAACTCATCTAACCCAAATTGTCGTTATTACAATGAGCGAAATATTTATTTGCGGCGTATTATGATCTCAATTGTCAAATTGCAAATTTTTTGTTTCAACGTAAATATGTGTGTACACGTCGCGACGTGTACACACATATTTACGTTGAATATTGCTGTTTTAATGATAACGACGCGTCGTTATCATTAAAACAGCAATTACTCGCACACATTTGCACAATTATCCAATAAATCAAATCAGTCTCATAGATAATTACAATAAAAAGTAATTAACTTTTCAAGTCAAAATTTGCATAAATATCGGCCATCGTCCACTCGGGGTTTACAAGTACAGTAACAAATTACTGTAAAAGTTATACTTCAATTTTCCTCCCTTTCTTTCCAACGTATCCATTCCAATCTAATAAGCCGTTCAATTGGCATGACTAATTTTTAAGATAAACTGTCAACTTTTGTTTGAAAATCGCCTCGAGTAAATTTAAAATAAAATTAATCGTTTCAATTAAATAAACTTTGAGTAAAGAAAATACTCAGTAAAACTAGAATCAAGAAAAATTATTGGAAAATGTGTCTGTTACAAAATTCTGTTACTGTTTACTGGCACTTATTCAATTGTTGAAAATCGTCAGTTTACACTTGCATACATTCAATCAAATAAATTCTTGAATGATAATTGGAGAGTGGACTTGAATCAACATTTTTGATCTTTGATATAGATTAAATTGCTTAATTACTTAATATTAAACTAAACCACATTTTCATATTCATTTCATGTACAAAGGTATCTACTTTCTACATATTCACCGTGCGTCACTAAATTCATGAATTTATTTTACTAGGCAGATGAGCACACCACCAACTCATCCCACCTTTTAAGTAGTAAGTGTCTCGTAATAACAATTATTGACCGTTCGTTTATGTACAACAATCAATTCACTTTTTGAATCGAGACCCTCACCCATCGCCATCCACCTACAAGGACATGACACATTGGTGTAACAGATATTACGAATTTTGGCAACAAGACAAAACACATATGAATCGCATTCACAGCTTTGAAATACAGGATCAAAATTTAATCTCGAAATCTGCGCAGATTTCAAACAAGAACTGGTTTAACTGAATTAATCCACCTGCGCTTGGATTATCTTCAAAGAAAAAATGCAATGTTAGCAATAATAAATAATCTGAAACTTGTCGTCCCTCCAAATTCTCGCCGTAGATGGCATTTTCCAATTCAATTCACTCCCAAAAATCGGGCCGACTCTTTAAGTCAAGGTTACGTATTAAATTTACAGTGCGTAATAAGTAAGTTGGCTGATGAAACCGGATTTAGTTGAAAGCATTGTTGTTGTTTGACCTCTCCTTAATTCGAGTAAGTGAATGGGTCACTAGTGTCCATTCCATATCCAATGTCAAGCTTTTTAGACAAATGCAAACAAAAAGTGGTGTGGTGTAAATAAGGACAGATCATAAGAAGAAGAAGAAGATCGAAGATGATGGCCCATCTTTTTTGTGCAAATTATAAACACACCAGATCCAAATGAACCTAATAAGAGAAAGAAGTTGGCGTTTTATTGGCACTGATTATAATTGTACCATATTGGACGCTTTGAGTAAAGTAAACCTAACCGGATATCGAAATTCATACGCAACAAAAAAAAACCACTGTATTTTGACATACTCACTGTGACATATTTAATCTCGCTTACATATAATGCGACATAAAAAATCACTTTGTTTTATACCCTCAATTGACAAGTATTCCTCATAAAAAATAAAGCTTGATAACTTTCCTGTGTGGTCCAAACCTTGAATTTTCTCGTCACTTTCCTGAGAAATGTTGCAAGTCCTCCATTCAATTTGATTTTATTTTAGTAATAAAAGTCTAGAATAAAATGCAAATTATGCATTGTTGGTTTTGTTGTGGGAAAAGAGTTTAAAAGTAAAATCTTGGTTTGATTGAAATCTCGGAGAAGTGATAATGGTCTCACTTAATTAAAACGAAGCAGGTTGAGAATTAAGATAGTAGAGCAATACATATTGTGTAAAACAATTCATACAGGAAAAATGAATGATGGTGTCTTTCACCGGACGCAAATACGTACATATCAGTCTCAAATCTCTTGAAATCTCAATATATGAATGATCTAGATTACAACGTCTGTCACTTACATACAATTTATCACTGCAAAAATACCACAATCGACACAAAGAGCGAAGAACAAATAGCAAATATTTTCTTACGACCGACAGGAACATCCGACACAGATCCCTATCTTGTCGCCCTTGAACTAAACGGAGAGGAAATGCATGCATCCGTCAATGAGACCACAATATTTGCATATTTGTGCATTTCAATTCATTAAACAATTATAGTCTAGCAATAAATTGGTACAATATTTAAAAATACAACAAACAGCACATTACAAATCTACTCAAAACTTTATATTTACGATTTACAGAAAGAACAAAAAACGGCTGCAAAGTAACGCAATTTTTTAATGCATGCATTTATATGCAGGTGTCTGCATCTCGACATGATTAGATCGACTCGACAGACGGATGAGCAGCACAAAATACTTATCTCGTTGTAATGAAGTCAAGTTTTGACTGGTAATCGCATTCCTATTGAGAAACCATAAAAAGAAGATCAACAAAAGTACGTATTTATGAATGTAGTGAAAAATATCTGACAAACTATAGACTCGTTTTCTATCCTCCTGAATAATAACTTTCTACTAAACTACGTACTGGTCGTACAGAACATTTTAAATAACTACTAAAAATTGATGATTATTATTATTTGCCATTAGCCAGCATTCTCAGACAAGATCGTCAACTTGTGTTTGAACTCTGCAATTATGCGTCATTTCATTCAGGACTTGACAATGATTGGAGGTGATGTACAAAAATTAACAACTTGTTCGAGTAGGGATGTATTTTTAATGTCGAGAAGATTTTTACACACATCTTAGACTATTATGATTAACAGTTAATTTTGCGTGATATGTAAGAATAATTTTGAGAAAATAGACATGTTAATCCCAATCCTGGAGGATATGGTTAACAAAATTGGATCAAACTTAACAAAGAGAAATATTTTCAACAAAGTAGCAGTAACAGTTGAAACCATTTTTTAAAACAAATTTCGGCACAGGGGGCATTCGGACTTGTTGCTGGTGCTGAACCATTTGTAGAGACAGGCCGCATGAAACTTCTTTTTGCATGTTTTACATGCCAATTTTGGAATTTGTTTAGTTACGTTGTGTAAAATGAAGAAGCAGATGGCACACTCGTCCACTGAAACGATAAAAATACTATTGTAATTCGAGTTTATTAATTTTAATAGTAAATTCAAGAACTGTTTTCCTCACCATCTTTGTATAGTCCATCCAAATTTTCCTTCCATAATTTTAATCCGGCCGATAAAGAGTGCGATCTTGTATTGAGTAAATGGCTAATTTTCCCGTGAAGTTTTTTATCACTAATCTTTACAGTTACGGGACCCAGGGGATGGTTTAGAGGGAGACTGACAGTGAGAGTAACATTTGTTTCTTCAATTCTGTAGTGAGCAATTAGCTCGTTGCATCCAGAATGACAATGAACCTGTGTTTAACATGGTGGATATTTTAATTAATAATCAAATCATTGGCAAACAATTAAACCAGTAAAAATTACCGTCACGTTATCATCAACTCCTTCCCTCAACTTCACACTACTCAACTCTTCCGCAGCCAATTTGCTGGATAAATACTTGACAATAAATTTTTCCACAAATACACGATCTCGCTGTCTTGTGACTTGATTATTCCACCACCATCTCACTGTGTAAGGCAAGTTTCTTAGCGTTCTTTGCACCACAGAGCAGGATAATTGTAACAGATTCACGGGAGAATCGGGGTTCAAGTTCAACTCTTTTTCAAAATGTTTTGGGTTTGCGTTCTCTAGAGAAATGTGTTCAGAAAAGAAGAGTGTGTTCAAAAACGGGGTGAGAAGAAATTCCTGATCCCTATATAGCAAAACATAATATATAATTAGAAATAACCCATGTCCACTTTAAATTATGACGACGACGCACCTAACGTATGTAGCGAATTCGTTGGATCCTTGCTGAATTTTTAGTAAAGCGTCCCAAATGAGCAGATATGAAATCATTACATCATTATTTGTCCCGTCGCGATTCAACGTATCCAACAATGCCTTGATAACATTTCCAATCACGGGAGGAACAATGGGCAAATCTCCCTCTCCACTTCGGTCGTATCGAACTTTCTTTAGAATTCTGTAGGCTGTGATCCTACAAAACAACAAAATATTTAGAGTTAGTAATTGGTTTACATATGTATATTACGTTCCATAACGTTGCACAAACAAAGAATGAGCTGCATACCTTGCCGGTAATGAAACCCCATCGCCCAAAATCTTTCCAAAAACTTCACACAACTTAACCCCATCTGGTTCAATATACGCCAGCGTATTCGAGGGACAAGTCACGAACGCTTTTGACACGTACAAAAGAGTTTGTAACGTCCAAAAATTGTGCGACACGACTTCTTCATTCAATTGAACAAAAATGGAGTAAATCACGGGGTAGAGCTGACTTGAATGAAACTCGATGAACTCCTGGACAAATTTTGGACAGAGTTGTTCCAAATTTCTCGCCCTGTTGCTGCAAACACTGACCGCCTTGGCCAGATTGGAGACCCACAGGAGCTGCAGCTTCGAATTGATGTTGATATATTTCGTCTGCTTGAGCCATGCCGCTATCCAACAGGCACCCAAGCTGAGAAATTCTTCCGTAATTTCGTCATCTTTTTCTGCCCGAGACATCAGCTCTGTCGTAATTATGAGCAACTTGTTGACCAAAGTTTTATTCTTTATGTTCTTGAAGAGAGATTCGAATTCAAACAGTTCGGGTTGTTTAACTCTCTTTTCTGTCAGCCAAGAAATTATTTCCTTTACTTTGAACAGATTTTGAGAGAAATCTCGCAGCACTTGCGACACTTGGTCTTGAATCGTCTCCTCTCCAATTGGAGGTGTAGGTGACAATTTAGTCTTCTTAAGGCCACTCGTTAACTCCGCTTTGTGACAATAATCTCTTAGAATTCGGAGAGGAAGTCGGCTCTGCCAGAGTGGATCGGCCCCCGACGACGAAGAATGTGAAGATGTCTCCATGTTGCTCACCTCATTCCACAAAATTTTCCAGGCGTTCTTGTCTTCATAGATCTTCTCTGTAAGTCTTGAGCTGACCATGTCAAGCTCATTGGTTAACTCTCTATTCATAATTTCAAAATATGATGATTTTTCAACTTCATCCCACACTCGGGCCAAGCCTTGAGCATATATCACATTGAGGAGGGGTACAATCAGGTCCGAAGGTGTAGCCAAACTTGAATCCAGGATTAATTTTCCCTTAAAGATCGCTTTAGAAATTGCAGATCGGTGAATCTTTGAAAACTTTGGGACTTGGTCCAGTCCATCGGCCGATATTTCATGAGAGTAGCTCATGCCAAGGAAAGCAAGCAAGTCTGCTTTGACTTTAAGTTGTGCGTGTGGCAGTGGTTGCAGAATTTCTCCTGAGAATCCAAGTCGTTTATTGATATCGATAAGAATGTCAATTTGCTTTGTTTTATCACAAGATTCCAAATATTTCTCTAGAATCTGGGCCACATCGGTGAGATCGAGCTTTCCCAAATTTCTGAAACACACGGTTTCAATCAATTCCAAATCCGAGGATTCGACCATAGAAAGGACGCTCTTGAGAAAGTATGATTCCCAGTAATACCTATGGAACACAGGCCATTAAAAACTTTATGAATACAGTTAAATTTATGTAAGCAACAGATTAGATAATATTTTATACAGATTTAGATTTTATACAGATTTAGATAAACATACTTGTAAATCTGAGTCAAATCTGCTCTAAAGTTGGAAGAAACCAAAATGTGGGAAAGGTCATCCGAAAAAGTTGGGTCCCGTCCTATTCTCTCTGTCATAGTGCCGATAATTGAAGAAACGAACTCTTGCGGAAATAGGTCACGGAAGACAAACTTTAAAATTGTTTGAAGTTCGGATTCATCCAAACTTCCGGCGAGTAGGAGACTTTCCACGATTCCTGTGAAATGTGGCATCCGCACCCACCTCTTGATGGGTTGGAGGTGCGTATATAGACTCAACTCTTTTAGGAACTGTTTAAAATCTGAAGGATCTTGAAAGTTTTCAAATTCGTCAGAGAATTTTCCGAGTAAAACTGGAACCTCGGGATATACGTTAATCAATTCCAAATAGACTTGAAGTCGTGTTAATTTATCTTCTTCCGATGAAAGGTCAACGTCAATGATGCTAATTCCAGTCCAAATTCTCTTATCCTTGAATTTTTTGGAGAGTACAGTCACCGGTTTGTAAGCTGATTCTTGAACTAGTCGCTTGATCACTGTTTGAAGAAATTGTTGCTTTTGATCAGAAAGTGACGAGAAATCCAGACTAGGCTTATTTTCTCCTTCTGCTTGATCACCACTGCCAATATTATCAGAAGACTCGTCTTCTCCTCGGAATTGAACCCTTTTCCTTCGAAATGCTCCGGCAGGTTTTTGATTTTGCATTGATGATTTAGCATCGTGCAATACGCACAAATTGACAAGAAAATTACCAAACTCTTTCGAGTTGAAAACTTCACGAGAACTATTTTCAAACCCGAATTCAATTAATCCATCATAATAATCTTGATCCTTAATCAGATTTCCGTGCAGTTGGGCAAAATCAGATGTCAAGTCGGACAGATTGGAAAATATAAATTGATACACGGGTCTCATTTCAATGACTTCATGGTTGGAGAGAAAGGCCACAATTTCAACCAACGTTCTCGCAATGGACGCTTTTTCAAAGAGGGATCTTTCATTTCCGTACCCCGTAATTGTGGAGGAAATTATGTCATGAGAAAATTCCTGCTTTGAATTATCATCCTGAGCAAATCCTTCCCAAATTCTGGCCAACAAGGGAAGAACACTGGATCCAATTTGGCTAGCATTGCCATAAAATCCATTCTTGCAACACGTAAGCAGTTGTTTCCTCGCAAGATGAATGTCAGACAAGACGCCGTTGAGGGTGAGGAGGAGAAATGTGTTCCAAAGATTGGGCAGAGTTTCTTTCTGATTCGAAGATAGAGCTGCGTTGATGAATTTTGTGCACTTGTCGGAAGGGATGATAAACTGTTGAGCGTTTGTTGTCGTGTTGTCTTCTTGTGCAGACAAATTTCTACTGCTACCAGGTTCAGTTTGATTTGCTATCTGGAGATATTTCGTCAATGAGGATAAAATGTCGTACATATGTCTTCGGACCTTCAAATATACACATTTTCGTGAATCTCCATCTTTGTATTTATATAAAGTTGGAGTTGTAACCGTAAACTCACCAATAATTCTTTCGTCACATCAGCCCCACACCAAAATAAACCACGACTACCAAATACTTCATCCAACGTTTCATAATTAATGAGACCTTGATCAATAAGTGTTTTTAAAGATTGGAGGGAAGCGCAAGTAATTCTCATGGCGTATGATTCTCCATCCCCTCGATCTGGTCCTGACCTTGTCGAAGTTGACCCTGCCTCGTCAGCAGCAGCACTAGTTTCAGGCAAAACATTTCCCTCTGATTGGAGTGGAACGTCAGTTTGTCCAGTTTTCTTTTTCCCTTTCTGTTTTTTATCCTTAAACCCAGTACCCTACACAGCAGAGATTACAAAAATTGATCACAATCAAAATTTATTTGAATGGTTAGCGTTTTCAAACCTGTTCTTCCTTTCCACCACGGAATACACCTTGCAAATGATCCACCATCATCCGCATAATCTCCTCATTGCAAAATTTTATCACATCCAACTGTTTGGTTTCTGATGGAAAGACCGTGAGGAACGACTTCTTCCCAGCAGATGCGACCGGACTGTACAAATCATTCTGCACCAAATACCACGACGGCATCAACTGTTTCAAGTACGGAGCTAAATTCCTCCCCACATTTTTGCAAAGTTGTGTCAACGTGAGTTGCGCTTGTTCACGTACTTTTCTAGAATCGTCCAAAACTAACTTTTGATACGCTTTGACCCAATGAGGTAGCAATATTTTGGATAAGTCTTCCAATTCTTCGCGACTCATGCGTGGTCGTTCCCTCGAAGGCTCTCGGGACGTTGAAGGTGAGTCTGTTTGAGCGGGGGGTGGGGCCCCAAGAATTTGGGCTAATTCGGCCAATGCCTACGTAACGAAATTTGTATTTCAGAGTTTTATACAGTAAAATAACAATCTTTCATCTTTCCAACTTTAATAATAAAAAACCTGCTAAATTACCTTAATTTTGGTTACTGCATCTTTTTTCTGTAATTTTCTAAACACCATACGGACCTCAGGGGGAAGATCGTCATCAATCAACAAACTAGTCAAGACGGTGGTTGGTGGCTTTACGCCAAATTCCAAATGTGCTTCCGCCGCTGCAGACAGAAATGAGAGGCTGCCCCCACCAGAGGATCCTGTTTTGTGAAGGAGTTCCGCTGTACGACTCGAATTTGATGGCTACAAAACATAATTTATGTTATTAATTTGCATTCCAATTAATATTGAATTTACTACTGGCTTAATTATGTAGAGATTAACTTTATGTCATTTGTAATCTGACTGATCTCATATAAATGTTGATCATTCACCTGGACACCACCTTTCGTCCGCTGTTTTGAATCTTTTCCCATGTCGCTAGATTACTTATTTAATTGTAGATAATTTACATTAATGAAACTCGATGACCTCCAGCTGTCCTTAACTTATAAAATGACTTGATTTGACCGGTTCGTGTATGGTAGTTGTAAACTACAAATTGGATTACAGCGAAAAATTTAGTACTACAACACTAATTGATAATAGCTAATGTGATGTTAACTAATGCTAATTGTCCTTCTTCGATCCAACGAAATCAACAAACTCCAAACGTCGAAAGATTGCCAAATATTTCGCAAAATTGCGACGTCAGTCAGAAAAACGAGAATCCAGAATCCACGTTTTGTAGTGGCGGCTGCTCATTGGACTTGAACTTGATACACTTTATACAGCTCTGTGCTGTTTAGATTTATTCTTCACTTGAAGTTGCATGAAAGTTAATTATATTTTATATTTAATTTTTTAATATTTTAATATTAAGTATATATAGATGTTAAATTGTGATTATGGCCGGTGTATCATTTGCTGGAGTCGAATTACGAAAACTTCCAGCCAGCTTCCGCATAAAACTCGGTCAGGTAAACAAAGATTTAAATTTTAAATTCATTTTAATAATACAATTGTAATTGTCAAATGGGTGAAGAGACTTAGGTTGCATAATTATTGCCTAGATATTGGATTTGGACGAATCCTGGAAGAAGCTCATGTGTCGCATCCCGTCAGAACTGAATCCAACCGGAAGTAGCAAGTACTCCGCTGAGGATGTCTTCCTTGTGGAACGACACGCCAGAAAAACTGGGGCATATGGTGGTGGGTAGTTAAAATACTATTCGAATCTTATTATCAATGTCATTTTGAAAGGTTAATTGCTATTATGCAGGCGAAATTCTTCTTGACGAATGGTCAACTTCCGGAAAAAATCGACCTACGGCAGAAACACTGCTACATCTCCTTATCCAGTGCAACCTCTTTCGTGCCGCGGACTACGTAGCGACTGAAATACTGGGGGAAGAACCTCCCCAACGGCCAGACAACGGACCTGCCGCAAGAGTGAAGCCGGATTGTGAAGAAAATACAATGACGGACCTTGCTGCTAGTGGTGGGGCTGATGGGTCGGCAGATCGGTTACAAGACGTATTAGAACGACTCAATAATCACGATTCCTCACAAGGAAACTTGATCCCGTTTCATATCGCGGTAATCGAAGCTGTTACGAAAAACTTTCACCAGGAATTCTGCATTGGTCATGGAGCTTTTGGGACCGTGTATAAAATGGATTTGACAAGAAATGGGGGACCTATGTTGGCGATCAAGTTGCTTAATCCAGTATGCTCCGTTGTGGAGGACCAGTTCTTGACCGAGATTAGGGTACTCTCAGAGTAAGTGAAATCAAATGAAAATAAAGATTCGTAAATATAATGGCTATTAAAAAAATTGCAGGTATCGACACGAAAACCTACTTTGTCTCATCGGATATTGTACGAATGGACCACAGTATTGCTTAATTTATGAGTACATGTCAAATGGGTCTTTGTTGGATATGTTACAAAACGAGCCGAATCGATTAGAGTGGAGGAAACGAGTATCAATTTTGTCGGGCGTAGCGAAAGGGATTCTATATCTTCATACGGCAAGAGACACACCGTTGATTCACCGAGATATAAAGTCGGCTAATATTTTGTTGAGCGATAACTTATCCCCAAGGGTAATCCCAAATCTGCCACTAATGCCACTTACGTGCATAATATTCCATCCTTTATTTTATTTTGCGACAGATTGGCGATTTTGGTTTGGCAAAATCCCTATCATCTTCCAATCAGACTTCTGCCTTAACGTCTACAATTTTCGGGACGTCTGCGTATATGGCACCTGAAGCTTTCCGGGGTGACATATCACCAAAAATGGACATTTTCAGTTTTGGAGTGGTGAGGTTAAAAGATTATAATCGTGTAACTGTAATTTCAAGTCATGTATAGCGATTTCAATTTTGATTAGATTATTCTTGAATTGCTAACTGGTCTCCCACCCTATGACGAAACCAGAGAAGGAAATGACATTGTTACTTATTTAGACGAACTAGTCGAGGATGACGACATTTCTCCGTTTATCGATCCAAAAGCGAGAGGCGTTGACGCGGTTGAGTGCGACTCGGTTTACAAATTAGCTAGAAAGTGTTTAGATGAGAAGAAAAAAAGACCAGGAAGTGAACAAGTACTTGGATATTTACAGAATTTAAATTTAAAATAGCTAAATAATCCAGAATTTATAAAATAGCTTTAATCGACATAACTGTGATCATGAAAAGACATTCCGGGAACAATTGTAATATTTTATTTCTAAGATGGAAATATATTTTCGAAATTGGACTCAAAATATGAAAAGCTGCGCAGCAAAATCAATTAGCGGGTGTGACATCCAAGGTTGTTTTCGCTCAGAGAATACCACCTCCCCACAATTGTTAGAAGAAATAGGTCCAGAATCTCTTGAAACATTTTACAAGTCAGTATACATACATGCATATCTATATTTTTGCATAGTATGGTTATGGTAATAAAATATATTTTACAAACCATAGCCCAAATCAAACCGTTTTCATACTCTGGAAGACACGCTTTCAGTCGCATAATTTATTATATTCTTTGGCGTTGACAAAATAATTGATTTTAACTTTATATCTAAAAAAATGTTACACAAAATTATTATCAATTGACTATTGTATCCGATAAAAATATTTTTTATAATAACACGATATCAGAAACTGCACTTTTTCTGTTAGTATCACAATTCAAGCAAATCATAAAGCTATTGTTTCACGAGGCACTTGTTTTTAAAAATTTTCATTTTTAAGAGAAAAGAGCCATTTTTTGAAGAGGGTCATTTTTCGAGGAGGGCTATTTTTTGAAGAGGGTCATTTTTCGAGGAGGGCTATTTTTTGAAGAGGGCATTTTTATAAAGAGTGTCATTTTTTGAGCCATTTTTTGAAGAGGGCTGTTTTTGAAAAGGGCCATTTTTTATTTGGGGCATTTTTTAATTGAGCCATTTTTTTCAATAGGGCAATTTTTTAATTGATGCGCTTTTTGAATTGTGTCGTTTTTTAATTGAGCCGCTTTTTCATTGGGGCCATTTTTTTAATTGTCCGCATAGTCTGGTACTTCTGCAAGCAACGCTTAAACTATAATCTATCTGGTACTTGGTGCTTGGCTAATGTTCCAAAAATATTAGGAAGCCTGTCTCAAAGTTGGTAAACTTTTGCAAAGATTGTCGAAATCAATTTTTGTCAATAAATGTATGTTGTATAAGGTTAGTCACAGTACCTGACGCGATTTTGACTTCGAGGCGTGTATTATGTAAAGTTTTCCTTAAAGTTTTTTCATCCAATTGCATAAAAGTCAGTTTCAATCGATACAGGAAAACTGCATGCGTTTTGGCGTACATTTTTTTGTTGTATTGGAATTTGAGGAAAACTCGATCACTTATATTGTTTTTATCCATAATTTTAGGTTACCATTTATGAGTCAAACGGTTTGACTCAAACCTGAAATTGTTTTTATTTTCGTCTTCTTGACATCAGGAAATCTAGAAAAATCAGTTATGTAACAAGTTATGTCACGAGTTATGTAACAATCCGAACAATGAGTTATGTAAGCTGCAAACTTTGTGCATCTTGTTTGTGCATGCAAAATCCGGAATGTTTGCATATTTCAAAGACCTCATTATTTTAACTGCAGCGTAATACTTTGCACCCGGACAAATAAGTAAATCTCGTCTGTGTCGCGTTGAATCCAGTATCAATTTTGGAAAAATTATATTTAAGTTACGAAATTTTATAAAGTAGGTATGAAATTTTTTCAGGCCGATGTGAAACTCAAATCAGTTAAATATTTTTTTATTGATTAGTTGATACTGAAAGTTGAACATAAATAAATCCACATTTATTGCATGCCAGAATAAATTTACTAATAATTTATGTCCTCCTTGTATCCGCCGTATCTCGAAGGGATTTGTACGGGGTCGATTAATTCCCGTATTTTTGGCACCCAGTCTTCCCGTCTGCTTCCGTAGAACTTCAAACTGTCGCGTACAGCGGGCGACATCAAGGGAGTCATCGCTTGTATGATCGTTTGGAATATGAAAGGAGCTGTAAAAATTGAATTATTATTACAAAAAATTAAATTATGAATGTACAAATTTCAAATGAGGAGACAAGAAAAAAAGACTTTTTGTGCAGTACAGAGTACAGTCGTTCGTGAGGGCGATTTACAAACAGGTATTTTGACATGTATTTTTGAATAATGCAAATTGGAATTCATATATAAGTAATACCGTGTAGTAATAGGTTGGTATTCAAGTTTTACTCCATCATTTGCAAATTTTTGACCAGTATAATTTAAATACCAAGTGGTAGGTAGCAACTTTAATCCCGAGAAATCAATACCTGCGTGACTTCGACGACGTGAAGTCACGCAGGAGAGATGTGGTATACCACATCTCTCATCCACAAGTTCATTGAAAGAATTCAACTTTGAAACTAATTTTTGTATGAATTATTTAATTAGTACAAAAGATGCCTTGGATGTGTTACCATCGCTGGTCTAGCTGTCTATTTATAGAGTATTTTAACCATCCCATGAAGTATGCGGATTTAATTCCGTCTTTTTCATTCGCCAAAGAAAAAGTTTCAGACCGATAGTGCCGATACTTCATCAGTGTTTTACAGGGATTGTTTTACATAAACTGTGAGGAATTTCCCGTTAGCCTTCGTTACGAAGGCTGACGATCTGCCTCTTTGAAACCTTGGTAAATTCGAGGCAGCGGAAATTGGTCCACTGTAAATGCAGGGATTTGTATTGCTTACTGTTCACAGCGATGATCTTGTTGACCATGTTGGGAAAGTGATCCACTGATGTTGCGGCCGAAACGTAGAATGGCAAAGCTGCAAAATCAAATGTTTAACAATTGTGCAAAATGCGAATAAGGTAAAGTATTTGCACGCAATGATTTAGAATGCAAAATTTAAAGTTTGAAACTTGGTCGAAACGTGAACAGTTCAGTTTTTTTCAAACTTTGAATCTTGAATATTCGTAAAAGATCTATCAATTCCGTTGCATCAAACGGTAGTAATTTTGCAAAAGTGTAATTTTTACAGGTTTACAAAGGTGAAGGCGACTTGCTTGGTTGACATACTTGCGCTATTGACGTTGGTGGGAAGAAATCCCTTAAAGTCGAACAGGAGATTGTATCTGGTCACGTTTTTGCCCTCGCTGCCCAATTCGCGCATCCGGATGCGAGCCATGTCGTAATTTTTTAGAACCCATCTAATCAAACGGCCTGACTTTCCGGCCAACGCGGCGCGGCGTATGTCCCACTCGCCAATATCAAACAAAGCCACTGTTGGGCAAATGTAATCATATTATTAGCATATGGTTAAATACATACTCGTGGTAAAATTGCATAATAAGCGAAGTTTTTAAAATCTGTAATTTCCGGGGAGTGCACAAGCCACGCGTGTTAACAGAAAAAAGTAAGAATTTCATGTACATACATGGTCGCCCTTCACGGTCGACACCTTGGACCAGGATTGGATAGCAGCACTCCATGTCTGACCAATCCTCGGAATGGATGCTGTCGAAATTTAGCTCCGACCTCCACCTGGACTCCTTCATTTGGAAATTCAAAATTTGTAATGTTTTGTACTATGTTTAGACACATAATAATCATAATTTTACCTTTAAAATGAACCGTTCGGCTTCCTCGAGGTCAAATTTCTTAGCTGAATTGTGGAGAATTTTATGAGTAAGATTTTATAATCCATATTTCAGAAATTTAACCAATCGGATATTTGGATATTTGTAACTTTTTCAAACTGTGCAAGTTTTGTAAAATTATCCAAAAAGATCCTGTATGTGCCAACTGCCAGGTGATAAAAATATTCCCTTTACTACTTTTAGGATATTGTTGCAAAATTTATTTAATTCAAATGGCGCATAAATTTCTGCAAAAGTATTTCGCACATATTGATGAAAGTTAATAAAAGCTAGAGGATTATGATATACTAGAGTAGAAGCCCGTTCAAGAACAGGCTCTAGACTCCCTGTAGGGGGTGTGCCCAAAGCGAAAAATTCGTCATGCTACACTTTAAATAATTCCATGGATATTTTGTGAATTTTCTACATGCATCGTATTGAGGGTTTGCCCAATCATACTGTATTTCAATTTCCCTGGTCACGGTACAATTTGATTTCCCCCTGTGGGAGTGTCTTTAGTTATCTAAATACTTAAATTCCCATTACCTGGGGCTGGCTGTATAGCTAAATACTAAATACCTCTCGCATGAGAGTGGCTACATATCAAAACATTTAAATTTCCACAGGATATGGTGGCCGAATGACGAACCCCTTAAATTTCCAGTGGGAGGGGTAACTAACTAACAAAAACCTTAAGTTTCCAGTGGGAGGGGTGACTAACTAACAAAAACCTTAAATTTCCAGTGGGAGGGGTGGCAGCATAGTTGAGCACTGAAATTTCGAAAAGATGGGTGGCTGCATAGTAAAAGTTAAATTCCCAAAAAGGACTAAAAATAGGTATGTGTATTGTGTATTGTTGATGTTGAATTTTTAGCTAATTACTTGAGAATTTATAAATTAATCCAACAATCAAATTTGTTATCTCATTTCACACCAGCCACGCCTACGACATCGCGAGAACACTTAATTTCACTTAATTTCATCTGCAGAACCAATTTCAGTGAAAATCTCATTTTGCCCCAACCACACCCCCTGGGTTGCGAGAGGGTGTGGTACAACTCTGGAAGATTTAATTTCACTTAATTTCATGTATAGCTTCAATTTGGTAAAAATCTCATTTTGCCCCAACCACACCCCCTGGCGCAGAGGGGGGGGGGGGTGATCCGATTGATCCCAAAAGTTGATAGGATCCTACCCCGGAGGTCATATGATGACTGATTTCTATTACCTCGATCCGTTCATTGCGGTGGCAAGTATGCTTTTTGTATGGGGACAGGAGCGTAGTATTCGTATAGCGTGAGTGTGATGAGATGAGAGCAACTCACTTGCTGGCTACGCTCCATTCGAACTCGCAGCCACGAAGCGAATTATATTGAGTGATTTGTTCCCCGAGGTGACTTACACATTTGCATAAGAGCATACACACCTACCTCTCAAAAATTGGACCAGGTACAAGTCCTCCTTTTCATAATCCCTTTTTAGTTTTGGAACAACTCGGTTCTTAAACTACAGTTAAGAATGATATTAAAGGTTACATATTTTTGAAATTTTGTAGGAATTTTCTAAAAATTTACTCACTTCGACCAAAATCTTTGCTTGGTTGGCGCTTAACGTGGTGTCCTCCAGGTATGAAGCAGCGTCCGAAAGTGACACCGAGACTACAAGCAAGAACAAACCCGCTTTATGAAAATGTCCCATTTCAAATTTGTACTGCTGGAAAGATTTTCTTAAGCTTTAAGAAATTTATGGATGTTGCAGATTTTCTGGTAATTTTTCAAGTCCGACTCTCTCAAGTGTCGACGAGGTACTGGGACAATAAAATCGCAACGCTGCGTCTAATCTAGAAAGAGTAGGGACTGATGTCTTTGTTGCAACTGGTTCTGACGCTCACTATTTTGGTGGGTTGTGCAACGCTGCAAAAAAAAACTGTAAAAAATATAGTGCACACGTCGAGAAGGTTGTTTACTGGAGTTCAGGTGCAAAAAGTCACCTGCGTGTACTGCATATGAATCAGTAAATACCATCGACTTGAGGGAGGTCAAGATATCTTATCTTCTTATCCTTGTCATTCATGCGATCGTGGGGTCACAAAGTGGTCTGACTGAAGAGGCAGGTTTACTGTGGTTACATTGTTACAGAGCTTTTTGACTTTGGGAACAAAACAACCCGATGCACAATCAGATTCGGCCCGAATGCGTCCCGCATACGATGTTTTCGGTTTAGAGGCGGCCGAAATTATCGCCTCAATTACGACTACGGATAGATTTCTAATTTCAGATTCTATGTAGTAACTCACAGTAGCCGGTGGGCCACCTTCGGTTTCAAAGCTAAAAAAAGATTTCGTTTAACCGACAAATTTATGCTATCGAGCAGAATTCGGATTTTCTCTCGCTATCCGAATTCTGCTGCCGACTACGGCCCGAATGCGGGGCGAGCTCAGCTCAGCAGCGGGGTTTTTAAAAACTATATGCCATGCCTTTCGCTATTAGCACTTAGCACCGGTCGCTGATTTCGCTACTCAACGTCCCAGAAAACAGTGAATAGTTTAAAGAATAAACCCGTTGCCGTGGTTTTCGTAGAAGAAGATAAAACTTTGGTTTCGGATGTGTCAGCAAACTGGTTAAGTGCCAATAAGTGCCCAGTGTTCTTGGCCATCAGGTCCAGGAAGTCAAAAGTAATCAAAAATAAACCAATCATGTTGTATCCGATATGAGCTGGGAAAACACCAAAGCTCTCTTCTTAAATTTTCAAGTAAGTTTCCATTCTAGGTGGTATTATAAAATTATATAATTTGTCAGTATATTAGGATGCAATATAAATGTAAGTTTATATGTATTCCGTTGCTACATTAAATAAAGTAAATTGATTTGTGAACTTTCGACTTGTGTATTTTAATTATTTTAAATTCGGGAAATATCATTCGGAGCGAGTGAGATATATAGCACGCGGATAGAAAGCTGTACTCCGAAAGCGCATAGAATGCTGAAAGTCGCATACGGACCGAATTCGGGTTACGCATTCGGGGCGAAATCTTTTTGCGGCAAGATCCGCATGTGGGCCGAATTCGCTAGCCACCCGTGGAACGCATTCGGACCGAATCTGATTGTGCATCGGGAATGCATGTCAAACTAAATTTTGCACCGTTGGAAAAAAATTATTTCAGTTACCAAAATCACGCAACATGAATGCTTTCCCTTTTTAATTTGATTTCGTCTGATTATTTAACATCGAAAATGACTAATTTTGTAACTTGACAAACTTTGGTGGTACAGCAGTGACAGTTAAAAGCCTCGCATCATCTTTGAGGAAAGTCGACTGGAAATAAAAACCGTGTCGAAGTTGTTGTTTTTGTTACTTAGGTCATAAAAAATCCACGTGTCAAGTGTGTGACGACTTTAGCGATACTAAAAATACGATGGATGACTCCGCACTATTTGTTTGTATGAGGATAAAATGCGATTGAATTATTTTTTGTTAGAATTAAGGTGGCTCAAAATTAATGACTTGAGTAAAATTCGTCAAGTTGAAATTTAAAGTGGTGCACTTTTGCAATCGTTATTTTCTAGACATTTGGATTTTGCATAAATAGGTCCGTGAGAGAAGTGGGAGGGATTTTGTGATGAGAAAATTTGCAATATACATTTTTTTTGCACAACACCATTTTGTTTTTCATTGTTTCGTTTATAGTCTGCACGTGCAGATACAGCGTTACTGCAATCGGAGTGATAATCTGAATAGTAGTTGTTGACTTGCAGAAGAAGTAAGATTTGCATGAGATAAGTAATTAAGTCCTGGAAAAATACATTTTTATAGGCCGTTCACAGAGAATGTGATCAGTTCAGGAATTTTGACCCTTAATGCACATTCTTTTTGGTCAAGAATGTAATGCCTTGACCTCCGCCTTACCTCAAATTACATAATATAATCACGCTTTATGTACAGCCCTTCATGTGGCTGGTATTTTACGATCGCATAAATTTAGAAACTGGTCAAATTTCTTCCTGCAAAATAGTTACATAAGTTATCCTTGATTAATTTATTATGTATCTGCCTTAAAGTGAGCTGTAAAGGAACGTATGTGAGTTATATGGAATGGATCATGAGAAAAATAATGTCCAGTGTTGCCAGCCTTGTTGAATAAGATGCATAAAGGTTATTGAGTCCACACGGCCACGACTGCATATTTATTAATGTCAATGAAGATATCATTCTTATAGAACACAGTGAAGCTTTGGGTTTTAATGGAATCGATCGAAAAATTAGTTATTCCCTTCGGTGAAAACAAAACGAAAGGATCTTTATTACAATGATTTGATGAGTTTTGTTGTAATGACGTAATTTATTGCCAATAAAAGCATTCATTTTTTACAGCTGGATCAACACGGACAATAAAAAGTCGTAAAAATGCATTCTGCGTTGTTGTCATCTTCTCGTGCACGCATTTTTTAATAGATTTAACAAAGGTGATTTCATTTATGGTACGGAATATGAAAAATATAATCACATTCATGTGTTTGTATGAATTTCAATTTATCATGAAGCGCCAAGGAGTACGAATTTTCTTGTTGGGACGAACTCACTATTGCAAATCCCTTTTTCGTCATTTCTTGCATCAAGTATCGCATGCACTTCATTGCGTGTCCTTTGTTTCGATGCTCTGGGTTTGTGGAAAGCATGCCAATCAAACCATGTCCATTCACGATAGCTCCACTGACGAGGTCGCCGTTTTGGTAGACGCCGGCAGTGATGTGGTGCTTAATAATCTTCTTCAGATACGTTTCGGTCCCTGGTCGGACATATCGCCAACTTTGAGTGAGAAATTTGAGTCCTTTGTCTTCATCCAATGCTTTCAAAACAACGCCATTTTTGTCCTCCCTGTCAAAAAACGTGTTGCTTAAAATGTGTGCAATTATTATTACAAATAGAACTTGATTATTGTTACTCTGAAATAGTTTCAGTGATGTTTTCCGGCTCCTTCCAGTAGCCATAATTTGGATTAAAAGTGACAGAGTTTCTGAAAACTACGGTGCTGATTTCGAAAATCATGTGAGAAATGCGCCTATCCGTCAATACGAACATGTGACATCCTTTCCATTGGATGACTTTGGTCGAAGTGAAGGCTTGCTTTATTTCCGGTGTCACTTGAAATTCCTTCGAAAGGGACATGTTGATATCTTGTCCGTAATCCTGATGGAAAAAAATAGCTATGAATGTTAATTATTAACTACTTTAATTTGCAAATGTAGAAAATCACCTCTCTATCGAATATGATCAGAATTAGAGCATTTGGGGACAAGTCTCCTCCAAGCGTGTAACATGTCATTTCCTTGGGAAAAATGTTCAACACGAGGGCCATGTTGTAAACCTGGAGAAAAATCATGCATGAAAATTACCTGAAAATTGCAAATAATTTTGGTGCATGATGCAACACTTACCTGGCCAGATATTGGTAGTCGGGCTTTCAACAGTTCCACAATTTTCGGGTATTCTGATTCATTTACAACTTTAAACTCGTCCACGGTTGAACCCATTTTAAATAACAACTTGTTACAATTTTAAAGAAATTTCAGACCAATTTGCAGATGTTAAGTTCACTACGATTGCCCAAACGTGAATGAAGTAACGAGTTGGCGTGCCATGCATTAAATTATCGTATGCATTCATAATTCATGTGACAGAAAACGTTGATGTCAAGGGCACAAAGTCAAGATGCTCTCTCGTAGTATGCAGATGATGAAATTAAAACTAGTACAGTGCAACTTAATATGGCCCGAACCTCAACATATGCAATTAGTTTAGAAATTTTTCATGAAATTAACTGATTACTTAAATAATTAGTTAAATTGCGTATTCACTATAATATTTCTTTATAAAAAACCGTTTTGGATGATCAATGTATTCTGATATGATATACCTAATGCCATATTCATTCATTTATATATATGTATATAGCTCAGCTCACTCTTTGGATAAAGTCTCAACAAGTGACAAGCCAGACGGACGCGCATATGTATAACGGCCCCATAAGCCCTGACTCGGGCTAAATATTAAACTCTTCGATTTACCTACTTATCAAATCATTCATATGTGTATTGGTAGAAGACAGACATGGAATGTACCTTGATTCAATCATGTATTAGATACATCCAATCTTCAACCAGACCTATATAATTTATTTTTATGCTTATGGGAACGTGATGCTCGCCTGTCTATGAATGTCCATTTGCATGTATGCTACATTGGTACGAGGTTAAGTGGTCTGCTGGTACAGGAGTAGAGGGCAATGGGCAGAGACAAAATAATTAGTTTATTAGTCAAAGTTTTGCACTCCGACCGAGTATTTTACATTACACTCTAATTGACAAGCGAGTATCATGTTTTTCCTAACTGATATGCACCGAATTGTGTATCTACATATATGAGTGCATGTCTTATATATTTATTAGTGTTACTAGTATTTCCCTGAGGGAGGACTGGCATATGGTACAAATACTCTAAAATTTAGAGTATTTATACTAATTTAGACAAGGAGAAAAGGAGAAGGTAAACTTGGGGAATAAATCATGACTTTCTCCAAAAAGGAATGCTATCATCTCCCACTTTGCGACCACATTGGTCGAGATGCGGATGCGCTACATGAATGTACACGAGAAAGTTGTTAGCTTACTATATATTGAAAAAAAATTTTTAAGCATACATTTGCAAAGAGGTTTAACTTTATTCTAAATAACGACGATATACAAGCTAACCAGGATGTCCGCGATGTCGTAGGAGTAGAGATCACGTCCTACAAATAAATCATGGATTCGTACACCAAAAATAGCAAAGAAAGGCGATTTCTTTGTTCTCTCGTGCTCGATTGTTGCAGTTTTTGTAGCATTTATTCCATTATTTCCTTTGTCTCCCTTGGGCAGAATGATGCATCCATTCCGCTCAGATGTGCCGTCAAAATGACCCCAAGTCTTATGCACACAGTCAACAGTAAGGCCGTAAGGGTGTTTTTTTATTTTTTTATTATTACATCAAAATACCGTAAAAATTAAATGCCTCGTAAGGTTTAAACTATGTTTATATTTAGGAAGACGCTCAGGTCAGAAGCTCAATTATGCGATTTCTTGACAACTGTGGCGCAGCTGTTGACATTTTCCGCACCGTTTTTCGTCGTGAGGGGTTTTGGACGCCTGGCGGACTTGTTCTTTGCTCAGTTTTACCTGAAAAGCAGTTTCAAATTTGTGAGATTTGTAATATTTAAATTAATACTTTCGCATGAAATTATTTGTGGCAGAAGAATTCGATTAATGCAAATTATTGCAAAACCAAAAAATTCCTAGCATATTCGCATTTGTGAAGGCTTATAGGTGACATTGTTTAACAAAATTATCCATGCAAAATAATCTTCATCGAGAAATAACAACATCACACAAACTTTCAAGTTACGATTTTCATGTATTATAATTAATTTGTATCGTTGACCTCTGACCTGCTTGTATGGATAGACGAGTAAATTGCACCGCTTGCACTGCTGCCCTTGATTGGCCCAACTGTGCCCGGAGGTCCATTTGTGAAGGCACTTGTGACACCTGAAGAACCCGACACATCGACTCTGCCCCAAGTACGGCGTCAACTGAGGAGTGGTTCCGACATGGTTTGAGTCTAGGTTAGTACGGCGCTTATCTTCCCAAGGCGACTTATCGGGGTGATGGTCAGGAGACGTCGTCAATGGCGTCGGCAGAAGGGGCGTTTTGAATTTTGACGAGGACACCTTTACGTGACCCGAGTATCCTGCCTTAAGAACAGGTGGTTGGTCGGAATAATACTTATCTTGGTTGTGAAGCTTATCGGCGGCGCGATGGCTTATCATCTCAGGCTCAGGGGTGGGTAGGAGAGGCGTCTTGGACGTAAATCCTTGAACAGGAGGTCTGGGCTTGCTATAAAGGGCCACGATTTGCCGGACGAGGTCGGGAGGACGGTTATCTTTCTCGGGAGACTTATCTGCGCGAGGGTTTATCATGGAGGAGGAATTTGGGAGAGGAGACTTGATTTTTGAGGTGGATTCTTTCGCTGGTGGGTTGAATCCCGTGGTTATCGGTGAGGTCAGGTCGTGATCGTAACGCTTGTCAGGATGGACTCGTTTATCGTGAAGTGTTATCATCGGCGGGGTTGGAAGCAGCGGTTTCTTCGTATGTGGTGACTTCACCTGGGGTTTTAGGAAAGGATTGATATTTGTTGGAGGTTCGATTTGTGAAGTCACATCGAGGTTGCGACGCCTATCGTATGGGACTCGCTTATCGTGAGGGTTTATCGTCGCCATTCTAATGAGGAAATCAGAAAATTCCAGCAAGCAAGAAAATTTTTCACGTTCTGTGAAAAGTTTGGACATTAAAATTTGGACGATTTTTTGACAGCGAAATATTCAAGGTTGCTTGACAACTTTAGTAATAATTACAATTTTGTGACAATTGGTTGTGACAATTGCTTTGACGACTAAAAAGCTTCAATTTTCGAAAACCCCGGTACCATTTGGAACCAGTATGCGCCGCCCAAACTGTCGCCCAGAAACAAAAAGCACAAAAATTGTCAATACTCACATTTCGTGCTCTCGAATTAATTTTGTAACCATCGATACAAGGATCAGCGCAGTTGTAAATGTAATGTTACTCCCTAGTCACTACGAACTTCGTGCAAATTTCATGCACATCGAACGAGAAATGGCAAAATTATGGCATGGCGACAAAATTTGTCGAAAATAAGGTGGTGGCGGAGGAGGTGACCTTGCGACATTTCGATAACACCAAAAAGAAGTGTTTTGCCAAATTTCATGCAAATCGGCCGAGAAATGGCAAAATTATGGCATGGCGACAAAATTTGTCGAAAATAAGCTGGTGGCAGAGGAGGTGACCTTGCGACATGTTGATAACACCAAAAAGAAGTGTTTTGTCAAATTTCATGCAAATCGGACGAGAAATGGCGAAATTACGACATGGCGACCAAATTTGTCGAAAACGAGGAGGTGGCGGTGGATGTGACCTTTCGACATGTCAACAACACCAAAAAGAAGTGTTTTGACAAATTTCATGCAAATCGGACGAGAAATGGTGAAATTATGGCATGGCGACAAAATTTTTCGAAAACAAGGTGGTGGCGGTGGATGTCACCTTGCGACATGTCGATTACACCAAAAAGAAGTGTTTTGCCAAATTTCATGCAAATCGGACGAGAAATGACAAAGATATGGCATGGCGACGAAATCTGTCGAACACAAGAGGGTGGAGGCGGGTGGGACCTTGCGACATGTCAGCAACACCAAAAAGAAGTGTTTTGTCAAATTTCATGCAAATCGGACGAGAAATGGCGAAATTACGACATGGCGACGAAATTTGTCGAAAACGAGGAGGTGGCGATGAGTGTGACCTTGCGACGTGTCGATAACACCAAAAAGAAGTCTCTGTTGAAGTTTGATGGAAATCGGACGAAAGATGGCGAAGTTATGGCATGGCGACGAAATTTGGCGAAAACAAGGTGGTGGCGATGAGTGTGACCTTGCGACATGTCGATAACACCAAAAAGAAGTCTCTGTCGAAGTTTGATGAAAATCGGACGAGAAATGTCGAAGTTATGGCATGGCGACGATATTTGGCGAAAACAAGGTGGCGGCGGGTGGGACCTTGCGGCATGTCGATAACACCAAAAAGAAGTCTCTGTCGAAGTTTGATGAAAATCGGCCGAGAAATGGCGAAATTATGGCATGGCGACGAAATCCGTCGAAAACAAGGGATGGGCGGTGGGTGGGACATTGCGACATGTCAACAACACCAATAAGAAGCATTGTGCCAAATTTCATGCAAATCGGCCGAGAAATGGCGAAATTATGGCATGGCGACGAAATCTGTCGAAAACAAGGGGGTGGCGGTGGGTGGGACCTTGCGACATGTCAACAACACCAATAAGAAGCATTCTGCTAAATTTCATGCAAATCGGCCGAGAAATTGCGAAATTATTGCATGGCGACAAAGGTTGTCGCCATGCCATGCATTTATAAGGGGGGGAGCTGTTGGCCGCCCTGAGAAGGGCGTTTCCAGAGCACACGACGAGGACGTCGCTCCCTCGTGCTCCACGCGGGCGGGCCCCCACTCGCGCCCTGAGGCGCAAGGGGGGTCTACCTCCACCGACCGGGAAAGCCCTGCCCACGTCGCCGCCTCTGCAACCGCGTTCCCCTAGGGGGCCCGTCTGACCCTCGCCTTACGAGGTGGGAGCGCACCCGTAAATCGGCCCCCATTAAGGCTTCGAACTCGGGAACCCGGTCGGCCCCAAGGGGAGGTATCGCTAAAGAGCGGCGTCACCCAAGGGTTGGAGGTAGAGAGCCCCTCTCACTTGCCAAGCGCCACCCGCACTTTTGGCAAGCCCCGCCGGCTCCCCACCCGGTGAGCCTGCTTGATGGGAGGAGCATTGGAGGGGGGACCTTCCCGTAAGGCTCTCCCCTTGCAGCGTTGTTCCCCCGGACCACCCCTCCAACGGGAAGAGAGTCGGGGCTGTGGGACAAACCACGGGTGGACCCGACTCCCCAGAGAGGCAGGGCGGTCCAGGGGCGCAGCTGCAATGGGGAGCTCACCCAGGTACACGTCCGTCCCCCACGAGCGCCTCCCGCAGACTAAAAAAATTGCGGAACGAGACTTGTACTAGGCAACTTTGTCCCCCCAACCACAAACTGTGGTCACTTTTGCAAGAAAATGGTTCAATGACGGGACTTGAAACTGGTCAAATCAGCCTATTTTTTGGTAGTAGGGCAGTATGATCTTGCACTTTGTGCATTAAAAGTTTCAAAAAGGTCAGTGGGGGTTTTCAAAACTAAGGGGTGTGGTATGGCTGACATGCTTATAGCAACATGTCACATGTTCTGTGTTTACAATTGCTACAAATAATTCAATTAATTATATCAGTATTGTTGGGGGTGGGAAAATGTCGATTCTTATAGTTTTTTGGTCGCTGATTTCGAATCTGAGGTCAGTTTTTCGATTGCGACATCATGGGAAGAGGCACAGGGCCAATTAATTATGTTAACATAACATAAAATTATAAAGCTGCAAATATAAGGCTGGGTTTGGTGGTAATTTATGAATAAATTAGAAGTTGACATAAATTCATAGTGCTTCCCATCACTACTGCCACCTTGTGATAATTTTTGTAATAACATGCCACAACTTCGCTCACCAATTCAAAGTTAGTCACTATTTTAGTCTTTTCTCCTCACTGAAGAAGATAAAACTGCCTCTAGTAAAAAAAAAAAAAAAAAAGATATCGAAGGGTTGGTTATCTTTTTACGAGCCTGTCGACAAAAGATTGAAGGAACATAAAACTTGAAAGAAGATTTGCTAGAGAAGAAAGAAAATAATACTCGGTAAGTGGGTCAAAGATCAAGTTGTCTTTGATAATCTAACACTTTTTTTATCATAGTGCTAAAAAATAATTCTTCAGTTTGTAACTGGAGTTAAATATCACCATTTCTTTTCTTTCTTGTTTTAGGAACAAGTACGACGACTGATTACGCCGAAATGTTGCTTGATAAGGATTTGGACACTCTTAAGGACGAATGGTGCTATCCGGATCGTCCATTGATGATCAATAGGAAGTACTCGTACAAATTGCTCAATATGCACAGCCCTGACAATTTTTCAATCATCGTGGTGGATCAGACTTCCGTGGTGATTCAAAGGCAGATTAAAGAGGCAATGGATCTTCATTTGCACAACATTGCCGGTTGTGCACCGGTTGACGTTGCTTGTCTGAAGGATAGACTTCCTGTAACTGTCAAATTTGAGGATGGGTATGGGATTTATGTCATTGCCAGAGATCCGTGATTAATGAATTTTTTTGTGGGATTAAGGATTAAGGATTAATGTTATTCCGGGATTAGATTAGTCCAGGATTAATTAAATAATTCAATTTGCTGGGATTAAGGATTAAGGATTAATTCACAATGCTTTTGAATTCGGGATTAAGGATTAAGGATTAATTAATCCTGATTAATTCATGATTAAGGATTAATATAATTTTTATTTTCCTACACAGAATTATCGACACAGCGATATTAATGTGTCAAATCTCAAATACTTACAAAACGTGCAATATATAGTAGTGTTGCGTTAAGTACGTAATAAAAATCAATGTTGGAATAATATCCCCGCCAATTACGGCAAGTTTTGGTGCACAAGCTATGCCCCTGGCCTTTACAGAGCCACAAGACTTGTCAAGTTCTTCGACATCAAAAAATGTGCCGGTCAAAACGAATGGCAAACCTTTCAGTTCAGTTAGATTCCTGTTCGCCATGATTAACGATTGAATCAGTACTTTTATGGAAGCAACAATATAAAGTTAAAAAATATAATGCATGCTAGATAATTTCAGGAGAGGAAAGTAGAAAGAATGGAAAAATATCACATGGTTGAGAATAACTGTTACCTTGCTCATTCGCAGTATTAATCTCTCGTGAGAATTAATCCTAATCACGATTAAGGATTAATAATTTGGGCATGCTTCGTCGGGATTAAGCATTAAGGATTAATGGAGCAAAAATATTTCGTCGGGATTAAGGATTAAGGATTGATTTCACACATTTTTTTGTTGCGATAAACATTAAGGATTATTAATCCTTAATCCCAATCCTTAATCCGTTAATCACGATTAATTAATCACGGATCTCTGGTCATTGCTAATAGGCATACGATTACGAACATACTAAATCTATTTTGTATATTTCATAGGAAATTTCACCGAGCAGAGGTCAATTTAGTTGAAGAGAAGGGTGTGAATGTGTATATGGTGGATTCAGGAGTGGATATTTTGATCTCGGCTGATTCCATATATCCGTCGTCAACAGAACTTTTGAGACAGTGGATATTTTGATCTCGGCTGATTCCATATATCCGTCGTCAACAGAACTTTTGAGACTTCCAAAGCTTTCGTTAATGTGTCGTCTTGCTCAAGTTGTCCCATTTGAGGAACAGGAAAAGTGGAAAAAGTATGACTACAAGTCGCTGTTCCAAGGAAAGAATACATCAGTGTTCTCAATTTCTCTAATTGACCGTGGAGTCTCTGAAGTTTGGCTCACGTGTGACAAGAAGGATGTTGGCTTCGAAATGGTTATGAATTTGGGTTTAGCTGATTTTGTTCCGCTAAGTACTCATGGGACCAATGATGAAGGTAAAGATTTCTAATTCCCAATTCATTTACATAATATTTATCGACCTCAATTAATATTGCTAATAAATCAGATCGTTCGATGTTACTATTAGATTAGATATATATATATATATTAATATATTGTAATTTATTTTTTTTTACATAATTTAGGGCCACAAATGCTTGGAAAGTATCCTCGATATGATTACAGTGATTGGATTGGACAGAAAATCGGAGTCTTTGGGACGAAGGTTTCAAAAGTGGGATCGAATTTCAAAGTGCATCTTCAACTTCATCCGACTATAATGGAGGCTGTTGATGCTGGATTGTTGAAGTATGACTCTACTTCCAAAGACGTAAGTAAATATTACTCCCCAGTCACTTCGTAGTCTTCACTTCGTAGTACGAAGTCAAGACTACACTTAACTTACACTATACAAACAAAGTTACTCTATTCGTACCTTCTTATCACTCGATTATTTGTGCTATTAATAATGTGTACTGTTCTTAAAGGCCAAGGACTTTTCAAAGGATATTGGTGATGCTGTTCTTGTTGCGTATGGCGAGGATAAAATGAATTATCGAGCTACAATTTTTCAAAAGTCAAGGGTTGGGTACTTGGTAAAACTGGTAGACTACGGAGACTGTCAATGTTCAGGAAAAAGACGTAAGTTTTAATTGTACAGTTCATGTCGCATTAAATCGTCAATATCGTAATGAATTATGTTTTAGATGCTCAAGATTTCGAAAGAACTCGTTGAGATTCCTGAAGCAGCCACACCCTGCTACTTAGTTGAACTATTGGCAGCGGACCCGAGCAAACTTCCTTCAGATAAAACCACCAAGGGAAAATTGATGGAGTTGATTATTGAAAAAAATCTGGAATGTTACATTAGCCATGCAAATTTCATTGATGACGTGGATCCCCGAGAAATTCGAAAGTAAGATAATAAATGTGAAGTTCCGTTTATGGGGGGTTGACTGCAGTGATGGTGGTGATGAGGAAGATGAGACGATCGTCGTCGTCGTTGTGGTGTGTGCGTAATAATTGGGAGGCGAGATGAGACTTGGTTGCACTTTTCTTAGAGAGGTTTTATTTATTACTTGTACAAACAGGCAGAACTCTGCCTCTCCCAATAATATTGGGAGAGGTAACCTGCAGTAGCACAAAATACTTCCTCGACCGTCCTCCACCGTTCCCCCGTCTGGTGGCTGCGCTTTCGCTTATATATCCTAGCAATACCTAATTGATACCTATGTGTTGACCGATTATGAACCGGTTGGCTACGCTGAATAGAGATATCTCAGATGAGGTTGTGACGAAGCTGTTTTCCAACACTGTCTCTGGTTTGTAAGAGATGATGGAGGTGAGCGGCATACTAATTAAGGGGTTTGGCATTAATGAAGTTGACCAAACCTGCTCTTTCACAATATCCACCTTTAGTAAGCGGTGGCCCTACCGCAACAAACGAAAAAATGCGAGATTTAATTCAGTCAGATTCTGTGTACCTACTTGGCGTCAACGTATTCAGAAAAGTCGGGAAAATTCGTCAAAAAATCCAAGTAAGTAAATTTGTGTTTTTTTTCAATTAAGTATGGAGAGGTATGTATTCACGATGGTGGTGGGTGGACAATTGCATGTAAACTTTGTTGACGTAAAGTGTGTTCGTGAATGAAATATAATGGGGAGGTATTTTAGCAGAATAAAATGCATGCATAAATGCGTGCATGGCTGGTAAAATTAAAGAAAAAACTAAAACAAATTTTTAAAACTTATGTAGGAAAGTCGGAAAATTATTAACGAAAAATTAAAAATGAGGTAGCAGATTTTGATGGAAACAATTAAGATACTTAGATAGGAAAATTGTTAAAATTGGGATTTTGAAAAATTGCCAAAAATTAAAATTCTTAGATAGGGAAATTGTTAAAATTGGGAGTTTGAAAAATTGCAAAAATTAAAATTCTTAGATAGGGAAATTATTAAAATTGGGAGTTTGAAAAATTATAAAAATTAAAATTCTTAGGTAGGAAAATTGTTAAAATTGGGAGTTTGAGAAATTGTAAAAATTAAAATTCTTAGATAGGAAAATTGTTAAAATTGGGAGTTTGAGAAATTGTGAAAAATTAAAATTCTTAGATAGGAAAATTATTAAAATTGGGAGTTTGAGAAATTGTGAAAATTAAAATTCTTAGATAGGAAAATTGTTAAAATTTAGAGATTGAAAAATTTAAAAAAATTAAAATTCTTAGATAGGAAAATTATTAAAATTGGGTGAGGAGGACTGCATGTGTGTAGCCCATTATAGACCGGATTGGAGCTGTCTGAAAAATATATATGTGCCCGGCAGGCCGAAGCAAAGTAAGCCAAAGACAGAGGAGTGCCAGATGTGAAAACAATGGTGTGATGACGAAAATACTAAAAGTAATAGACGACGAGTTATGAGTGCCAAGAGTTATCTAAATTAGTTCATAGATCCTACAATTAAAATGTCTGAGAATGTAACAGAAATTAATGTAAAATAAAAAGTACTCTAACAATTAAAGAAAAAATTGGTAAACAATAATGGTGATTAATACTGGGCTAAAAATTACGGAAATTAATATTGTCCTTATGAGTAGTTATGGTTACCTGTTCTTAAGATGGGATTATAAGGATGATAAAAAAAAATTATAAGTAACATGTGTTGGTTGATGTGTTTAGACCATGGTGGTAATCGAAGAATTATCTACTGGGCCGATAGTGCGGGATGTCGTGCCCTATCTGCCCAGCGCAGGGAAAGGATTGGACGTGTCCCCTTCATTGGTTGGGGGGAAAATGTATGATTATAAAATTAAGAGATAATAATGAGAAATAACAAGGTCCTGGTGAAGGGAAGGGCTGGTAAACCTAAAGTTGGTCGTTATTGCAGGGTGTCCTGGGGAAGGGGGCTGCGTTTCTTCATCACGGAGAAGATTCGGGGGGTCCATTTTGCGTGTTGGGTCGTGGAGGACGGACCCTCCGAATAGACGGGGCCTGAAGATTTGGGGCTGACGGACGGGAGTTGCGTGGTCCTCCGTCATCCCAGTTGGTCCCGTGAGATTGCGCTCTTTCCGCCCCGGGACGATTTGAATCTGCACAGCAGGTTTCTTCCGAACGAGCTCAAATTAGGAAGGTCGTCCGTGGACCCAAATCTGGAGTAAGTAAATTGACTTATTCCCAGGGGAGGGTGTATTTGGTGCGTGGGTTGTGTGATGTATAAATGGGCATTTTGCCAGGATTATCTTGGGGCCTCGGATGAGGTTCCGGGTGACGCCTTTCTATGATGGGGAAGGTGTCTACTATGCCCGGTGGGTACCGCAGACGACGTTGGACTTGGGATTTTTGGCGAGGGACTCCAATCCCGTGGAGGACGGCAGACGTCTGGTTGTGAGGGCGAGGTGTACCAGCCTCCAATTTCTGTGATGGAGGTGTCCCCCAACGAGTCGCGTCGAAGTCTTCGACCTTTGCCGCATCGCAGAGAAGATCGTGGTCATGTTTTGGGGTACAACCTACCCGAGTGTCGAGTTGTGTTAGCTCGCCTTCCTGAACTAGGCTCAGGGAGTGGCAGGGCTTCTGGAATCGAAGTCATAGATTTAACGTGCTCAGGTGAGGTGCTATTGTTGTCATATGGTTTGCTCAGTTAAGGCTGATTATGTTGTTGTTGCTTGCTTCTATGCTTCTTGTTAGATGATGACGCCGCAGCAGTTGGCACGGTGGTAAGTAGTTATCGTTGAGATGTCTGTGGATTGGTCTGTTTTTATTGATTTTTTTTTGTTGTTTGTTTGTGTTTTATTATTATTTATGTCGTTTTTTGTTTGGGGGGTGGTTGTGTTTGTGTTGGTTTATTTTTTGTTCTTTCTTGCGAGTGGAGAAGTAATGGTGACATGTGTGTTTAGGAGGTGGGCCACAGAACTGAAATGCAGCCGGGTAGTAGTGGTGGAAGAGGGACAACATGCGGCAGGAATTATCAAGTAAGGGATGAGTTGTTTGCCAATTTAATAAAGATGAAACCCCTGAGTAGATGACCTGATAAAAAGATTGACTGTCGGAAATGGTTTGTATGTAGGTCCAATATTCGGGACCGGTGTCTTCGGAGGAGGAGGAGGACTTGGAGGCGTTGTTTGTTAAGGTGAGGAACCGGGCTAGTAGTGTGTGGATGTAGGGGGGCGCACTTGCTTGAAAAAAAATGATGGCCTGAAATTGTTTGAATTTGGCAGGTGAAATGTGTCCGGAAGGAGAAGAAGTCTTCCACTGGTGCAGGTGAGACCGAGAGGAGCGCCAACCAGGCCGGTGGGAGCGGGAGGGTGATGGCGGGAGGAAAAACGAGGATAAAGGCCAGGTCGAAAAATGTAAGTGGAACTGAGTAAGGGAGAACCGTTGTTGGAGGGGTTGGACAGAGGTGTAATGGCGAAGATAATAATTAATTGTCTTGTAAATGATTTCAGTGGTTTCGGAGGAGGTGTCCATGTGGCCATGTCTTCATCGCGAGGGACCGATGGAGGTATCATCTGAAGAACTGCAATGGGGATTCTTGCAATATAGGAAGATGTCATCTGATAGGATGCCAAGGAAATCCTAATCCAGAAGTAGATTATCGTCGTCGTAGATAAGTTTTTGTTGTGTCCAATAATGTGCACTATTTCCAATAATTTGTAACTGTGGTTAATTGTTTGCTGTCTAAATAAATTTGACAAAAGTTCCAATATCTCCGATAATTTGTAACCGTGGTTAATTTTTTTTTGTTGACGGAATAAAATTGACAAAATTTCCAATATCTCCAATAATTTGTAACCGTGGTTAATCGTTGGTCTTCTGAATGAAATTGATGGTGCTGAGTGGGTAAAACGGGTGTCTGAGTTGCTTGAAAGAACGAGAAGGGTGGGGTGTGGGGTTTCAGATGGACGGCAGAGAGAGGGATAGAGTCGCCGGAAGTTTAGCCGCAAGCAGGGGAAGATTAGGGAGGACATGGGTGAGGAGGTCTACGGTGTAAAGAAAAGAAATATCCGTTGTTTGTTTTATTGCTGAGGCGGATCAGCTGGATGAGATTGCAGTGTTGGAGAGCATGGCGTTGAATCTGGGGGTGGGGACGGCCTACTGTTAGCCGGCACAGGCCTTGAGGGAGTGGATGGAAGTGGTGGGGAAGGTTTGGAGCCGTCGGCGGGTATGTTCGGGTAGAGTGGGGGGATTGGAGAAGTTTCCTCGGTTTCGATTGGTTGTTCGGCGTGATCTTGATACGCGGTATGACGCGGTTTAAGACGCGGGACAGCGGGGGGAGTGAGAACAAGAACAAAGTTGGTACGCGTATGACAGGAGGCCCCTTTTGGGAGGGCGTGGAGGTAGTAAACGTAGGTTTCCTGGGACCGGTAGGAGTTTTGAAGGGGGAAAAATGGTGAGTTTTTCATTGTGTCGTGTGCAGAATCCATAAGCGCCATAATAGGTGAGGAGATTGATGTTGGTGAATAATTCCGGGTGTAGGGCTGCGAATTCGTTGAACCATTTTTTATCCTTTCTTTTCTTAGAGAGGTTTTATTTATTACTTGTACAAACAGGCAGAACTCTGCCTCTCCCAATAATATTGGGAGAGGTAACCTGCAGTAGCACAAAATACTTCCTCGACCGTCCTCCACCGTTCCCCCGTCTGGTGGCTGCGCTTTCGCTTATATATCCTAGCAATACCTAATTGATACCTATGTGTTGACCGATTATGAACCGGTTGGCCACGCTGGATAGAGATATCTCAGATGAGGTTGTGACGAAGCTGGTTTGCAACATTGTCTCTTGTTTGTAAGAGATGATGGAGGTGAGTGGCATACTAATTAAGGGGTTTGGCATTAATGAAGTTGACCAAACCTGCTCTTTCACAGTGTTCCAAGCTTGTTCCTTGAGGAACACATGAGGAACACCGAGGAACACATGAGGAACATCGAGGAACACGACCCGGAACACGTGTTCCAAGGTGTTCCAAGCTTGTTCCTTGAGGAACACATGAGGAACACCGAGGAACACATGAGGAACACCGAGGAACACATGAGGAACCTTGAGGAACACATGAGGAACACCGAGAAACACATGAGGAACATCGAGGAACACGACCCGGAACACGTGTTCCAAGGTGTTCCAAGCTTGTTCCTTGAGGAACACATGAGCAACACTGAGGAACACATGAGGAACATCGAGGAACACGACCCGGAACACGTGTTCCAAGGTGTTCCAAGCTTGTTCCTTGAGGAACACATGAGGAACACCGAGGAACACATGAGGAACATCGAGGAACACGACCCGGAACACGTGTTCCAAGTGTTCCAAGCTTGTTCCTTGAGGAACACATGAGGAACACCGAGGAACACATGAGGAACATCGAGGAACACGACCCGGAACACGTGTTCCTAGGTGTTCCAAACTTGTTCCTTGAGGAACACATGAGCAACACTGAGGAACACATGAGGAACACCGAGGAACACATGAGGAACATCGAGGAACACGACCCGGAACACGTGTTCCAAGGTGTTCCAAGCTTGTTCCTTGAGGAACACATGAGGAACACAGAGGAACACATGAGGAACATCGAGGAACACGACCCGGAACACGTGTTCCAAGGTGTTATAAGCTTGTTCCTTGAGGAACACATGAGGAACACCGAGGAACACATGAGGAACATCGAGGAACACGACCCGGAACACGTTTCAAGTGTTCCAAGCTTGTTCCTTGAGGAACACATGAGGAACATCGAGGAACACGACTCGGAACACGTGTTCCAAGGTGTTATAAGCTTGTTCCTTGAGGAACACATGAGGAACACCGAGGAACACATGAGGAACATCGAGGAACACGACCCGGAACACGTGTTCCAAGGTGTTCCAAGCTTGTTCCTTGAGGAACACATGAGGAACACCGAGGAACAATGAGGAACCGAGAACAATAGGAACTTGAGGAAACATGAGGAACACCGAGGAACACATGAGGAACATCGAGGAACACGACCCGGAACACGTGTTCCAAGGTGTTCCAAGCTTGTTCCTTGAGGAACACATAGAAGAACAATGAGGAACACCGAGAACACATGAGAAATCGAGGAACACGACCCGAACACTGTTCAGGTGTTCCAACTTGTTCTTGAGGAACACATGAGGAACACCGAGGAACACATGAGGAACATCGAGGAACACGACCCGGAACACGTGTTCCAAGGTGTTCCAAGCTTGTTCCTTGAGGAACACATGAACCGAGGAACACTAGACACGAAACAGACCGGACACTGTTCCAAGGTGTTCCAAGCTTGTTCCTTGAGGAACACATGAGGAACACCGAGGAACACATGAGGAACATCGAGGAACACGACCCGGAACACGTGTTCCAAGGTGTTCCAAGCTTGTTCCTTGAGGAACACATGAGGAACACCGAGGAACACATGAGGAACACAGGAACATCGAGCCAACACGGACAGAGGAACACGAGAAACAAACTGAGGAACACACGAGGAAACACAGAGGAACATGAGGAAACACCCGGAACACGTGTTCCAAGGTGTTCCAACTTGTTCCTTGAGGAACACATGGAAGAGGAACATGAGGAACATCGAGGAACACGACTCGGAACACGTGTTCCAAGGTGTTTAAGCTTGTTCCTATGAGGAAGACACATGAGGAACACCGAGGAACACATGAGGAACATCGAGGAACACGACCCGGAACACGTGTTCCAAGGTGTTCCAAGCTTGTTCCTTGAGGAACACATGAGGAACACCGAGGAACACATGAGGAACATCGAGGAACCACCCGGAACACGTGCCAGGCCAACTTGCTTGAGGAACACATGAGGAACACCGAGGAACACATGAGGAACATCGAGGAACACGACCCGGAACACGTGTTCCTAGGTGTTCCAAACTTGTTCCTTGAGGAACACATGAGCAACACTGAGGAACACATGAGGAACACCGAGGAACACATGAGGAACATCGAGGAACACGACCCGGAACACGTGTTCCAAGGTGTTCCAAGCTTGTTCCTTGAGGAACACATGAGAACATCGAGGAACACGACCCGGAACACGTGTTCCAAGGTGTTAAGCTTGTTCCTTGAGAACACATGAGGAACACCGAGGAACACATAGAACACGAGAAACACGAGGAACACGTGAAGGTTCCAAGCGCCGAGGAACACATCCAAGTGTTCCAAGCTTGTTCCTTGAGGAACACATGAGGAACACCGAGGAACACATGAGGAACATCGAGGAACACGACCCGGAACACGTGTTCCAAGGTGTTCCAAGCTTGTTCCTTGAGGAACACATGAGGCACACCGAGGAACACATGAGGAACATCGAGGAACACGACCCGGAACACGTGTTCCAAGGTGTTCCAAGCTTGTTCCTTGAGGAACACATGAGGAACACCGAGGAACACATGAGGAACATCGAGAACACGACCCGGAACACGTGTTCCAAGGTGTTCCAACTGTTCTTGAGGAACACATGAGGAACACCGAGGAACACATGAGGAACATCGAGGAACACGACCCGGAACACGTGTTCCAAGGTGTTCCAACTTGTTCCTTGAGGAACACATGAGCAACACTGAGGAACACATGAGGAACAACCGAGGAACACATGAGGAACATCGAGGAACACGACCCGGAACACGTGTTCCAAGGTGTTCCAAGCTTGTTCCTTGAGGAACACATGAGGAACACCAGAGGAACACCATGAGGAAACATCGAGGAACACGACCCCGGAACACGTGTTCCAGGTGTTTAACTTGTTCCTTGAGGAACACATGAGGAACACAGAGGAACACATGAGGAACACCGAGGAACACATGAGGAACATCGAGGAACACGACCCGGAACACGTGTTCCAAGGTGTTCCAAGCTTGTTCCTTGAGGAACACATGAGGAACAGGAAAAAGGAAATCGAGGAACACGACCCGGAACACGTGTTCCAAGGTGTTAAAGCTTGTTCTTGAGGAACACATGAGGAAACCGGGAACCATGAGGAACATCGAGGAACACGACCCGGAACACGTGTTCCAAGGTGTTTCCAAGCTTGTTCCTTGAGGAACACATGAGGAACACCGAGGAACACATGAGGAACACCGAGGAACACATGAGGAACCTTGAGGAACACATGAGGAACACCGAGGAACACATGAGGAACATCGAGGAACACGACCCGGAACACGTGTTCCAAGGTGTTCCAAGCTTGTTCCTTGAGGAACACATGAGCAACACTGAGGCCGGGAGGGAACACATGAGGAACATCGAGGAACACGACCCGGAACACGTGTTCCAAGGTGTTCCAAGCTTGTTCCTTGAGGAACACATGAGGAACACCGAGGAACAATGAGGAACATCGAGGAACACGACCCGGAACACGTGTTCCAAGGTGTTCCAAGCTTGTTCCTTGAGGAACACATGAGGAACACCGAGGAACACATGAGGAACATCGAGGAACACGACCCGGAACACGTGTTCCAAGGTGTTCCAAGCTTGTTCCTTGAGGAACACATGAGGAACACGAGGAACACGAGACACATGAGGAACATCGAGGAACACGACCCGGAACACGTGTTCCAAGGTGTTCCAAGCTTGTTCCTTGAGGAACACATGAGGAACACCGAGGAACACATGAGGAACATCGAGGAACACGACCCGGAACACGTGTTCCAAGGTGTTCCAAGCTTGTTCCTTGAGGAACACATGAGGAACACCGAGGAACACATG